TCTCCACGTTTACTTTCGTTTTCATCGAGAGTGAGAAGACACATCGGCCAATCGGCTTCCCGAAGGCTTTCACCAACCGGCGTCATTTCGCCTCTCCGATTCCAGCGAGGAATAATATTGTTTTTATTTTTTATATTTCGTTTGTGCTTTAAAGCTTCTTTAGCGGTTAGATTTGTTTTACGGGGTAGGGTAGGGTAGCCCTATGCCCAACCTTCCCTCTTTACCCGGGCTTAGGACCGGCTAGTAACTAGTGAACTAGTTAACCAGGCGAGGTTACACCGACTTTACGTCTTCTCAATTTCAAAACTGTATTAAAGCGTACTATCGGATACAGTTGGGGTATGAATGATAGCGATTGGATCGTTCATCAGCTTCTTGCGCCTATCTCCCCTAATACGTTTCCCTTTGTAGCTCAAGGTTCTCTAAGGGGACGCAGGCGGAGGATTCGGGTCATCTGTCATCACTGCGAGGAGGGGTGCTTTTAGACGCAGACATCTCTTACCTCGTAGGTTTGCATAGTTGCGCTAGCTTCGGAGACTCAAGCGCCGCCCACTTCACTACCCCTATATGGAGAGAACTTGCGCGTTCGCCCTGCTGTCTCCTTCTAGGGCCGAGGGTTCGCCCCTTTCCAACAACTCTGGGTAGGGGATAGCCTGCATCGCACCTCCCTAAGACAGAAATAATGCAAGTCTTAAAATAAACAGATTAACATTTAAAATGTGTGAATAACGGCCTAACAATCCTTTGCTGCGCCGCTGAGTGTATGTACTTCTCAAAGTTTGTTTTAGTGCTTAGGTATCCTCGCGTTGACGTTCGCTACGTCTGCGTCTTCCCTCTGCTAGTATGCAGCAGCTAGCCCGGATTTGCTGGCTTAGCCATTTACAGACAGCTTAATTAGCATTATTCCCCCAATAAAACCCCTCTATCTTTATAAATAAACTGTTTTTCTGAGTGCCTTTTACCATATAACGTTTTTTCTAACTTGTTTTTCCTTATCAGTGCTTACACGTGGATAAGGTACCGGTTAGTTTGGTTCAGGCATACACTAATTTATGCAGGGCTGGCCAAGTGTTAGGCAGTAATAACACAACGTGCTCTGCCTTACACTTTCCGGGTGAGTGTTCTTGAAACCACGATGCAAATGGAGGTGGAGCCCAATTGATATGGTAACGTCTATGCATTCAGTAGGGAACACAGTAGAAGGTGGAGCTCATAGCGATATTTGCGATCACGTTAACAGCAGGAGTATAATGAGGATTTGGTATTACTGAATGGATTACGGGAAGGTATCCCGATGGGTATACTTCATACAAAGTGTGTACCACTATTATTAACCGGCGCATGACAGCCGGAGGAGGCGTTTTACTTAGAATTACGAGGCTAAGTCCAGCTCACCAGGATAGCAGTGGAAGGGAACACCCAGCGTAGAGTTTTCTTTGCTGGATTGCGTGGGATTCGACGGACGGAACAGTGGCAATCTCGGGAGACGATGGGTTCAAGTTGCCTTAAACTCATGGAGAATATAATATTTAATGCTGAATCGGATTTTTACCCTTCGGTGGGTAATTCTCCTTGGGTTACCGTGAAAACTGCTACTGTGGATGCTCTGTAGGACTTCAGTGTCCAGGTGACTTGTGTTGCCCAGTATTTAGTAAGTCATCGCCAAGTCTCCACCTAACTCACGGTGCCTAAAGAGCAAAAATCTAGGCACCTCAGCCTGTCCCGATAGAATTTTTGCCTCATTCCGCTTGGCTTTGTTCGGGGGGTTTATACCTCTTTTCGGGCGTGATGGAACTGTGACGTCGTGGACCTCCAAGTGGGGTCCTATGGAGCTTCAGGAAGAGTTCCAAAGTTTGCGCACCTAGTGGCCCGGGCATGAAGCACAGTACTGCGCAGACTGTCAAGGCATCTCCTGGATAATTAGGGCAGGTGTTTAGCTTGTAAGTCAGTAATTGTCCCGAGTCTTTCTCCGCTGCCGTGCGGGGAAGTCACGTGCCACAGAGAGAGACGGATACTCATCGTGGGTAAGCGGCGCCGTGCAGTATGGTTTGGCATTTACATAGGTTAAATAATAGTTCTCTGCTATTCACCTGCTCTGAATGCAATCTGAGATCACTTTGTAGTATATTTGATTCTGTTTTGGTTGTCACAGCTCTCTGTGACTCAAACGCATCAGCGCAAGGTAGAACCGGATAGCCGAGACTCAATGGGGGATCATTCACAAATGGAAGCAGCGACCCCTTGATCGTTTTAGTGACGGCGGTTGGTGTCCCTTAAATTCAGCAAGCCCCATCAACCATTGTGCGGAATTCTCTGCCATCTAAATAGTCCCCCAGTCAAGGAAGCATCTAACCACTGATATCCAATCGTGCTATGTCGCGTATGAGCATGGGTGTCAAGAGCCCTGCGAAAATCCAGAAAATGCATATAAACGGGGACTTGGAGGTCTTAGCATGCCGTCAAGTTGTCGTCAACTACCAGGAGGTTTGGGACACGGGACCTACCTTTTCGGAAGCCACATCGAGGATCAGGTAGCACTTTTTTATTCAGTTACTCTCTGAAGTGGTCGTCTAGCGATCTCACTCGATAGGGCTAGTAGAAGCGCTATAGGTCGATAGTATTTCGGGCTCTCGCTGTCTTTTGCTTTGGTGATGGGAGAGGGAAAAGCATATTTCCGTTCTCAGGGAGGCATGTGTTTTCGTAAGGAGTGATGAAACAGATACTAGGTCGGACCAAATAAGACACTTGCACTTCGTTTCGGCAGAAATCGCTGAATTTCACTGCATTCCGGTATTTTTCCTTCGCAGGGCCGTGATGGTTGCCCCAGAAATGCAGCAGGGGCTACCTTTATTTCAAGCAGCTCTTTTACGTTAAGTAGTGCCGAAGCTTTCCTAGGCAGTTATATTGTTTGATTGAGGTGGTGTTAAAGGTTTTTGGGGTCTCCAGTCCAAAAAAGTTCTCTCCGTTCGTGCTTTTCATAGCTTGAACTTCTAGGTTAGTAGATTTTCTCCCCACCATGAAGTGATATGATAGTCAGGCCATACCCCATGGTGGTCGTGTGGGCGTAACTTGATGTAGTTGCTAATTCTGTTCCAGGTTGTCGGTGAGGGTTGAGCAGACTCACGCCTTGCCAGAAACTTGTCTCATTCGACCTTGAAGGGGGAATCAGTAGGAATCTCGGCGCCTCGACACCACAGTTTCAGTGGCTGGTTACTTTCTGAGATGGTCACCCACAAATATTGTCACTCTGCCACCTTCCTCGTATACTCAGTCTCTCCTGAACGCGTAAGTATCTTGGGTGTCACTAACATCCGGCGGTAACCAGGTTATCGTCAGAATTATGGTCTTCGGAGAGAGGTACCAACAGAGAGACCTTAGCTCCGACAACCTACCTCCAGGAGCTGTAAAAAACACTTGGAAATGCTTACCACAACATGGGGTTGTGGCGTCATACACTTCCCCAAAATCAATAGCCTAGGGTTTGACGACTTCGACATTGATGCTGACCTTGATAGTTTAACTGGACTCGCTAAGCTGAAGGCATCCGGTCAAGCATCCTCGCCATTTGGCACGCTGTCGTGTTACGTTGCATTGCTCGTATTCGACTCTCTAGCCAGTTAGTTGGAACGCATCGGTATTTTGGCATAACCATCCAAATATACTATTCCATCCGACTACGCTATCGTGTTCTACCTTGGTCTCGTATTCGTGGGTATATAACAAGTTCGAATAATTAGTGATTGGTCTTTGCGTCTGTCAAGTTCGCACCAGGACAAATCCTAAAGGGTGTTTAATTTATAGTGGGCTGAAAAAAGTCACGAGTGAACGGTAAAAGCTATGACTGAAGGGCCAGGTTGCCTGTCAAGCGCGTATCTATAATGTCATTGCTAAATAATCGTACGTAAGTGGGTGCAATTGGGACGAGTTTTTCTGAACCTGTAGGCCTTGGAAACTGCTTGTGGTCGTAATCTTTCTTCCCTGGTCTTAATCGTAAACTTATATTTTGAGCTTCTCAGTGCTTGGCAATGTTAAGGTGTTTCATTTTCTACATAGTAGATATCGTCTGTCCAGTTGCATTACCACAGATCATATTTCAGCAGTAAAAATTTCCTCAATATTATTGCCCAAGATTCAAAGTTAACGCTGAACTTCCTAACTCTGACAAACTGGTCAAGTTGGTGGTTAAGCATTCACGTCGCTTGGTACGTTCTAGTATTACGTTGCCCTCGTCGTACTCGATCCTCTAGACAACTATTCCAAACGCACATTTACATTAGCTCGGTCCGTCAAGTATACTACACTTACCTTGACCCCAAATTCGTAGGCATTCGACAGATAAGAAGAATCAGTAATTGGCCTACGAATCTATCAAGGTCCAGTATGAATAGTTTATAAAGCCCAAGCAATAATTTGTTGTGGCATCAAAGCATATCCTGGTGTAATTATGCTTAGAGAAATAAGCCTAATATTGGAAATGCTTAAGCCTCATATGCACACAGATTTGCTGTTAATTTCGGTATACTCTTCCCATAGTCTTTAAGTCATGATTTAACATAAACTGTACACATAAATTCAATAGTAAAGAAACTCACATGACCAATTCGCACTACTACTAGTTTGCTGGTACTGATTTAGAAGTCGATTCCATAAGCTGTCACGTCAGCTATTTGCATTTGTTCTCGATGATGTCATAAACAATCTGTTTTAGACACACTTGCAAATGCTACTTCTTTGGCCAGTAATATATATATATATATATATATATATATATATATATATATATAATAGACAACTCAGTAATTATAGCGATAACTAGAAGGTATCTTATATAATTCCCGTTCCCACCCTTATATTAGTCTGACTCATCATCATCTCACAGTCGACAACATTAACGTCGAAGTGGGATAATACAATCTTGCTTGTTTTAATATATCAAACTAGCAATCAAACTTGTACTTACAGAAAAGTGATAATCAAAAAGTTGTGCATTGAGCGTGGTGATGCACATCAAGATTGATCATTGGGATATTTCGGTCCTTATTTTATATTTGATTGCTTTGCTGGGTACTGGAGTATACGTGAGTCATTTGATGAGTCTGTATGGACGATATATCAATTGAATATACTCCTAGTCCTCGAAATCTGAAAGTATTCGTAAATAATTCTGTAATAAGCTTTTAATAATTTCTACAACCATCTTCTTTTACTGAATATGTGGATTTGGCTTTAAGTTCGAATTACCTTTTTGAAGACATCCTTGACCGAAAGTGTCAGGTGTAAGTATCCCCAATGAGAAATTGAAATAACGTCGTGGTGTGGCACGATGCTGTCTGATTATTTTTGTCTATTTCTACCATTGATAGTTAATTAGCTTTGTGACATATTACTACCTCCAAACAGCTTAATGTGGATTGTAATCTGAATTGAAATATACTTTCGTATATCCAGCGTTTTTACTAGATTTTCGAATTTTTGTGTTTAACCGGACGAAAATCGGTAACAGAGACGTTTTCGTTCTAATCACTCGTTGAGCTGGAGGTTTTGGGAACTTGAATGTATTTGAAATCGTTCATCTATTTCAGTTTCTTCTTATGGCTGGAATATTTTTCCAACCAACATTTAACTTAGCATAGGGACCTGGTATACAAAGCTAGTCTAATGACCAAGTTTTGTAGGAGTATTTTGTACCTTATTTAGCTACTAAAAGTGTATAAATGGATAATGGTCTCTGAATTAACATATAGCCTGAAGTATGCCTCACTTTTAGTGGACTGAAATCACTAGAAACATTAAATTGAATACCCAAGTTTTAGACGTGGTGTTTAGAAACTTTTATCTCCTGAATTTATGTTCCGCTGTTCATTGCAGCAGTGTTATCTCAGCATTACTTTTTGGTGTATATCGTATCGTTCTTGCAGGTGTTATGTTTTATGCACATATGTGCAACAACCTGCTGCTGATAGGTTTTTGTCTAGCCTATAGGTTAGTACTTTGCTGCATGGGGACGCGGTGAGGTGTACTTGCTGAGTCGTTGGCTCACATTTTTCTTTTCTTATTTTCCATACCAGACCTTCGTGGTCACCATTAAACTCACACGCTACTCCCCAAGAAAGTTTTGCACTTGTCTACTTAGAGGCTAGACGAAAACCCATCAAAAACTAATCGTTACATTTTGATGTCGGAGGTAGGATCCGGCTCGCTCACGGTAAGGCTGATGTGCACTCAACAGTAGCCATCCATTCGAATGTATTTCACAACAGCTACACACACCATACGTAGCCTCTAACTCTCTCAGGTACAGCCAGGAGCTGAGGACAGTGCCTCACAACTAGGAAGAGTAGTGTAACGCATTCAAAATCCTACTCATTCACCTTCCAGTTTCTATTTCTAGACTGCCTCACCTCTTCGATGTCAAACTCTATTTTTATCAGTACATCCTGTGTACTCTTTGAGCTATCGGCTCACGTCTCTTTCTTCTGCTCTCTGCTTCCAGATTCTCGTGGTCGCCCCACTGCAGCAAAGTGCGTACCTACTTACCTTGAGGTTAGACAAAAATTTATCAATAGCTGCTCGTTAAGTGTGAGTTTAGTGGAGACCATGAGAATCTGGAAGGGAAAAGAGGAAAAGAAAAATGTGAACCGACGACTCAGAAGGTATATAGGATGTACTTACGTTTAATAATATAGTACAACTGACAAATAGTAGACCCTAGCGACGAAGAAATGAGGCAGTCTAGAAATCGGAAGTAGAAGGTGAATCAGTAAGCTTCGGAACGCATTGCAAACTTAGAAGCCTAATCATCACTACGAATTTCTGGCTCAGTTTAACTATTTGCGTTTGACACCCAGAGAAGAAGCTATTTGAAATATTCTGGAGATATTTCTTAATGTCGAGGTCATAAAGAATGTTAATCGGTTTAAAAATAACAGAACGCATTATAAACAGTCCTTAAGATAACCTAGTTGAATATGGTTTCATTCAAAGCATATACTGCCATTTGGAACTAGTTCTGTTACTGTTAGTTATAAGTATCTGCGTAAAACATCTTAAACGTACGTTTTTTTACTGCCAATTCCTTGATACATGTCTATTCTGTTGTTTATTTCATACTTTAACTTTGTAGTCCTTGTTTACGCATCGTCGAGGGACTGTTACTGACTACTTCCTTGCTGGAAGATTTGTCACATGGCTTCCGGTAAGAGGATTGAGAATTCCACTAGAATTTCTAGATTGGTGCCTCTTTGTTTGCCAGCAATATCGGTAGTGAACATTTTATTGGGTTGGCTGGTTCGGGTGCAGCAACTGGTATAGCTGTTGGTGCATTTGAGTTGAATGTAAGTTTTAAAGTTTTACTGATACCAGAGTTTGTAGGCATCAATAATTTTACAATTACTAGGTTGGATTTTCCTCCCAGTTTACATTGCTAGTGGTGTAAGTATAACAATAAATCAATTAATAAATCTTTAGGTGAGTACACTGCCAGAATATATGAAGAGAAGATTCGGTGGAGACCGTATTCAGGTGTATTTGGCTGTTCTCTCCTTGTTGTTGTACATTTTCACAAAAATCTCTGTAAGTTTTATAGTCTACTCTATTTGACCGTTTAAGAAAGCATATTTATCATTTAAATTTGTCATTTATCATAATATTAGAAAAGAGTTGCATGAGAATGCATTTCAAAAGGAAAGGACTGTTCTTCTTTAGTTCTTAGTCTATGGTTTGGTGAGTTTCCTTGTCGTTTTCTACTGCATAATCTCAAAAAAATGAATATTTTGTGGAGCTTACTCGTTTTTATCCTTTTTAGTTTTGACTTATCTTACTGTTTTAAAGCAGCAACATTGATACTGTTTCAGTGAGTGGGAAGTTTCAGAGGCTGCCAAAATAAAATATGGTTTTTATATTTCTCATAGAGATTCACTGAATTCTGAGGGGATTTATTGATTTCAGGTTGGTATTCATCATGGACTGATATTATTAGGATAGCTGTTTTGCCCTATAATGGGGGTCCTCAACAGTACGCACGACTACCTCGCCGCACCGGGGATCGAACTCAGAACCTTTGGGTTTCCTTGGTCAGCAAGTTACCATTGAGCCATTGGATCGGAATCCAATGATCCATATTTCCTACTTCTGCCAGTTCACGATATAGCGTGACCCCCATCCAATACTGTTTCTGAGTAACTGTCCTCATGTTCAACTTGTTTGACTTCACTGATTACGACTTCTTACTGAACTTCGGGAATCATCTCTGGAAGCTAGTCACCAGTGAGTACTAGATATACCGAGTCTTGAAGTTTGTCGGGGGGGGGGAGGGGTTGAGGGAGGACTCATTTACTGATTTCAGGTTGGCATTCACTGATGAAATAAATGAGAATCTCCTGTAATTCACCGTAACATCGTTTCCTCAGTATGACAAGAAGTGAAACATTCAATACAGATGTATATAATGTTGAAAAACATCGTTCAAGTCAACAAAAGTGTAGTATTGATTATCTGGATCGGAGATCAACCTGTTCAAAATCAAATATCTTAGCGTATAGCAAGAAAGAGTAAATTAGTGCGACAAGATAGGTTGCTAAGGAAAATTGAAATTGGTTAGCTACAAATGGTTTTCATTTCATTCATAGTCTTGGAACACGAATAATTTAAGCCAGTGAACAATTTTTTTCAAATAACTTCTTCCTCAGGCTTTACAGTTATAAATCCATAAGAATATATGAAATACAATAGCCAAAAATAAGACATGCTGTACAATTATTACTCCATTATGAAACAGTTAGTGTTTTGATGGGTAAGTGGAGGGAGATTCATTCGAATAGAATAAAATGGTGGAATGACAGTCAGTCTAGTATGTTAGCTTTGCAATGAAATCGCCACTGATGGAACAACTACGAAATGAGGAGACAAAATCTACAGATAGTGATCCCTTTTGTATGCACTTACTTGGGCATGAATCTGTGTGTGTGTGTGTGTGTCTGTGTGTTAACTAAGGGTCAAGTAATAATTATGTAGTGATTATCATTTTGACTATCTGAGTGAGATTGGCATGGTTTAGCAGAATCTTATTGACATTAGGTGATGATTGAAGGCGACCTTGTGGTCTCTGGTTCGAGTTCCATCACGGTTACAGTTTTCATTTCATCTTCAATCATCACCCATTATCAATTATATAGTGATTAATTATATTCAAAAGGGAGATGAAAATCATATGAATAGTATAATGAAATAGAGAATAACAAATGTAAAGCGTTACGTCACAGCTGATAATGGATTACTGGCAGGTGGTATGGGTAAAACAAAGGCATAAAAGTAATAGCATAAGAAAATGAATGTTCATCAATGTAATGACGATGTAGAAGAAAAGGATGGGAGGTTAAAATATCCAATTTTTGGTAGGAAAGTTCATAAAGAACGTGTTAATAACCCTATTGTCAGTCAAGGTAAACATAGTGAATGTATATATTTCTTTTGAACACACATAGGTGCGAGTTTTTTGCGTTGATCCCAATGGCTTCGACCATGGATAAGATGTGTAGTCATGCACCATTTGGGGAGGTCACAAGTGACGTGTTATATCACAGAAAAGGAATGATCTACACCCTGATCTGATGCCTGATATCTACGTGATGTGAGAGGACTGTACTGTTGATGCTCTTTGTTATCCTTTACCCCAAAACAAGCTGGTACATGTTCATAGTTGTTTGAAGCTGAATAAGAAAACATATTAGCCCATCTGCTGTGATAAAAAGAGACCGCTGACAGTTAAATACATTGCTTGTAGTCGTTATAGTAGTACTTTTATTGTAGCCGGGTTTTACTCATTCTAGGATTTATACGCATTAACACCCACCATTTTATGGTATAAAAAGACTTCCAGTTGTTATTCAGTTTGTATTAAGTTGACTCTTGATTCAGATTAGGTCACAGTGTCAAAACGTGCCTAACTATGATCATACTGAAACTAGACAACTGACACATTATGAATAAACGTTGTTTTTCTTCAAAATAATGTGAACCTGATTTTTTTGTTGAGAAGTCTTTCAGAATTATGTGATCTCCTTAAAGATTAGCACTTCACTTTTATTCATTGTTTGCTTGTAAATCAACATCTACAGACAGAAATATCAACTTCAGTCTGATGGAAAACATTTTCATCATTGACTAATGTCAATTGGTTAACCAATGAATGTTTAGCGGAGATGACGGAATGGACTGGCTCCTCGGTAGTCTATACCAATGACTTCATAAAAGATCCAACCTAATAGTATCGGTTCTTGTGCTCAGCATACACTTCAATTTTTGCCATAAAGCCTGGTTACTATTCAATTTCACCAATGAGTATACATTCCATGGTAGTATGTATATCAGTGAAGTAAGAACGTAAGATAATGTATTGCTAGATTGACATATAGTCTAGTTAAGTTTCGTAATCAGAAAAAAGCATGAATAAGCATATCTTAGGAGGCAGTATTCTATCTCATTGAATATTCTTTGGACAAATAAAGAATTTCAGCTTGGAATCATATTGTAGATTGATTATAAATGACTCATAACTTGCTTTTCATCCACTTTAAGCTGGATAAATAATTAATATTTTGGGGGAGTTGTGAAGATTTGGAAATATTTCAAGTTTTTATTCATCGTAGACTGAAATCAGTTGGAGGAACGCGCTGGCCGCGGAACCTGAAGGTCGCGGGTTCGATCCCTGTTGGTGTGGGGTCGTGGGTGCGCACTGTTGAGGAGTCCCATACTAGTTGTACTAGTTGTCCAGTGCTGCCAGGTTTCCTTTGTTCCTCCAACTGATGTCAGTCTACGATGACTAACAACTTGAAATAATTAATACTCTATGATTATGGTGTGATTCAATCTTGTATTGTAATCACTCACTATATTACGTAATAAATAGCTTAGTTTTGAAAAGGCTGTTTAATGCATAATATTCCTCTTAAATGTTTACTTCTCTATCTTCAGGTGAATTTATACTCTGGTTCTCTGTTTCTAACTGAAGCTTTACACTGGAACACATGGTTATCGATTATTATATTATTGATTATTACTGCAGTGATTACTATTACAGGTGAGTGAATACACATTCATATATATAATTTTTATAAACTTTATTTATTATTATTATTATTTGTCCCTTGGGTTCCTAGTCGAACATAGGGCTTCACTACCACGTAACCATTTCACTCTCTTCTCTCCACTCTTCTCTGTCAACCTGGATCCACGACTGCGCACAAACTTTCATTTCTTCCTCACACGATCTCCCGCATGTCACCCTCGGATGCCCAACTCGTCGTTTCCTATGCGGGTCCCACTCAAGGGCCTGGAGCTCGATGTTCCCAAACTGCCTTCTTAGTATTTGTTCCATTCAATCCATCTCCACTTTACTGTTCTGCGTATTTGTTCAGCGAGAGCTTCTTGGTTCGTTAGTTCGTTGGCAAGCCAAGCCAGGCCAGAATTCTTTGTTCCTCATTCTTTCTGGCCATCTAATTTTACCTTCAGTATCGAGTAAGTGTAGGCGGCAGCTGTTGATGATGTATGTCTGTAGTTTGTTGGAAATGCCTTTCATAACGCGCCAAGTCTGTGAGCCACTATATGGAAGCAAGCACTGACTTACTTGACTGACTTAGTGTTGAAAATTCGGATGTTGTTCATGCTTTATGCTGAGTGTAGTGCAGTGCAGTAGATCTCTACACTGATTTCTCATTGATGAAAACCTGTCTTGCAGTCTTTCCAATTCTCGCTGGCTTCGACATGGTCATCTGTTCCTGCGCCACCTGTAGTTGGAACGATGCTGTCTAGGTAGGTACGTAAGTGAAAGACACAACTTCCTCTACATTTCTCTTGTTGATAGTGATTGGTACTTATTGTCGTTGTTAGTCGGTTGTGTATCTTCATCATCTCTATCTTCTCTATGTTCACCTGAAGGAAGTGCCGTTTTCGCTGCTCTGCCTCTTCTGTCAACTTGTTGATTTTCGTCTGTAGATCTTCGAGTTTATGCGATAAGACGTCAGACTTAAATCATCATCATCATCATCGGCGAAATCCAAATCTTCTAGGATCTAGTTGGTATTAAACACAGAATAATTTTATTATTTGAACAATCATTGAAAGCTTGGTAGCATTCAACAGATGTTTCACCCTAGTATGGGATTTGTCAGTAGTACGAATCCCAGGAGCATGTTATCAGTGAACCAAAAAGATGCGTGATACATTAGTTGGCAACTGTGATAGTACTAGTTAGGTTGTTATATGTCATATATTGTACAATTACGGTATTCCTACTGAAAATATAATAGGTTTTTTCCAGTATTCTTGTTCCTTAAACTATCCCATTTAGTAGTATATATAATATTGGTTCACTAGTAATTGAATTTGAAAGGAAGTCAGAATATTGTGAAAATTAGAACCAATAATTTACTATGAGATGTTTATTAGTATGCTTCTGTTTATTATACTCCAGATAAGATGATTCACTCTCCTCTAGTATTTCTTATATGTAGGTCGAAACATGTGAAAATGTCCTTCTGAATAACAATATATTGTTGAGATGTATTCGAAAGAAAACATTGAAATCCAGCCGATAATAACCTTGTAGACATTCATGTAGTAGGCAGTAAAGGATACTTATTGTGTATTAAGCCTAGTGATATTGCCTACTTGGTTACTCAATCGTCATTCAGTTGACGGAGCGTGTTTCGAAGCTTCAACCTGAATCAATCAGTCACACCTCCATGGGATCAATTCATTCAGTTCTGTCGTATTTTATTATTTCTCCCTCGTATTCCTGGTGAAAAATAGGCCTTCAGTACCTTGTCGCCATTCCACTGTCTTCTCTGCACTCTTTTCAATCTGGCTCTACAACTGCACATAATTTTCATTTCTTCCTCACACCATCTTCTCCATGTCATCCTCACACGCCTAACTCGTCATTTCCCATGCGGGTCCCACTTGAGGGCTTGACACGTGATATCTCCGAATGGTTTTCTCAGTCTATCTCCAGTTCTGTCGTATAACAAATCTATTTTATATCATGATAAATTGTGAATAGAATCTTCACAATAGAAATCGTTATCTATGCTGAAATCGAGATAAAGAAGTTGTTGAGACAAAGTGAGTATATAAGGCCATTTCATAGGTCAATGATGTAGCAGTTGTTTCATTCCTGAAATTGGACAATTTTCCTCTAGTTTTTAACTTTACATTAGGCATATACTATCAAACCCGAATTGATTGACCTTTAGTGACTTATGAACTATCCTATAGAGATGCTTCAATATTGTCGGGATATCTTTCAATTTGATTGGGGAGTGTATGATGCAGGTTTCGTTCTATTTGGTATTCATTAACAAGGTTTGAATCATGATGAGAACAACATTACTCATTGTGGGGTGGAAACATATCCAGCTGATGACTCCTTAATTAAGATTGAAAAGAAAGTTTAGCATGTAGTTCAGTATAAACATAGGTAGAGATGATGTGAAGTGAACTTACAAAAAAGTATTTAATTTCTATCCGTATTTACTATAACTGTCTGATGTTCAGTGAATGAATAGACAAAAGAATATAGACTGTTATCCAGACAGTAAATAGTGTATTGATACGTGTGTACAACACTTCACAGTGACATGTAAAAGACAAGTTGATGAAAGAGAATGAGAGATATTGACTTCGATAAAAGTAATTGTCTGTTAGGCTTCTACTTGGAGACCTACTTTATTGTATACAGCTCAAACAAACAGTGAGACTATGTTCTCATTATATGGAGTAAGATGCCATAGAGTGTGTAAAATATGTTCCAGGAAACTTATATCTCATAATTTACATCGTATCAACAGACACATTCCACACAACGGACTGGAGAAGGTGTTGTTGTTGTCACTTAGCTTGAATGCGTTCATTTTGTTAAATAGTAACTCATATTGAATTAACTCAATGATAACAACAGAATCGATACAGGGTGATAATTGAAGGTGAACATAAGAATTTGGAATACAGCGGGATTCGAACCAGCGACCATCGGGTTTTCAGCTAGATTGTGTACCAAGTGAGGTATGAGACCCGAATCCTGAGGAGATTTTTATTTCACTTGAGTCACAAGTGGAGTTTTGGTCGACTACCGTATGAATTTCTGATGCATTACTGTTGCTAGATCGTAGTGATCACACACTTGGCTGCCTTTAGTGAAAACTGCTCATCCAAATCGAAATGGAAGTGATTTACAGACGGGAAGCATCATATTGCTTATCATTTGTGAGTGAAAGATAGTTGTGGTTTATCAGACTAGTATTACTGATATTGATTGATGAATGAAGGTGAAATGAAAATTTGGACTGTGGTTGGATTGGTACCAGTGACCAATTGGGTTTTCGACCCCATGCTCTACCAACTGAGCTACAGGTAGAAAGAATTACAGTTATACACTTGGTATGTGGAAATTACAAGTATTGTGAACTCTAACGAAAGATTATTCATGGAATGTATAGGAAAGATGTTGTTGAGAAAGTGAAAATGTGTTGCGGTTAGATATTTTATTAGCGGAACACAAGACATTATATGTATAAGGGAAGAATATTATTTTCAACTGGAGGAAGATTCTCTTCATGTTTTTTCACTTACACTAATACAAATAGCTTAATGTTTATCAATTAATTAAACCAGCCATATAGATATGTCAGTGGCTAGTAGGGAAGGATTTTAGATGCCTTACACCCTAACCCTAAACAGAGACATCATTGAATTTATTTGTAAACTAGATGATAATTTGAATATAAACGGAGAATATATGAAGTCAATTGATATCTCATGACTAATGTATGATTAGTGGAGATGATGGAGCTTGTGTGTGTGTGTTAAGAAATATCAGGATTGGAATATACATCATCAAGGAGTTGTTTCATAGATGTACTATGAATGTGTATTTTATTCTTCAATAGACATATTGATGGTTTATCACATGGTTATATTTCTTGTCAAACTGAAGAATGGAGCATTGAAAGATATCATTAATGAGATGAATATGTATCACGGTTAGTTATATCGACACGATGTATTCATTATCCTGAATTAGAATCTGAATACAAACGAGATGACGAAATGAGAGTAAACTACACTTGTTTGATGTTAAGCAGAAGAGATGATTCAGTCAGCAGATGTGTTTACATGAACACGACATCTAGAAGTCAGTACACACACATGTTCTTAGTCATATAGGCATTAGGTGGTAGTAAGCAAACCTAGTTAACTGCCTCATTAACAGAAGAAGAAGATGTTCCGATGATCTAGTACAGAAGGAGTTAGAATATGTTCATAATTCATTGGCTGAAATGGGTTACCCTAACAGTTTCATCAAAGACACATAGACAAATCGAGGGGAAAGAGACCGGGAATGATTACCATACCGTTGTTAATGGAATTCCATCTTAATGGAGATGTAACCAGAGATGTTTTATAGTGAAGACAATCTAAAGCCATCAAGAGGACTTTCTACGTTGCACAACTCTATCTATCATTTTCCAGTCCACCATTTGTTGTTACTTAGACAAAGGATAAAGTACCTACTTTTGATATTTCTATGTGAATTGTACTGGTAGACAAGTTAACCGACATATTGGTGAGCATCTATCTTCATAGTTGGGAAAGGGATAGATAAAATTCATCAAAAGTTCAGTTTTATATCATCTCATTGATAGTGATCACCTGATAGGTAGATAAAAGTAATGCCTTCAAGATTATTCAGTGTATACCATCTCATCTTGTGAAAAGTATCTGAATTGGTCTAGTCTAGTAGAACATATAACAGAAGGCATGGGAATTCCAACTAATAATCTTGTTGTTTGTATCCAGAGGGAGTTTGTACATTGTTTGTCTGTGTTCCTTAGTCAGGGAATACTTAGTTAATTACTTCATCATTGAAACTTTTCTCCTACTCCCTTCTTATCCTTCACCCCTTTCTCATATTCTTACTATATCTGTTAAGACTTTATTTATCTACTAGTCTCATCGTCTAGTATTATGTAACTTGTGTTTTTTCAAACCAGCCTTTAACCTACTTTTATCACCAGAGTGTCGACATTTTTCATGCTTCTTTCTTGGCTCTTATTATCATCATGATTGTTGTTGTTGAGACATTTATCAAAGCAACTGTAAAATCAACAGGATTGATTCATTTAATTTATATTTTTGTATATGTAAACACTGAAACTGAGAAATCTGGTTGAGAAAACCTTGTTTGCCTCTACACTTTGAAATTTACTACTTGCTGTTTAGTGCCAGACTTGGTAATCTGGCTAAGTCTGCTCCTGTGGTGATAGTTACATAGGCAGAACAACTCGACAAGCCTACCTACTATCGTGCCACTGAATATTGTCTAGTATGGTGAAATCTATTAAAAGCTCAATATTCGCCTATTTTCTTAGATACTGAGCATAAGATTGACAAAGTTCTATCACAATACACTGTAAAGTTAGTGCACCTCTGATTGCTAAGCATATCACATGTTATAACAATTAAAATTTTGAAACGTAATTTATGTATTCCAAAGATGTTTGTTCGTTTACTTTTGCCTTCAACTTCAACCTAGATAGAATTGCAATAAATGTTTTCCCAATCACTTGGATAAATGTAAAGATTATCTTTATTTACACTCTTCTCATTATCATTATCATTTTTCTCCCTTAGTTTCATAATTGATCAATAATCAGTAAGAATCATCTTCACACTAGTGACTTGAGTAAAATCTTCTAGTTACTGCCCATTGAAGGTGTAATTCATTGGTATATAGACTCAATTTCCAACCAGTTAGTTATTAGGTCTAACTAATTGCCGTATCTACTCAAAAGTTTTGGGAGATTAGATAGTCTCCTCAATCCTACATACATTAAGTAGGTTTCATTGTCTAGAATGCATAATTCCTTTGCCACATTCCCACCTTGTAGTAGTAGTAGTTGGGCGTCGTTGGTGAGGGTGACATGGAGGAGATCGTGTGAGGAGGAAATGAGAAGTTGTGGGCTGCCGTGGAGCCTGGTTGAAAAGATTTCAGAGAACAGAGTGCATTGGAGACTTGCTACTGAAGCCCTATGTTCCATTGGGAACCCAGGGGACAAATAATAACCATGGTAATAAGTTGATGTAGTATTCAAATGAAACTGAAAGACGCGAAAATATGACGTGATGCGCATAAGATTACGATCAGAGGGATAAAGGTTTGTTTTTTGTGAACTTTTCCACCACTTTTTCAGTTTTTCTGAAACACTTACCAGGCATTTTTATAGCGCAGAGGTGGTAGGCAAACGTGGAAGTAAGAGCGTACTAGCGCCAATCGGGCTTGATCTGGCCTGAAATTCCAAAATGACTGGGTGATGAAGTATGTTAGGGTATGGGTCAGCGAACACATGAGAAGACAAGTGTAGGTGGCGCTTTGTCACTACTCCTAGGGATTTCTGTGATGGCGCCGCCACTATCTTTTTGGCCACAAAAGACCAAGGGACAAATAATAATCGTAATAATAATAATAACAATAATAGTAGATGACTAGTTACTCAAAACAAGCTGTCTTATGATGATATATTTACTACAAAAAGTGTTGAATAGAAGGAATGATATATTGGTGGCTGAATCACCTTGACCTATTGACCATATGTTATGTTTCACAGACGAGTCATTTGTTAGTGTCTACTTCATGAAACTGTACACTAGCACCAAGTTTAACTGGATAACCAGCGGTTTATAGCTCATTTGTTGTACATCACTTGTTTCAGAACATTTTCTTCAGTGATATATTCCCCTATAAAGTGATGATATATTCACTCTATTCATAACCATAATTATGTTTACAGTAGAGAATTCTTAGCATGTGATGATATTCGATCAGTTCACCTGTTGTGCAGACAATGCTTGTCATAAGATTTATCAGTCTACAAAAGCTCAGATGCTTATCCATGACCACATTTATCAGCACGGTTACTGATGTACCCACTTGATCGACTAACAAAGCGCTTCAAAATCTGACACACTACAGTGTAGCCTTTTTTTCACACTTCAGGAAAGAATAAAACGGAACAATAAATAAGTTATAGGCAAAACTTAGAAATTATTGAAACATAAGAGTAGAGATTGAATGATGCAAGACACTTTAACTATACTTACATGAGAGGTCCAAATATGAGGGGACTAAAAAAGAACAGAAGAAAAGCATAAGGTAAGATGGATCACACTTGTTAGACTCTCTAAAACAGAACTGTTTAATAAGACAATAGTCATAGGAGTGAGATAATGTACAAAGATCTTGTTCATATCTTAAGCTAAAAATTAACTAACTGATATTTGAAGAGATTGAATATGACGTCATTGAAAGAAGATTAGTAACCAATTACAGTTGAGAAATTATTCAATTGAGAACAATCAGAAGAGGAGATGATCAAGTTATTAGGAAACTTAACTTATCTCCCAGACTCCGTTTGTGAAGAAGTGAAGAATGCTAAATTTCTTTTGATATGTACTTAGCTGTTGAAATCAACTCTGAATATATATATATATATATATATATATATATATATATATATATATATATATATATATATATACGTATCTTATACTCTCCTTGTTCATTCTTTAGGTGGACTTGCTGCTGTTCTCTACACTGATACATTGCAATTTTTTGTGATGATATCAGGCGCCAGTGTTCTTACAATTCTAAGTAAGTGATAAAGAATTACATGTTGATGTTTTCTAGTCTGGCTGTTACTTCTGTCTTCTTTACATTGTTTCTATCAAGATTAAGCTGCTTTAACCCTTATTATTCCTGTCCGTCCGTCTGTTTGTATATATACATCATCAACATTAGCAGAGAATGAAACAGTACTGTATAACGATGTAAGTTTGCCGGCCACATCTCACATATCAGCACATCAAGCAACAAAGCAATATCGAACAAAAACAGAAGTAGGTAGAGAAAGTTAGGAAGGCGTGATAAGAAAGTATCGAATTCCGTATAACGGTTAAGGTGAGGATATTGTATAAAATACATTTACATCATTGATATGAATTCTGAATCATATCACATAGTGTCAGCAACGACTGGTGACTTCTGTTGTCACGTGAATCCCAATCAAGAAGTTCACTGTCTTCTAAACAGCCACAAATTGTATGCCCTCATACCATGTTTTAGTCTAACCGTCGCAAACCTTTTTCCAGACAGAACCTTGTGCTACAGTGACTAAACATGTTGAACACATGTCCCAGTCACTTCAGTCACTGGAGTTCACAACTTCATCAGCTAACTTTCTTCTCCTTACTTCTGCATTACTCACATGTTGACACCATGAGATATGGTCTATACTAAGAAGGCAATGGTTGGCGAACACATGAAGCCTTCTCATTACTTTTATCCTTAATGATCGTGTTTTGCAGACGTACAGTAGAACACAAAGCCACTCGCAGTACAGATTATTTGATCTAATAGATCAGGAGTAATATGTTTAACGTTTATAGTTGTCATGGGATTTTAAAAGATACTGACCTTTTTCAATTTGTGGTTTGTGTGACCCCACCAGGAATGATAAGGTGTGGGGTCATGGATGTATACTTCTGAGAAGTCCTACATTTGAACGAAACAGCCATCCAGTTCTCTTAGATTTCCAATACTCCTACAACTGATGTCGGTTCATGGAATTTATCTTTTTTTTTTTTCAAGGAAATTTATTTGAATTTTCAGCTTTAATTCCATTGAAAAAGTTTTCACTTTCATTGTTTTTAAGTTCCCATAACTGGATTGTTAAATCTCTTTGACCGTTAGACCGTCTTTTATTTATGTGCCTTGATAATGGGGGCTAACCGAATGCTAACAATATATGATCACTTCAACAAGAAGAAAATCGTAGCCTCATTATTGAGTAAAACCTGTTGAACTAAACATGACCATAGCAACTCAATGTTATATTTTTTTAATGCTAAGGGATATGAAAGCTTAGATGTAGAGTTTGAGTGTTACTACGAGGGTCAACATTGACTTGTTGTTCATTCATGGGACAAAATACATATCTTGAATAATATTGATAGATATCTTCTTTAAAATTGCCCTCATAAGCACTCTACGAGAAGTATTCAAGATGTTTAGAAGGATGAAATATCTCCATTGCTTATGTCTATCTTCAATGTACACAAATAAGACATTCAAAGTGAAAGCGGAGAATTCCATGAAGCGTTGAGAAAATCCAGTTTCATACTGATCACCTTTTAGTATGATAAACTCGGGGACAGAATGCCTCCTTTCCGATACTAATTCTACTACCTACCTACCTGCCTCGGTAAATGAAGTAATGTTTGAATGTGTGACTCAGTAGATGAAAGTTGACTGATTAAAGCAATCAACCACTACTGCACATTTTTTATGGCTTTTACTGTGGTGAAAAGAGATTCAATGAATTATCTGTTACTGCATTTCTTACTCTATCCAGGTTTTTTGAGTGTTATTATTACATCATTGCATGTACGGTCATGAATAAATTTTTCCTCTAGGTGATTATTCATCCTCATGGGCTTTAATTGTTTCATATTGTGCCAAGTTTCCATGCCTAAATGAACTGAATCCGACCGTCTGGTTTCACCTATATACCTAATCTTCCAGTCATTGAGTGGTATTTGCCAGACTAAAATATTTATTTTCTTAGGATGCCATAGAAATACCGATTGTGAGGTGTTACTCTTTAGACTATACTTCAGTAATTGGCCCTGTTCAAAGACCCCTTTTGATGGGCAAGCTAGAGGTGAAACATACTCAGTCCTGCATAATCAACTGGCTGTATTCCTATTTCTCTGAGAGGAAACAATATACTGTCTGCAGAGGGAAATGCTCTAGCTAATTGCTCACTATGACTGGTGTTCCTAAAGGAGGTGTCCTTTCCTCTCTGTTTTTTTCTTTTTCTTTCTGTATAACTGATTACCTTCAGTTAGTATCAATTTATGAAATATACTGATTACCTGACACTTTTCATACCTGCCTCCATTTCAACAGATTATTCCTAACTGAACGATTTTCAATCTACTGTTAGACGATAGTCCTTCATGAATGGTCTTGTGGTTAATTCTTTAATATGTATCAGACTATAAACTTTAGTTTTAGACTTGAACATAACAGATACAAACTACTTGATTCTCATAATTTCTATTCTACTGATGGTTATGTATTGGGGAATGTTACAGGTGTGGTTTATTTCGGTGTATGGTTTTCTTTGGACCTTTCCTGGTCCACGTATATCTTACTAATTTTCAAAAGAATTTAGGAAGCTGAGAGTACCTAGTATAACTCAGTCTCATTTCTTGTGTATTATAAACTTCTACATCGTACAGATTATCTCTTGGGTTGTTGAAAATAAATACTATCGCACATTGTGTAGAACTTTGAAGACTGTCATCAACCTTTTAATATTAAGACAGTTGTGAACAAATATCCTAATTCATGTTAACATCTGGTAGGAATTATTTTATCAGATGACGAACATCCTCTTCCCTCATATTTCTCTGTGTGTGTGTGTGTGTGGGGGGGGGGGGGTCATCAGGAATAACTAGAAGTAAGTATATAAAACTTTATGCATCTACTACCAAAGGCTCCTTATTTATCTCATCTCGTGTGCAATGAAGAAAGTATTAGAAATGAACTAATACTAATCAACTGATGCTATATGACGGTATGCTGAAAGTTCTGTAGAGTATTCCCGAAATACCTTTCAAAATAAAGCCATTATTATTATTAAGAATCAGAGGGGGTGGATTAATTGTCTTTGAATGGATATGTAAGTTTGAATACCACCCTAACACCTTATTCAGCATCCTATGTAGAGTTTATGATGCACTTATCTCAAATAATAAGACTGATCATCAAATCAACCCCAGTATAAGATAGATAGATATATGTATATATTTTTCGTTAAAATTCTTTTACTATTCAACACAATTACTTGAAAACATCTAAGATCTAGTATACGAAACAGTACTATGTCGAATTAGTTAATTTAGTCTATTAGCAACAGAGACGACCAACTGCAGCTTAGCTGTTTTACAACGCGTACATACGAATGATGAAGTGTCATATTGTTCAGCTCATAATGAGATTATCATTGTTATTTGTCCCTTGGGTTCCTAATTGAACATAGAACTTCAGTAGCACGTCTCCATTCCACTCTGTTCTCTGAAATCTTTTCAACCTGCCTCCACGACAGCCCACAACCTCTCATTTCCTCCTCGCACTACCTCCTCCATGTCACCCTCACCTCGGACACCCAACTCGTCGCTTCCCATCGAGGTTCCACTCGACAACTTGGCCTGACGCGTGATATCCCAGTCGGCCTTCTCACTGTATGCCCAATCCAATCCATCTACACTTCCTTCCACTGCATACTTGTTGAGCGATAGCTTCTTGGTCAGTTGGTTCGTCACCAGCCAGCCAGCCAACCAGCCAGCCAGAGTTCCTTGTTGCTTATTCTTATTATTTTGGCAATCCATCTGAGCTGAGTTTCACTAACGAGCCAGTGTAGGTGGCAGTTGTTGATGAATGACTGTAGTTTGTTGAAAATCCCTTTCGTAACACGCCAAGTCTCTGAAACCATATATGGCAGCAGTGACTTGACTGAATTGGTGTTGAAAATCCGGATGTTGTTCCACATGCTGAGTGCTGAGTGCAGTGCAGAAGATGTCCACACTGGTTTCAGGTTAATGAACGCCTATCTTGCTGTCTTCCGATCATGGCTGACTTTGACGTCTTTGTCTGTGCCTGTGCCGCCTGTATTTGAGACAGTGCTGCCTAGATAGGTGAAAGAGTCAACTTCCTTTAAGATTCTCCAGTTGATGGTGATCGGAGCTTGTTGTTGTTGGTTGGGTATCTCATCACCTCTGTCTTCTCTATATTCACTTGAAGTCCTGTCTTCATTGCCCTGCCTCTTCTGTCAACTTGTCAGTTTCCGCTTGTTGTGTGACATTAGACATAAGTCATCACTGGCGAAATCTAAATCTTCTAGGATCTTTTCCGTGGTCCAGCATATCCCTTTCTGCTCTCTCTCTCTTCACTGCTTGTTGCATGATCCAGTCCACCACAATCAGGAATATCATGGGTGATATTAGACAGCCTTGTCTTACTCCTGTCTATACTTCAGAGGCGTCAGTGAGCTTCCCATTTTGAATTATTCGGCAGGTATAGTAATTCACTAGGGGAATGGTAATGTCAGATGCCGCGTTATCTGCTAAATATACTAGTTTGAAAGTGAAGATGGCAACAATGAAACGTGATAGTCCGGCAAAACTGCGTTTATGACTGAAAGGTCAACAGTTAGACCTCATAGCTTAGTTGATACAGTATCGGGCCGGAAAGTCAATGATCCCCGATTCGAATTTTCACTTCATCTTCAATCGTTGTCGGCATAAGTATTACTCTGCTAACCTAGGTTTTCTATCTCAGTTAATCAAATAATAATCAGTATAAGTATAAGCAGTAGTAGTAGTGTGAGTAGTGGTAGTGGTAGTAGTAGTAGTGTGAGTAGTAGTAGTAGTAGTAGTAGTAGTAGTAGTAGTAGTAGTAGTAGTAGTAGTAGTAGTAGTAGTAGTAGTAGTAGTAGTAGTAGTAGTAGTAGTAGTAGTAGTAGTAGTATTTCAACTTGACATCTTGCTCTGTTAATGAAGAGACTAACCTTGTTTTCTATCACATATAAATCATTCACAATGGATATGATCTAGTAAACCTCATGGTCAAAAGTTGAAACACAAACATAAAAAGGTAACCTTTAAGTAAGTATCCAGACAGTTTAGACATATTTCACTAGGCTGACAATATTAATGATAAAAATCACAACCAATTATCAACTCATATACTCCTAATATCGTTTCTCTCTTGTTAATTATAAGTTACTGTTGTCAAATTCACTTAACTTTGTGTTGACTAACTTACCATGACTAAAAATAGCTATCATCTCATTTTATTTTGTTTGTGCTTTGAAGTTTCTTTAGCGGTTGGATTGGTTTTACGAGGATACGGTTGCTAGCCCTACGCCCAACCTTCCCTCTTTATCCGGGCTTAGGACCGGCTAGTAACTAGTGAACTAGTTAACCAGGCGAGGTGATGAAGATACCCAACCAACAACAACAAGCTCCGATCACCATCAACTGGAGAATCTTAAAGGAAGTTGACTCTTTCACCTATCTAGGCAGCACTGTCTCAAATACAGGCGGCACAGGCACAGACAAAGACGTCAAAGTCAGCCATGATCGGAAAGACAGCAAGATAGGCGTTCATTAACCTGAAACCAGTGTGGACATCTTCTGCACTGCACTCAGCACTCAGCATGTGGAACAACATCCGGATTTTCAACACCAATTCAGTCAAGTCACTGCTGCCATATATGGTTCAGAGACTTGGCGCGTTACGAAAGGGATTTTCAACAAACTACAGACATTCATCAACAGCTGCCACCTACACTGGCTCGTTAGTGAAACTCAGCTCAGATGGATTGCCAAAATAATAAGAATAAGCAACAAGGAACTCTGGCTGGCTGGTTGGCTGGCTGGCTGGTGACGAACCAACTGACCAAGAAGCTATCGTTCAACAAGTATGCAGTGGAAGGAAGTGTAGATGGATTGGATTGGGCATACAGTGAGAAGGCCGACTGGGGATATCACGCGTCAGGCCAAGTTGTCGAGTGGAACCTCGATGGGAAGCGACGAGTTGGGTGTCCGAGGTGAGGGTGACATGGAGGAGGTAGTGCGAGGAGGAAATGAGAGGTTGTGGGCTGTCGTGGAGGCAGGTTGAAAAGATTTCAGAGAACAGAGTGGAATGGAGACGTGCTACTGAAGTTCTATGTTCAATTAGGAACCCAAGGGACAAACAATAATAATAATAATAATAATAATACTTGAAATTATCGGAAAATGAAAGTCAATAACGTGAAAACTGGGATTAAAATCAGAATATCGTGCGTCATAAAAAGTTATCTGACAACAATAAAAAAATGGAACGAAAACATATTCATGGTATTCTGATCCAGTTGAAAATAATTTGTATATGTACCTGCATACATCGAAATCCCCCCTGTTGAAATGTGGATAACGACGTGTTCATTGTGTTGTTGATAGAAGTCTGATGGAGCTGTATAGTCTTTTGAGGTTGAAAATGGCCTTTGCAAAAAAGTGATGGCGGTTAAAATATAGTCTCCTGAGGGTTTGTACAATATGCAATGATTACTTTCTTCAACCAGTTTCACTTTTACTGATGTCGCTCACTTAATACAATGAATTTATCAATAGGCTTTGAATATCAATAGTTTACCCCTACGGAAGCTATAAAGATGGAGAAGATATCAGTGTTACGCAAACCCAGCAACTGTTTAAGGTTTTGAAGAATATCAGGAAAAAGAAGGCGATGGTTAGTGAAACCATCACCTAAAAGGATAGAACACTGATTGCTTCCCAGAACAGGTGGCTAGAACATTCAGCAGAACAATTTGAAGCACAATTCAACTGGTTCTCAGAAACACTTCAGTTGCCCAACATTCAACCGGGACCTGAATGGAACCTAGATATCCGTCAAGTCTTTTTCAAGTTGAGATGGTTGGATCGAACCTAAAATGATGCCAATCAGCTGGATCTTACAGTTTACTGGTGATCCCTGGTTCGAATCCAACCGAAGTCCAAATTTTTACTTCACTTTCAATTATCATTCAGTATAATTACTTATATTGCTTTCATCGACTCTTGAATAACACATTCTACTCAGCAATCATTTAAGTATCCTATTAGTTAATGTAAACAAGAGACAATTTTGCATTCAGTTGTTAAGTTATGATAGCTAACGTGTAAGCAAGGTATCTTATCTTCCGTAAAAAAAAACGTGCAATTTCGTCAGATTATCTGGGCAGACAACTTGTATTCATAAAAGGGAACTTTAAGGCACTAACAACAATTACAAACCGACATCTGTTAGACAGCGCAGTTCGAAGTGAAGTGGATATCAGCTAAAAATTTAGTGAATAGTCAGCCTAACTGTTGTAAGTTAACAGTAATAGGAAATTGTAAAGTGTTAAACTTGAATCCAGTAGCTGAATAGTTAATTCATTTACCTCGAGATTTGAAAGGCATAGATTCAACCTTTAGCAAGATGAGTAAATGGATGAAAGCTGTTGAAAAGAAACGGATAAAACATTTACTAGTATTTTATAACTTTTTATTTCAGGTTTTATAAAGTTGGTGGTTTCCAAGGACTTTTAAATGCATATGGAGGAGCTATTGCAGAAGTTGATATTTCAACTAAAGAAGGCTTACAAATTGTAAATGGTTTAAGTATGGCTTTGAGTACAACAAATTCTTCATCATTACTTCAATTATCTAAAAGTCCACAAGTTGGTTCTAGTTTAAGTTGTAGTCTTCCATCACCTAAAGCATTTAAACTATTAAGAGAAATTAATGATCCTGATATGCCTTGGCTTGGTTTCTTACTTGGACAAACTCCTTCTTCCATTTGGTATTGGTGTGCTGATCAGGTATTTTAAATATTTTTTATGTTATCATTATCATTACTACTTTCAACTTGGTATTTATCATAGACTGATTGATATTAATTAAAGAAATGTCAGGAACTTAAGAATAATGTTTCCTTCTGGTATGGGACTCCTCAGCAGTACACACAGATGACCCCTCCAGGAGTCCCTTAACAAGGCGAAACACCCAGTTTATCCGTAAGGCTTTTCTACTGGTGTACACAAAGTCCAAGTCTCAATGTGAACAACTTCATTCACTGGGGTCCAGGTAAATCCGGTTGAAGAGTTCAGAATGGGACGAAAGATGCGTCCTGGATTCTTCTGATGTCTACTAAAACATTTGCAGTAGGACCCAAAAATATATTTATTCGTCAGATGTAGATATTTGTCTGACTATCTGAGATAGACATGGTTTGGCAAACTGGTGTGGGTGAAGGTGAAATGCAAATCTGGGTTACAACACGATTTGTACCAGTCATATGCTGGTCTTCAGTTCACAACGCATAGTTAGCTAGAGCAGTGAACTGGATGTTGTACAGCTTTGAATATCTTTCAGTAGTTGGTTAATACTCATTCTTGGACTAAAAGATAGTCCATCTAATCTTAGCTCTTCATCTTCGTATACATTAATTTGACTGTTCCTATGGAACAGGTTACATACGGTGTACGATTAAACAGATGTGTCTCCGAATACAAGAATATTAACCGCTCATCAAATGGATCCTGGTCATCACATAGATGCTTATAAAGGTTTCAATATCATATATATGGTAATACAAAAACACTACCACGTGTAGTTCACCATCACCTCCTCAACATAATTTAGGCTATCATACTAAGATTGATCAAACAATATCTTCATATTTAGAAGAAAAGTGTTCACACCTTATTCCTTCCTTAGCCTTCAGTGAGCTAAAAGCTACTCCCATCTTCCTTATATAAGGACAGTCTCCTTACAATTTGTCTCAAACATAACCTTCTTTTTATGTGTTGTATAATTTTACTTCATAATTGCAGAATCTGATAAGACAGAAATATTCTTTGTTGTTCAAATAGTTACAAATTTGTTTGTATCATTCGGTGAGAATTTGTTGTTATTAGTATCGGTAACTGAATTGCACTTTAGTGATTGAGAAGGAAAAGAACCTGTACTACTTACTGGTGGATTATAGCGATAATTGATCATTCTGAATATTGTACTATCTTCCTCTCTACAATCTGTAATTTCATCTTATTTATGAAAGGGATAAAAGAAACCTTCGTTAAAATATGCATGTTTGACAATATTAGAGCATATTTCCCTTGACTTATACTATTCCTTTTCTTTAATCAGCTGGTTATTACTGTCCGTAAGTATGATGTATACTTGCACTGTCGAAGTTCAAAGTACCCTTGGAAGATTAGTAGGAGCCTGTGCTTGTGGTCACCTTTGGTGGTGAGCCCTTGGAAGTAGTCGAAAAGTTGTTCATGTATCTGGGTATCTGTGTATGAATCCTGGGGGGGGGGGAAGGTATGAGTGGTGAAATTTCCAACTGCATATGGAAAGCCAGATTGACGTGTGTCAATCTGGGTCACTTTTGGTACAGTCGCGACGTTAGTCTAACTGTAAAAGGTTGGGTCTACAACGCTTTAGTTAAAGCAGTTCTGCTCTACACCTGTGAAACATGGCCTTTTGTGACCTGAGGGTGCGCGACGACTCTGTGGGTTGAGCCATTACTGTCTCCATAGGATTGCTGGTATCCGCCAGCAACACCACGTAAGTAAGTAGTTCTGAGGTACGATAGCATGTGTTTCACTGTGTTAGTTGACTGATTTACGAAGTACAATTGAAAGGAAAACTTTCTCACACTAGGAACCTCTGAATGAAGTGCGTAATTTCTATTCTTCATCATCGTCATCAAGATCAGTATAAGACCAGGTAGGCATTACTATGGAATGGTCCAAGTTGTCACATGTCAGCACATTAAGTAACAAAGCAATAAAATGGAAGATGAAGAAAGAGAGAAAAATTAGTCAAAGGAAGCAGAAGTAGAAAGCAGTAAAAGAGAGGAAGGAGAACTGTGATGATGAGATTAAGTAGAGCTGTTAAGATGAGGATAATGTATGTATACATCTCTACCATTAACATATAATCTAGAGTCTCCAATTACTGATGGTTTCTCTTGTTCCGCGGACCACAACTGGGTAGTCTGCATCATCCTACATGGCTAAAACGAATAGTCAACGACTTTATGCATTGATGCTATGTTCTAGTCTACCCGTAGCGAGGTCTTTTCCAGCCTGAACCTACTTCGATGAACTTTGTGCGGTGAGGTAGACAGTGGCTAGACAGACGTAACACATGTCCCAGCCAGATACCTTAGTCAATGAAGGTTCAGAACTGCATCAACTGTCTTACCTCTACTCCCTAAAAATTCTACACCTTACTTCTGCATTATTTACGTGGTGACACCATGATGGCGATGATGGTCAAACACCTGAAGCCTGCTCATGCCCCCCTACCTTTAATGGTCATATTTCAAAGCCATACGGGAGAACAGAGCGATCTGCAGCACAGTATACCCCACCAATAATAGACAATCCGACATGACAGCGGCGCCACACATGGCGTAAGTTGGTAGAAGCCTACAAAGCTATTTGAATCTATGTAGAGATTTTGTGTGCCATTGATCAACCAGAAGCTATCTGACTTCCCATGTAAGTGAAGTGTTCAACCTGTTCATCCTCTTCTCTCTCTACTGTTGGCCCACATACTATTGAAGACCATTCATGAAGCAATTATTTGCATTTGGGTGACGAGAAATGCATCGAAAACATTCTCAAAGTGTCATTTAAGGTGTCTAGAAGATTTTGAATCTTGTCAGCATCTTCATCTAACAACATTATACCATCTTCATATTGTAAATCTACCAAGAATCCTCTAGTGATTAAGTCAATCTCTGTATAATATTTGATCAATTAGTGATAAGACTTGAAATATAATAAATTGTAATGTATTTATAATCCTTTGTTTAACTATTTCTTATTAGTTTATTTGTCTTTTTCCCTATCATTAGATGATGGTTCAGCGTACATTAGCAGCTAAAAGTTTATCTCATGCCCAGAGTGCAACATTGATGACTGGTTTAGTGAAACAATTACCACTATTTATTATGGTCATCCCTGGAATGATAAGTCGTGTACTATTTCCAAGTAAGAGAAATGAATTCTTTTTATTTTATTGTCTTTTCTTATGTATCATCATATAGATGATGATGATGATGATGATGATAATGAGAACAGTTAATTTCTATTTGCTTTACTGAAGCATTATTATTCGTTCACAATTTTTATTTAATACCGAATATCATCTATCTTATCTCAACAGTAATATGATTGTAGGTTCGTGGAGGGGAAGTGATTGACTGATAACTTCTTCATCACAACATATAACTATCTTGATGTCATAATTCAGAAATTCTGATGACTGCCAACGATGCATGGATATCGACTACCAGCCATCAATACTTAAAAAATTCCTATTTAATTTCAGACCTGACTAATAAATGGATAAGAGAAGAACAAACGAAAATATATCTAATATATAGATTGTTCGCTGTTTAAAATAATTATGTTGATTACCTGATGTATCATCTATCTGTATATCTAACTGTGAAGTTATAGAAGTGTACCACTGACAAGGAACAGCATTATACTAGGATGAACGAACTGTTATTTAGCGCCGTCAGCTTCTCAACGATCCTCTGGTTAATGTCGACTAGTGATGAAAAACCACTTGAAATCATTCAGTATTATCATCATCATCATCATAATTTGATTGTCTGCAGTAGACAAAGAAGATATGGTGGAAAAAAAGCATGGATCTTAGACAGTACATTACTTCTTATATGTCAAAGAAGTTTTATCAAGTTGCCTACCGTATCAGTATTACCTAGCTAGTTTCATAATCTTACTCTCTACCGATTAATTATTGTTCTATGTTTCTATGATTTATAATTAACTGAATGTAACAATGGTAGTTTTGTCTTTTCTATTAAGTGAATGAATACGTAACTGTGAGAGATAAAGATATAAAAAGCAGATTATATTAACCAACGACACGTATAAATAGTCATAGAATCTCAAGATCACCTAAAAAAGAAATACAGAAACGAGCAATTCGGTTTCTTTGTTTAATACGAAATGAACGTTTTATGAATTTGTATGGTGTAATAAAAAGAAGAAGGTTATCTGAACAATGTGTAGTCTATTCACTCAATACACATCTCGAACAATCTGATCCATTACACATTTACATTTACTTGTCAAGTTATTTTATCATGAAGGATGAAAGTCGGGTAGAGTAAGGGTAGGTTTATAGGATGAGGATAAACTGTTTTTGAATATACACAAAGGGGCTTTGAACTTTTGTATAATGAAGGAAGGCTTCAATGAACTTAAGTGTACAGTCTTGACAACTCCTGTAAAATGGTTTAATGGCTGTTTTCGGGTCAATCATGTGACGTGTTTCGATAATATGTTTACCTATCGATGATGACGTTTATCTCCCCTCCTTCCCCCACCCCCTTATATTTATCGGATTATTTAAATGTAATTGTTTTTCCAGCCATTTAGGGATATGCTCCACAACCCTCGATTACTGCTCCCAATGTAAACTGACATACACAATGGGTTTATCTTGAAGCATAAATTTCATTTTCTCTATAATATGTCATTTTGATAACCAAATCTAGCCTTCATCTTAAGATTGTGCTGATCGATTTCGCCCTTCTTCGGTAGCATGATGTAAACTTCCTTCTTTAGGATAGAATACTGATTAGTTCACTCCTTCTTCTTCCAATGTATCTGTTGTGCAGATGATTTGGGTTCTTTTGAATAAGCATTTTTTGCTAAGCTTCGTTCGAAAGTTAAAGTACTGTCCAATCCATGTAGGTTTTCGATAAATTGATCTTTTTATCGCTTTGTACGGTGTCAAGTCGATTTAGAAGACTTTTCTCATCCTTGCGTTTGTTACACATAACTAAGATATCATCTATGTATCGCCTGTATAGAGGGACTTTTCTGATAATATTCTCACTCTAAAGATCTACAAGTGACATGTAGTCATCAGCTAACAATGGTCCTACAGGACTTGTCCAAAAATGTTCACCTTCGAAAATAAGGTGAACCTTATCGGTGCATATGTTAGTAGTAGTAGTAGTAGTAGTAGTAGTAGTAGTAGTAGTAGTAGTAATAGCTATTCCATACATTTTGGAGGAATGGGGGAAAGAAGCAATATTCAAGGATATATCATCACAAAAAATATCAACAGTCTTGGTTAAAGACATGCTGGTGAATAAAGAGTTCATATCAAAAGGATATATTGTGTTATCTTTGATATTAATATCACTTATGTAGTCAATATATTCAAAAGTATAATCCGATAAATATAAGGGGGTGGGGGAAGGAGGGGAGATAAACGTCATCATCGATAGGTAAACATATTATCGAAACACGTCACATGATTGACCCGAAAACAGCCATTAAACCATTTTACAGGAGTTGTCAAGACTGTACACTTAAGTTCATTGAAGCCTTCCTTCATTATACAAAAGTTCAAAGCCCCTTTGTGTATATTCAAAAACAGTTTATCCTCATCCTATAAACCTACCCTTACTCTACCCGACTTTCATCCTTCATGATACACATTGTTCAGATAACCTTCTTCTTTTTATTACACTATAACAAATTCATCAAATGGATTAATTACTTCAACTTCTTGAAAAGAAGACTTCTCCCTCACTATTCTTCTAATCAAAATTAAGAAGTATAGTGTTTTGTTATATCTATAGTTGTCAGTGTGCCCAGTTTAGAGTGTATGCCTAAATCGGATTTGGATAGCATAATGTATTTTACGATATCATTTTCTAAAACTATAAAATCGTATTTACACATCTATATATATCACAAACATATAGCTGTCTATGACTGACCGATAGGGTATACTGACATCATAAGGCTATTGCTAAATAACCCGAATCGAAAATGGAAAGTAATTGCATAATAATCTATTAAACAGTGGAAATAACGAGGATGGCAAAGAGTTTAACAACGTGAAAATTATTGGTAGATTTGAAATGCGAAATGGTAATAACTTTCCACTTGATAGATAGATATAAAGGAGGTGTAGAAAGAAACAAGAGTCATAATGAAGGTGATAATAACTAATTATGACAATAATGGTGGATAGTAGCTAGGAGTGGAATCCAGGATGCGCATTTCGTTCTATTGGGGACTCGTCAGCTGGATGTACCTGCTTCCCGGTGAGTGATGTTGTTTCCATACGGGATTATGACTATCGAAAACATTATGAAAGTGTTAAGACTATGATAAGATGAGTGATTGAATATACTTCTTTTTTTGCAGTCAGCAAGCAGGTTTGAATTAGTGAATTGCCAATGCTTCTGCTATACACAACTGTTGAAGGTATATTCCTTTTGAATTATTTTACTTGACTCTGTAAGTGACACTGAAGGAGGATTCTAGTCGATTACTCATGAATTGAACTGTCAACTGATTTACATTCTACCCTTGACAATCATACAGGATACTTTTCTATACTATTCATTTTGTGCAGCCTATATAACTAGTTTCACAGGAGCAAGTGAATTTCTAGACACATATTTACATGATCCAGAATGGCATGTTGTCGTTAAAGCGTCCTGAAATCATTCACTGAAGATGGAAACTGAACTGTAGCCTCGCAGAGATTTTAACAACCAATTTTTCAGGATCTCTACTGTCATATCGCCTTTCATAAACAATGACCTTTTTTGGGGGGGAGTGTGTGATTACTTGCTCCATTTTCCCTTTTCAATTTCAAGTTCTTATCATAAATCTAGATGCGTATTCATTTTACTTGTATAAGAATCATCTAATTCATTGTCAATAGTATTACTGGTGCAGATTCTTCTTGTTCTTGATGACTGAGAATGAATTAGATTCCTTTTTCTGCTGACAGAGGTATTCAGCTATGGAAATTCAAGTATTGTTCATTCCATATTGCCTTCCTAAATAAGTTGTGTCATCTTTATATATGCAACAGTGCATATTATGGATGTTTAGCTAGGAAAATGGAAGCTAATATCCACTTGTTTGTGTCTGTGGTCTACTATTCTCAAAATTATTTGTTCAAGTCTGATAGCTGTTAGTACATTTCTTTCACGAATAAATAACTTCTCGACTAAGAAGTATTCATATGTACACACAGAGTAGTTCACCGACCAATTCATTTAGAAGAGATGAAAGATTCAACTTTTCTTTGATATTCGCTAATCAGGTTAAAGTTTTGTCTGTCAGTTGAACGTTTTTGTATTCATTACTGGTGGTCACATCAGCATCCTACCAGTAAGATAGCTAAATCACTTTAATCTTGCTTGCAAATTATGCATATCAGCTTGAGAAGTTTCTGACATCTCCTTGGACTATTGTTTCATTAGGTTACTGAAAGCAGTTGACTGAACACTGTGTTCTTACATTTTTTACTTTTTGTTTTCAATCGAAAACCTTCTGAAGACATTTTGAACTAATATAGTTCAGCATAATACGCTTGACTGATTGTCTAGTGCATATGATTAACTAGATTCATTTCGTTCACTTCAGCACTATGGTTACAATTGCCATGATTTGAGGCAGTAGGAAGAGTAGCACAACAACAAGAAATATTCATCTTTTGAATGTATAACACCGGTTGTACGCCATACTATTTGTTACCTTGATTGGCTTACATTACCTTTTCATCTCAGCACCATCTTCACTAAGCATTAGAGTTATTATTCAGTGATATATGCTTCGTTCGTACAATGTTTGACTACTGCGTGATGATTGAATGTGACTGAAGGATTCAGATCAGAGGTCACCGGGTTATCGGGCTCAGTACTCATATGCAAACTAAATCTGAAGCCGTTTTCAGTCACCAGATCACATATAGCCTGATCATCATCAACTTGAATAAACAAGCTTTAATCTACTTAACAGTAAAAGTATGAAGATAATTAAATAATGAGCACCATTTGTCTTCCGTTTAACAACGTAAATATTTTCACCCTTTAACACGTGGAATTAATATCTAACTTTTATGTCTAGTCTATATACGACATATAGATGATAATAACTAGATAGATAGACATGCAGATAGACAGACAAGAAGGCAGAAAGACAGATAGATAAGCAGATGGATAGACAGATAGACAGACAAAATCTACATAGAATCTGGTAGATGTTTACCTGGTGGTCGTGAGGACAGTTACTCAACGATGACATTGGGTGGCGGTTCCGCTATATCTTGAGCTAACAGAAGTTGGAAATATGCACCATTGGATTGTGACCTAATGGCTCACTGGTAGCGTGTTGGCCATGGAACCTGAAGGTCACGGGTTTGATCCCTGGCGGGTTCATGGGTGCGCACTGCTGAAGAGTCCCGTACAAGTCGCACGAAACAACTGTCCATTGCTCCCAGGTTTCCTTTGTTCCTCTCCAACTGATATCAGTCTACGATGAATAACAACTTGAGGTGTTTATCAATAAAAATTGTCACACCGTCTCAGCAGCATTCAACAAAGTGGATAAGAAAAAGTGTATGATAGAATAAATGAATGAAAACATTAGAAATTTTTTATAGTTTATAAATCTCCATCGCCATGATTGATTTTTAGTTGTCAACCATTGACATGTAAACAACCGAGAAGATTGAGAGTAACCGTCAAAGAGTTAGTGGATTCATGACATATGTTAATCTGATCACGTATAAGCTTTAATCCAATCTAATTATACTTTCACTAAAATTCCATGTGTTGAGATAAGCTAAGCTTCGATGTATATACACCATATCTCCAAGCCATTTCACTCATTGACTAACCTATCTCCCTTGTCTGTTTAGAACATCATGATGATTGTATGAATACTCCATGCAAATCAGATGCCGTTGTAAGAGAAACTGAATCCCTAAGAAGTTGGAGGTTTATGACGTTATATCGATTAATGCATCTAAAGAAAAGTTAAACAAAAATGATGACATCAGGAACCGTTAATAGACGTCACCATTTATAGTCAGTTCAAATGAAGACTATACAGCTGCATGGGTTCGAGTAGATAGTTTTGATCAGTGTTACTTACTTGCTTTATACTCTCTTCACAGCTAAACAACCGCTCATGGTCGAAAGAGACGAATATTGTCTTCAATTCATGAGAAATGACAAGTGGTGACAGCCCATAGGTATTCCTGTATTCCAGGACTTGGAGTACGGCGAGGATTTGGTCGATACACTCTCATCTAAGTCTGAGATTCATCTTCTTAAACTGAGCTCCAGTTAAGCGTTAATCAAACTAACTGCTATTCTTCCTTTTATACTGGAACAATCAGAGAAATAGGCCAGTTTGATGAGACTATCACTGGTCCTCATGTACTAAGTAGTATCTTGATTACTTCACAGACTAATTTCATACCTGCTATCTTCAGTAGGGAATCCCTTGGGTTTTGTTACTTCGCATAGTTTCAAATTAGAAACAGTTTTTTCTTTACTTCGAACAAAAGTGGAGGGCTAACATTTACTTTCCACTCAGGTTCAAGAAACTGAAGGGTTACCGTAGAACTCCTTTTCAAAGCGTTCTGTCTTAAGTTCCATCTCTTTATCTTGAAATGGTATCAGAGAGGCATTCTTTTTTATACAGGGAAACAGAGAATGACTAGTCTGGAGAGAGAGCAGGCAAAATGTATTTTTTTTTGTTATCATATCTACAGTTAAGCAGATAGATAGACGATGGATCAGCCAATCAATAGTCCCTGGACCCAACATATGGGTCGATAAGGATGAGATATTGAGTATTCGACTCTTTCAAGTTGAACCAATTCCTCAAATAATAAATGAGGATTATCGAGATACTTACACAATCCAAAATTTCCCCTACTAAATCATCACCTACTACGCCACACTTTTAATACATCCTTCAATCGACGGCAACCCCAATAGCATCACTGAATTTCACTATGATGATCATGCCAATGAGACTTTCGATAGTTGGTTCAAGGTGGATTTTGCTGGCCAAGATGATTCCTGGAATGTATGTCTCTTACGTCTCCTACTTTGAAGGCTTCGTCCATCTGACCTCAATCAATACTGCAACATCATTTCCCCACAGAACCCATGTGATTGCACTTTCTACATCACAGCTCTGACACTGAATGACACGTCTGCTGAATATCAGCGACAGGATAACTTACAGCGTGATACGAGTTTATCCCAATCCACAGACCAGGTTGGTTCTGAAGTGTGTACAGTTCCCTAGACATCTCACTCCTCCACATCACCTTGTGACCACACACACTCTAACCTTATCTAGCCTATTTATCGGCCCATTAACTCACGTGATACCAAGGGACTCTGGAAGAAGACATCCCTATTACCTGACTGGCATGTCATCAAATCTTGTCCACATAAACAACATCGATGCCATAACTGTAATGCTGTAGGCCATTGTGACGGATTTTGCCGCCAACACACAGAACTACGTGTATGGAGGTCATCCTCGAGATATCGCCTCAGATCCCATTCTCCATTTGTGGGTAAATCGCTTGGCTTGATAAATGATTTTCATGCTCATGTACCTGCCCACCGAGAGAGTATCCAGAAGACTACTGATTCCCCAGTGAACAAGGAGAAACTGTCTCTGTATAGGTCAAATAGATACAGGAAAGTGACAGTGTGACTCAGTCTGAATCCAAATAGTATTCTTTCGAAGAGTGAGATGATATGGGGATAAAGTGAAAGGTTTAGTCTGGATAGCGACCAATCAAAATGTACTTTGTGTTATCACGTCTAAAATTAGACGGACAGATAGAGAGACGATGGGTCAACCAAACAGTAGGATAATTGTAAACAGCGGACTATTTGTATATTCGATGTATTTTGCTTTGTTCTTCTCTTCAGTTTGTCGATCCCAATAAACATTTCTACATGCCCATCATACCTTATGCAATAATTAGTTGGGTTTGGAATCAACTAGGAAACTGTTGACTGTTGGTGCCTGACAATTTTTATCAGGTGTAACAGGTGTAGTAGTTTCGTTTATGATCCCTCTCTGTACTTTCTTAGTATATCTAAGATGGTAAGTTAAATGATTAGTACTGCTTGGTGTTGATGCCTTCTCTTCCTCTTTCGTTACTACCATCCATCACTACTCATAATCATTATGAAGACTAGTGATCAGTTTTGCGTTTAAATCAGTTTTTCTTGTCATTGTAGTCATAGTCAACTAGAATGAGTTTGTTTTTTTTACTATCAATCACTTAAGATGAAATTGTGAAAACTCATTGAATATAAGTTTACACAAATATGGTGATCGTTGTTACTATTTTGACTGAATATTTTGGGCTAAATGTCATCAAGATTACGATTGTTACTATGTGTAAAAACTATCCTTAAAAATATTTCTAAATGGCTTAGATTCTATATTCTTATATTTTAGATGAGATTGGCTGTTTTCCAGGAGCTGGTTGTCTGAAAGTATGCGGACACAGTAGTGGTTGTTCAAATATGGCTTATCCTAAATTGGTCATCGGTCTCATGCCATCAGGTATGTTGTATTTCTCATATGCATTTATATGGATGTTTCCCTGTCTCTCTCTCTCTCTTTCTCTACAATGGTTCTTGTATATTTCTGCATTTGGTAGTGAGCTATACCTATTGTGTATGAGGACTACCTGGCTGCCTAAACCTCAATAAGTGAAGTAGTCTTCGAACCAGGGACTCAATGATTGAATCCCATCTCCGTAAACCAATAAACCGCAGCTCCTAAAACCTGCGAGTGCCGGAAATCAGCTGTTTCGTCCTCAATAGTATGTACTCGTGACCTCTCATTGGTGATATCGTCTCTGGTGGATATTCTGAAGTTCTAATGGCAACCGATGAACTGTAGGGTCAGCCAATCAGAAATGAAGCGAAAACCAAATGAACACCTTGATGAATAGGAAAGTGTGTAGCATTGAACTTCAGTGTTCGATCTCTGTTGAGGTGAGGTCGCTGATGCTTACCGCTCATAAGTTGTATACTAAAGCGACACATCTGTCAAGTGCTCTGAGGTTTTCTACTGTTTTTTCAACTGATGTTATTCCGTGATGAATAGTATAACATCCTTGGGTTCAAAGTTGAATTTACCAAGGAGGGTTTAATGTGATGAGAAATTGTTTTTGAAAGCATAAAAACGGCTTCAACTTCTTAACCCCCAATGCCCGAGCAAACCTTTAAATACTTCCCCCAACAGGTCCTATTAGTCGGGTTAAATGACTATTGTACACCGGATTTCTGGCTCATTTCAATAATATGCTTAGATATTGAAGAACCTGAACCTTTTTCTTTTTACCAGCATCAGTTGGGTTAGGCTGCTCTATTTGTTTCTGAAGCCACCGCGGAATGTCTTCTATGAATTTTACCTGTTCAAAGGATATCGATGGGTATATAGGTTTTGAATTTTCATTTATCCAAGCCTTAAGTGTGTTAAACATGTTTTACTGATGGTGGCGTTTAATCTCTGTTTGACTATTGAGCTATGTATATCACTAGTGTATTGTAGCTTCAGGAATATATCTTTCTTCTTAAGGATACAGTAAACTGTATTTATAAATACTTTACCCACTTTATATTGACTTGTAAACATGGTTGCATAGTTGTTCTTGATCAGCATCACCACCACTACTCATGTCTCTTCATCCAATATATCGGTAATGTACATTCATTGAACTCAATTGAATAAACACTTAACCAAACCTTGGTTGTATTGGATTGAACAGAAATTGTAATAAATTGAATACTGTCGATTGGCTGTTATTTACAAAGTATTCTGATTATATTCTATTGTATAGTAATGACTTATGACAAAGTGAATACTTCATGAAGATCAGCTTAAGAGGCTAGTTAGGTTATAACGAAGTATACTCTTAAAAATCTTCGATAAGTATCATAGAAAACTGTAAATAAGAATGACTATTGACTTTCATATTCTTCCTTAGTTGAATTCGATCAAGTAAGTATTGAACATCTAACAAGGTGGATAGTTCTACTTATTAGTAATATTCATTGAAGTATAACAAAGTTTTGAGATGGACATTAATAGTCTTTATTTATTCCATCATTATGGATATAAACTGAAGATTGTTGTTCATACAATGGATTCACCGTCTGTTTGCCTATCTGTCTGTGTGTGTGTGTCTATCCGTCTACCTGTTTATCATTCTGTCTGTTTATCTGTCTATCTGGCAAGTTTTATTACTTGTACAACAACAATATCATAGAATATCCCTTAATGATAATTAATAAAAATACGAGAATATTGGAAAAGAAAGCATGGTTCAGGACTAAAGTATCAAAGATGTATCTATGATTAGTTTGCTAGTGATATGCAAATTGCACACTCCACTTTAATATATCTTACTAATTTACTTCACTAACCAAGGTTATAGGATGTAATCTATGATGTAAAAATGTTATGAACTAGAGAAAGATATAAATAGTGAACAATTTGAGCACTCAGAAAGTATTCAAGTTGTTATATTAGTATATTTCTGTAATTTATGACACTTTTATATCAGAGATCATATCTGATGATCTTAGCTGATGGATAATTTCCGATGGAAACACTGTTAACAATACAATTAAGAAATTGGGGAACTACTCAGCTGTATGAGAGTACCATGGTCATACAAGTCAGATGGTATCAGATGATTTGAACTAGTTCAGCCTTATAAGTTGAATTTGTCTGAATATGAGGCTGAAGAATTTGAGTGCAAACGAGCTAAGCGATTATCTGGCGCTTAGATCAATGTGATTTGATTGGCTCGTCGGTGAAACCTATAAATCAACAGACAGAATAGTTTGTAACTACTCAACTTGTCCAATAGTAGTATGTTATTACTTAAAGGTTCCATTTATTTACCTATTGAAGTGTTGCTGGTTTTGTTTGAGATGATATCAACCCTTTTAGATTGATCACATATAATTAACCGTATGTTGTAATTCTATTCATCTTGTGTATAAGCATATGTATGATTTAATTGATCAGATAAAGGGGATAAGTAATACTTGACACTGGAATTCATTCAGATTGTAGTTGCTTCATGTATATAGTCGCTTCATCATCTTCACATGATAAGTTGAATAGAAAATTGAGTCAATCGACAATAAGCAATGCCCTATTCATTCATTTTTGAAATTTTTCACACAACTCATGTTAGATCCGATCAATTAAGGCATTAAATTAAATCAGGTTGTATTCACTTATTTCATATGCTAATCGAGAAATTTATAGATTGGCCAGACAATAGTTGCATGTCATTTGCTCAACGCTGAAAAAAATAAACCCTACAGTGCGATATACTCAATCTTTAATCATTATTATTTTTTCCCCTTGGGTTTCTAGTGGAATAGAGGACTTCAGTAACGCGCCTTCATTGCATTCTGCTCTCTGTAATCTTTTGAACATCGCTCTTCCTCAAACAATCTCCTTCATGTAACCCTCACCTCGGATGTCCAACTCGTCGTTTCCTATCTGGGTTCCACTCGACGACTTGGCCTGACGCGTGATGTCCCCAGTCGGCCTTCTCAGTGTATGCCCAATCCATCTCCACTTCCTTACAGTGCATATTTGTTGAGTGATAGGTTCTTGGTTAGTTTGTTTCCCGAGTTCCTTGTTGCTTATTCTTATTATTCTGGCAATCCATCTGAGCTGAGTTTCAGTAACGATTGAGCATAGGCAGCAGCTGTTGATGGATGTCTGTAGTTTGTTGGAAATGCCTTTCGTGACGCGCCAAGTCTCTGAACCATATATAGCAGCAATGATTTGACTGGATTGGTGTTGAAAATCCAGATCTCCAAATATCTGACTGGTTGCAGAAAAAACAATCAAACAACCTAATTTTCTTGAGTCTGTGGTTTCTGTGCAATGATATCATTAGCTGGGTCCATCAAAACCTACATTGCTGTTAATATAAAAATTTTTAGCACACATTGTATGATCTAGTATTCTCTTACTTGATGAAGATGTTTCGAAGAGAAATTATCACTACCCATTATCATATCCATTTAATCACACTCCTTTCGTAATCTTATTTTTATAGTCCTGCCACCTATAGTTTCTATTAGTGGCATACATATTGTATAGTATTAAAAAAAACCGTACAAATTCTGTACTAGTGAATCCTAACGAGTTAAAACCAAGACTCGATCACTTACATATAGAAGAGGATGTAAAAAGTCTTTTATACTAAAATACCAATCAGTATGACATTAGAAGCAATCAGAAATCAACTAAACATTTAAGCGTAACTTACTCGTAGAGGTACGATCTCACTTGATGAAATCATATTCGGTATGCACTTATACCTGACTTACACAGTCTTAAAGTTTCAGGAAAAAATATATAAATAAATGGAAGGAGTAGCAATGGGATCACGAATATCCTCATTAATAGCAGATCTATTCATGGCGAGTTAGGTGAACACGACTTTACGAACGTATAATCCTCCACCTAACATATGATGGTGATATATGAATGACACATTCACCACTGTCTTCAAATCCCAACATATCGACACTTTCCTCATGCATAATATCAACTCAGTAGTTGACTTAATCTAATTCACACACACACACATGAGGAGGTGTGCCCTGATTAGTCAGTGGAACAACTTAAACAAGGAAGTGAAGCATATAAACGAAGTGTTAATAATTCATAATTATCCTCATATGAATGAGAATGCGAATGATTGTGACGACAGGAGTTGAAAGCAGTTGAAAGCTCCTGTTGTGTTACCCTATAAGGAAGGAAGGAAGGAAGATGAGAAACTGCATGCAAGATTGTTAACAAGGCTGGGTGGGATTCAGGTGGCATGCAAACCTACAAACTGATTTAGAGATAAGGTTTGTCAGCTGGTTTAAGGAATCGATAGAACCAATTAAGCAGAATAATCTAATCTATCAAATCCCATGTAATGACTGTGAGTGAGGTGAAGTACAGAGGTGAAATTAACTGGTAGGGGTGAGTTAGGATAGGGGGACATAGGAATTTAGCTAAACGTAGACTGACAGACCCGAATAAGATGAATAATCTAGACAAGCAGCTCGCATATTGCTGAGTAATAGGGTGGGATGAAACCAGTGTACTTAATTCAATATGATTTTTTTAGAGAGAGAGAGAGAGATTGATTACTGAATCGTTGTTCATCGAATCAACCAACACCGAACACATATGTAATGAGAATGATACAACACCCATATGACTAAAGACAAAGAGTAAGAGGTGACAAGAGTATAAAAATCAGATGTCGATATGATTATGAGGAATGAGACATCATCAAGTAAATAATACTGTATAGTACTGTGTGTAGTGTATATCAGATAAACAAATCTAATTTCCAGCTAACTAACCAACTGCCTGCTGAAGAGAATTGTTTTAATGAAACTTGTTACTATATAAGGCCTAATTGCCTGACTTCTGTTGACAGATGGGCTTGTATATGCATATGCTTTACCACTTCCGGATATTCATGATGTTACATTGATCTTGATGAATTGCAGTGGGATCTAAGATGGGCTTTTCATCCTATATGGGAGTCACTTAGCAACTGGATGTACTTGTATCCTAATAAGGGATGTTGTTCTCACTGAGACATGAACCCAGTATCCTAGTGGTAATGATGTCACTGTCTAGGAAGACAATGAAAGCACAACGATTAAAGAACCCAACTCAGAGAACACATTACAATTAGGGATTCAATTCATGAGTATAAGAATGTTTATTGTTATTGCTTTGCAAAGATTTATGAAGGGAACTAATTATCTACATGTTATTTACAACTAAATTTTTAAAAAAATACGTAGGTGAATGCGTAGACAGAGTTTGAACAAGACTTCAGTAATACGGTAATTATAGACTCCTTGTACACGTATGTATAAGTTCTTTGATTTGACCTCATTATTATAGTTGTTATCATCTTCGTTAACATGCGTCTTCACTATTTTTCATACCATATAATTACTATGTAATCCATTTACTTATAGGTATAAACTTTCTTCATCTGCCAAAATCCATCCCTTTTCTCGCCTCATAGTATTATGTCGATTAGATTTTATACTCCTAATAACGAAATTAGTTCTGAACAAAAAATACTCTTTCTTCCTAATGTCCATAGCCGAATGGATATCTACTTTCTTGATTTAAACACACATAGTGTATTTAAATATCTTTATTCCTTGAATCCATCCCAGGTCGTAATGATGTTTCGAGTATGATATTTATATCATCCACTTACAGATATACGTCCGAGGGTGATATGGAGGAGGTCGTGCGAGGAAGAAATGAGAGCTTGTGGGCTGTCGTGGAGCCAGGTTCAAAAGATCTCAGAGAACAGAGGTCAGTGGAGACGTGCTACTGAAGCCCTATGTTCCACTAGGAACCCAAGGGACTAATAAATAATAATAATAATACTTACATTTATCTTCAATGCATCGTTTTTTAAAAATACAACACCCACTGCTTGAAAGGAGATCAAAGTTGTACTTATGCCTAAGTAGTTATCTTCTGGATCAGATATCACGTTTCGATCCATCGCTATAATTTTCTCTCCCCTCAAGACAATGAAGAAATTACTCCTCTTTATGCTTTAGCCTTCATTGAAGGTTTTCAGAGATTCAAAACAATTTGCTTGCAAACACAGGAGAAGTAGTTTGGATGCTGTCACTGTTTTGCATTATCATAATATTGTTTCTTTCCTTATTCGTTGTGCCTTCCTGGATTACTCATCAGCTTTTGACTCTGTTCCTAGACCACTCTTGTTAAATAAGCTTTCCATAGATCATACTGAACCATGAGTAACAAAGTGGATGTATTCTTATTTTCTGAAAGGGAACGATATGCTCTTCCATAAAGGTAGTCGAGTTCATGATATAGGGAGTTCGACATGGCCACCTTGAAATTGAACTGGCAGGCATTTAGCATGATGCTGTGTAGTATAAAACGTATGCTGTTGTACACTTGATGGATTCTATTCTTCGTCTTGTAGTTATCGATTGACAAATTATTGAAATGAAGTAAATTTTACAGGATTGCCTATTTTATGAATGAATGCCTAGTTATTGTTTACCTCATATTGTAGGTTTAGGTTGGAGAAAAGCTTAGATTGGGTACATGGCTAATTCTAGTTGACACTGAATAAGAATCGAAATCATTCGCTCAGATTTATGCACACACCATCCTCGTATTAACCATTATACTGATGAATTCAGTATTTTCTCATTCCTCCTTCCTCTTTTTAAATACTTCTCCTGCTTTTGATCAAGTTTTCTCTGTTTCATCTTATCACTTTGTTGGTTGATGTGCTGATGAGCTATACTCATTTGGACTGTTACTCAGTAATTCCCGGTCTTATGTTGATCTTAATGATGATGGTGATGATGTGAAAACTAATTCGTATTTTGATCTACCTTGAGAAGTGGTCGAGTCAGTTTGAAACTGTAAAACATTCCAATGAATCTTCACATAGAAATCAATCCTGAAGATATTGGTGTTCCCTCAGGGATTCGAATCCCCACCACTGACAACGACGGTGCCCCGCCATGGCTCGAACCCAGGACCTTCAAGTTCTGTGACCAGCATGTTGCCAATGTGTTAGTCACGAAGTCGGGATCCAATGGTCCATATTTCCAACCTCTGTCAGATCATGATATAGTGCCATCATCACCTAATGTCATCGTTGAGTATTCGTCCTCATGGCCATCAGGTTTGCCCTACCGGTCACTTCTCATTGGAACTTCAGAAATCATATCTAATAGCTAGTCAACAATTTGAGAGTTTGTGGGGATTTAGTGATTTCTTCAAGTTGATATTCATCATGGACTGACATTAATTAGAAGAACATTGAAAACCTTAGAGCACTGGAAAGTCAGCTATTTCGTCACACTAATATGGGACTCCTCAGCAGGGGTCGAACCCAGAACCTTTTCTTTTTTTTCCTCTTGACTTTTATCTCATCTTGATTTAATAATCACTTTTATACTTATCATGTGTATAATATTATTTAGGTTTAAGAGGTTTAATGTTGGCAGTTATGTTAGCCGCATTAATCTCTGATTTAACATCAATTTTCAATTCATCCAGTACACTTTTCACAATGGATATATATCAAAAATTTAGACGGAAGGCAAAAAATGTTGAATTGATGATTGTTGGACGGTAAGTAAATGAATTAAATATGCTTTGCAAGTGAAAAAAAACAGTATACTTTTATTTTCATTACTATTATTATTTGTCCCTCAGGTTCCTAGTGGAACATATACCTCCAGTATCACATCACCATTTCACTCGATTCTCTCCACTATTCTCTCTCAACCTGATTCCACCGCTGCCCACAAACTCTCATTCCTTCCTTACACCATCTCCTCCATTTCACCCTCCACTCACACACCAAACTCATCGCTTCCTATTTGCTTTCCACTCGAAGACCTCATGTGAAGCATGATGTACCCAAACCGTCTTCTCTGTGTTTGTCCCATCCCATCACATCCCATCCAATCCATATCCATAACCACTTTACTCTTCTGCATATTTGTCGAGAGATAGCTTGTTGTTTGGTCGGTTGGCTGGCTGGCTGGTGGGTCGCCAGTCGGAGTGACTTCCTTCTTGCTTATTCTTATTATTGTGACGATGTGATATTCACTTCAGTGTGAATATCGAGTAAGTGGGTGTAGGTAGCAGGTGTTGATGATGTATGTGTGTTGTTGTTTGTTGTAAATGTTTTTCATGAGGTGCCAAGTCTGTGAAGCACTATATAGAAGGAATGACTGAGTTAGTTGAGTGAGTTAATGTTGAAAATGTGGATGTTGTTCAGGTTGTGTGCTGAGTGACGTGGAGTGCAGTGCAGTGCATTGCAGTGCAGTAGATCTCCACATTGCTTGGGCATTGATGAAGGCCTGTTTTGCTGTCTTTCTTATCCTGACTTTGACATCGTAATCTGTGCCTGTGACTTTGCTGCCTGTAGTTGAAACGATGCTACTTAGGTAGGTAGGTGTGTAGGTAGGCAGGTAAGTGAAAGAGACAACTTCCTCTGCATTTCTCTTGTTGATGGTGATTGGTACTTGTTGTCGTTGTTTGTCAGTTGTGTATGTTCATCATCTCTATCTTCTCTATGTTCACCTGAAGGAAGTGCCGTTTTCTCTGCTCTGCCTCTTCTGTCAACTTGTTGATTTTCGTCTGTGGATCTTCAAGTGTATGCGATAAGACATTCGACTTAAATCATCATCATCGGCGAAATCTAAATCGTGTAGTGTCTTTTCATCTGTCAAACAGTGAGCGTATGCTCATCTTCTCGCTCCTCACAGTTTGTTGTATGATCCAGTCGAGTCGAGTCGACCACAGTCAGGAAGAGTATCGGTGATAGTAGGCAACTTTGTCTTGTATTACTTCTGTCTTCACTTCAAAGTGAAAAATAGTATGTTTTTTTTTATTGTTTATATATATATATTCTCAAAAAATTTGACACTTAAAGATTGTTTACTTAGGGCAGTGTTGAATAGCTTCACTGATTTACTGTCAATCATACTGTTCGATTAACAGATCATCTGAACTGACTGCATATTAATTATAATGTTGAAGAGTGTTTATTGGTCTCTGTTTGACATATAACCTTCTATGCATAGGCCTGTTTGATTGAATCATATTGTTACAGTTAGTTAAAGGTGAATAACTTTAGATCTTGAGTCCTGTATCAGTAATACTGTGGTAGTAGACAAACAACTTAACACACCGTACAAAGTCACATCAACCTGACTTGTGAGAAAGAGAATAGTGATGATCTGTTATTCTTAGACATACTCCTTAGTCTACGAGAAGATGGTTCATTTAAGACAGTCAGTTTACAGAAAGCCTACATAGACAGGACAATACCTGAATTTTCACAGTTTTTGTCCAATCGAATATAACCGAAATGTAATAAAAAATTTGTTTATTAGGATCTATCGTATCAATACATCAGATACGATGGATGAAGATATCAAATTATTGACCAAAACACTCTCTATTCGTTGAAGATGATAAACCGTAGCATTGAAGCTAACTCTATACATTGTTCGTAAGAAAAGTCTCCATATCACTGTACCGTACAAACAGGTGAGTTGAATAATATCATTCTGATATGTAGGCTAACATCAACCATTGAGAAAACATATTACGCGGTGAATCTTATCATTGTAGACAAAACAAAACACATGCTTCATCAAAAACTTAAACACTGCATCAATGTTTACGTCACATCCCACTGTGTTTACCTGTTTACATGTGTGTGTGTGTGTGTGTGTGTGTGTGTGTGTGTGTGTGTGTGTGTGTGTGTGTGTGTGGTCCCACATACATAGGGAGGAGTAATCGAGTCATGCAGTTGAGGGTAGGAGAACATGTGCCTAAATGGCTTCAAAAACAAATGGAATGTGAAACAGTGATAAACGGTGGTGGGAGACGACCTTTTTCGTCTATAGCTAAACATATCATAGAAACAGTCAGTCATGGATGTATTCTGAGATTTGTGGAAGCAATAGACATATAGAGATTGAAATCACTTTTATAGGTAGGTACAAAAGAACAATTTGTTCTTACACTATACCTACACCTTGGTAAACTTGATTTTCTTACCAAGATTAGGATCAATTATGTCAGTCTTCTTCCTGTTTATTGTCATCTTTCTTAATTTTAATCTCCTGCTTGTATTAAAAGTTGAATCTTTTTCTCGCAATCTTCGGTTTAATATGTTATGACTTGAGACAAGTAAATGTTTTAGGGGGATCAAATTGTTCGAATTGTGTATTGTTCAAATAAACTTTGTCTCCTAATTGCGCTTATTCACGTATGATTTTTAAAGCTGTCTATCTTTTTAAGAGAAAAATTTTAACTCTTAAAGGATTATCTGCATGAACTTGAAGTATCCGGAAACATTGGAATGTGAACTGATTTATCAAGCCAACTGTGTTGGCTTCATCGGTATATTGTCTATGGTGTTGTGATCTACTGGTTTAAGCTTTCAGTCAGTTGATGGAACCTCCAAGCTGGTTTCATCTACTGAGGTTTAGATAACATCAATAACTGATTCACAATAATGTGAATGGTTATTGAATTGTTTCGAAGGGTGAAAGAGGTACTGTTGGTGTTACATTTTATCTGTACATGGGTAAGAATCTGCATGAATCAGTTATGAATTGATCGAGTTAAAGGGACTGACAGAATAATACAAGATACGAGAAGTGTTATGAATACAATCAGAAACTCGAGCTAGATAGCTGAATAGCGACTATTCTCTCCTAGATCTGGTACTTCACTTAGCCAGAAAAATCAGAAGACAAACACCGACCATATGACAGTAAGAACGACAACTTGACTTGACAAAGAACGCACATATTTTCCTCAGAAAATAAAACCACTAAGTCACAAGTTAAGAGAACTAACCATGGGTCGAGAAGCGCTTGGTGAGATGAACGAGAATGGAGAATTGTTTACAGAATTCTGTGCATTCAACGATTTGGTGATTGGAGGCAGTGTGTTCGAACACAAGGATATCCACAAAGCGACATGGATTTCACCAGATGGACACACTAAAAATCAAATCGACTTTATCTCAATCTCAAGAAAATGGAGACGCAGTCTACTTGACACAAGGTCAAGAAGAGGAGCAGATGTAGGTTCACACCACTATCTAGTGCGAGGAAAAAACCTTCCAAATCAAGTTGAAAGCCTTCAAGGAAACTGGTGATAGACCACAGTTCAAGTACAACACTCGGAAACTGAAGGATGAAACTATAAAGGAAATCTTCACGGTAGCCATCAAGACAAAATGGGAGACATCGAGCAACATCCCTGAAGAAACCTGTGTGGAAGAACACTGGAAGTCTTTGAAAGCTATATGGAAAGGAACCTGCATAACTGTATTAGGAAGGAAGAAGAAAGAAGATAAGGAATGGATCTCAATGGACACATGGGAGCTGATAGAGGAGAGGAGGATGGTGAAACAGAAGATAAACCAGTGCAAGGATACTCAACGACAAGAGGAACTGAGCACAGTGTATAAAACACTGGATAAAGAAGTGAAGAAGAGTGCACGCAAAGACAAAAGACACTTCTACGAAACACTGGCAAGTGAAGCAGAACAGGCTGCAGGTAAGAGAGACGTGACAACGTTGTATCAAATAACCAGGTTGCCATCTGGGAGGAGGTCAACGCAGACGAAACTAATAAAAGATGATGATGGGAATTTAGTTACGAAAGAAGAGGAACAAAGGAAATGGTGGGCCGACCACTTCTAAAAGCTCTTGAATAAAAAACGACCACCACCTGCACTTCGTCCAGAAATACCACCTGCAGCCGCTGAATTACAAGTGAACATAAATCCTCCAACAAAAGTGGAAGTCCTGAACGCCATAAAGCTACTGAAATGTGGGAAAGCAGCAGGACCAGATGGAATCCCACCAGAAGCACTGAGAACAGATGCAGAGACAACAGCGGACATGCTCACACCACTATTGCAGAAGGTGTGGAAGGAAGAGAAGGTACCTGGCCATTGATTGGAAGAAGGGTTACCTTGTCAAACCGCCTAAGAAAAAAGGGAGACCTCGGTGTTTGCAAGAACTGACGCCGAATCACTCTCCTATCCACCCAATGCAAGTAAAATATTAAGCTGCATCATCTTGGATAGACCAAAGGACGCACTGGATTCAAAACTGTGACCGGAACAGGCTGGCTTCAGGAAGTACAAATCATGTGCAGACCAAATTGCAACGCTTCGCATCATCATAGAACAGAGTATAGAATGGCAATCAGCTCTCTATCTCAACTTCATCGACTTTGAGAAGGCCTTTGACAGCGTCGACCGAGAAGTAATTTGGAAACTGATTCACTACTACGGAGTACCGCAAACATTTATCAGCCTAATTCAACAACTATATGAAGATGCCATATGCCAAGTAATTCACAATGGGAAGCTCAGTGATGCTTTTGAAGTGAAGATAGGAGTGAAACAAGATTGCCTACTATCCCCCATGATATTCCTGATTGTGTTGTAGTGGACTGGATCATGCAGCAAACAGTGGGGAGCGATGAGAGGGGGATACGCTGGCTGGACTGCGGAAAAGAACCTAGAAGACTTGGATTTCGCCGATGACTTGTGTCTCATGTCACACAAATTTGAAGATCTACAGGCAAAAACTAACAAGTTGGCAGAAGAGGCAGGTCAGCGAAGACGGGACTTCAAGTGAATATAGAGAAGACAGAAGTGATGAAGATACCCCACCAACAACAACAACAAACTCCAATCACCATGAATGGGAGAAACTTAAAGGAAGTAACCTCCTTCACCTATCTAGGAAGCACTGTTTCAACTACAGGTGGCACAGACGACAACGTCAAATTCAGAATCGGAAAGACAGCAGGACAGGCGTTCATTAGCCTGAAACCAGTGTGGAGATCTTCTGCGCTGCACTCAGCACTCAGCATGTGGAACAACATCCGGATTTTCAACACTAACATCAAGTTAGTGCTTCTGTATGGTTCAGAGACTTGGCGCACTACGAAAGAGATTTCCAATAAACTACAGACATTCATCAACAACTGCTTACGCTCGCTGCTGAAGATCAGATGGCCAGAATAATCAGAATAAGCAACAAGGAACTCTGGGAACGAACCAACCAAGAACCTATAACGCAACAAATATGTGGAAGGAAGTGGAGATGGATTGGGCATACTGGGGATACCACGCGTCAGGCCAGGTACTCGATTGGAATCCCCATGGGAAATGACGAGTTGGGCGTGCCAGCTGAGAGTGACATGGAGGAGGTCGTGCGAGGAGGAGATGAGAGGTTGTGGGCTGTCGTGGAACCAGGTTGAAAAGATTTCAGAGAACAGAGGTCAGTGGAGACGTGCTACTGAAGCCCTATGTTCTGTTAGGAACCCAAGGGACTAATAATAATAATAAAGTCACAAGTTGGATACTCCTTTTGATTGGTTAACTGAAGGACAAAATGGTCCAATAAAATTTTTTCCTGACTACATAGTAATATGAAATCGAGGTTGAAATACAAAACTTCTACCTTATTGGCTGATGAATGTTGATTTCAATTAAAGGCCACTGCGTATCAAGTCAAACCCTAACTGACTCCCTTTAGGATTGGATTGTATACATAAATTTGTAATCTTCCAGTTCTCAGTACTATCCGACGCCTATGGATGAGAAATATATGCGCTGAAGCATTACATATATATATGATTGTATAGTCAATGTTGTTTATTCTTGGTTATACAATTATGCATAAAACTTGTTGTGTTGTGTGTTTTCTTTTTTTTTTTCTTAATAGTGTATTTGTTATTGTATTAGTTGGTGCTAGTGTTGCATGGGTGCCAGTTATACAACAATATCAAGGCAGTCAGTTGTATATTTACATTCAATCAGTTGCTGCTTATCTTACACCTCCTATTGCATCCGTTTATCTATGCGCTATATTATGGAAGAGAAGTAATGAAAAGGTGAGTTGTTTCCTCTCTCTCTCTCTCTCTCTCATTTAATCAACACTTAAATTATTGAATTGTATATTGAAAGATAACTTGGCATTCGGTGATAATGTTAACCCTAACCCTAACACATCAGTCTCATGTATATCATGAGCTAGCTAACAAAGGATCTATTTGATTTTGACATGTTACTATGATCGTATAGTTTATTCATATCAAGGTAAGGATATCGAATTATGACAGGATTTTGATTGTAAATGTCTTTTAGCATTTCTTGCATAGAATGGAATCATCATATGAGATAAAGAGTTCTAAGCAAGAAAAACAAGTTGATTGATGAAGTTGTGAACCTTAATCGATTAATATATAGCTAAGGTATGTTGTACGCATGCTGAGACACGGCTTACGATGCTAGCGGAAGTTGGATTATATTAGAAAATGGGTTCAGGGTGACGAAATCAATACCTGTCATAGTGTTGAAAATCAATCGGTCAAAGTGAGATGCAGATGTCACCTTTTCATCAGTCAACCACAAGCTCTCATCTTACCTATTCCACCTATCAAGGTTTAGATAGCTAACTGAACATGACTAGTCATTCTTATATACATATGTGTATATTCATGTATCCTAGTGGATGTTGACCTTCAGCTCAATTTGTAAGAATCTTAACAGGGTACAAAGGCTGTATATAGTAATACTAAACGCTTACACATTATCTATTTGTATAGTCTGGAGAAAAATGTTCAAAGACATTTTTCTATAGGCAGTGATTATCATAATTTGAAACAATATGATTTCAATTATACTTCTATATGCAAACTGTAAAATTGTAGGCACTGAACAAACAATGTTTAGTAATGATGGGCAGTGACTAACAGTGGATTCCAGGATGCGGTGCTAGCCACTGCTCATCATTACTAAACATAGTTAAAAGACAGGCAATATTGAGACAACCGCATAGGAGCCCATATGCCAACAGAGACTGATCAATTCGGTCCAATCAACGACGGTGTAATACAAGCAATAACACTGAACAAACAATATTTATATAAACTTTGACTTTATCTATCCATAGACACAGATTGGAAGTCTATCACTTATCAATCAACACACAGTATCCTATTCATTCAGCTATCTGCTGTTACAATGTGAAGTTGTTAGAATGAAAGATTGAATAACTGAGAGTTGAGACAGTTCAATCCGAGTGATTTGTATACAGAAGTCAACAAACTGGTAATCTATAGTATCTTAGAATGAAAATGTTTATTCATGAAAACGAATCATCTTTTCGACTGCCTGAATAAGATAGTCATGATTTGGAAGACTAGTATTAAAACTGGATGATGATTATAAATGTGAAATGAAAATTTGGACAATAAGTCAGTTGATAGAGTACCAGCACTTGGTGGTTGCTGATTCGAATCCCAAAACCGTTCAAGTTTTCATCACTTAATATAAGAAGGGATTCTATTTGTAAACTTTACACTAACCTTGAAAGAGGTGGGAGGCAATTTGTACAACAGTGCGTCATATAAAACATGACCCATGCGCATGAAAATAAACTTAAAATGTTAAGACAGAACTTTCATGTCACACATTTAGTTCCCTTGACAAATTTGAACACACGATAAAATAAGCTCACTTCACAACCTTTCACCAGCCGCAAACACTCGACAATTCAAATGAAATGTATACAAATAAATGAAGATTTGAAATCCACAATTAATAATAAGGTGATAGTGAGTGAGTAGTCAGCCAAGGAAACACACCAGTCTGATGACATGCTAAATTCTACAACTTTGTAAAACGGGGTGGGGTTGCAGACAACAAACAAACAGGAGTGTAAAAGGAGGAGTTGTTAAAGAGCTAATAGGTTACATGACTGGATGTGTTTGAGTATCGTTTACATTTGATGATTTTAATGAACTATTCATGTTACCATTCAATGTCAGTCGACATGTGAGCAATGTTCAGGTGAAGTTGAAAGGTTGCAAACTTTCCTTGGTTGACGTGTGCATGTTAAGCCACCGCTTACCTACTTCGATGTGTCATCCTAGAGGAAGTTGGATTAAGTTAGAGAAAAGGATTCAGGGTGACCGGACTAAAACGTAGCACTCGTACATGAAATCTCCAACTGTTGGTTTGAGCCGTGTGGAGTCCCTGAGACGATGGAAGTCAGTTGCAGTGAGTGAGTGAGTGGGTGAGTCAGCCAAGGAAACACGAGCAATAATCACACATATCAGTCAAAATCGATGACAATTTATACAGATTTGATGAGATAGAAAATTCTGGAACTTTGTAAATAGTGGTGGAGTTGCGGATAACAAACAAGCAAGTATGTAACATGAATGGGTGTTAAAGAACTAATAGGTTACTTAATTACATGGAAAAACGTTTAGTGGTTAATCTTCCGTTAGTAATCAATGATGATTGGATATGGGAGTTTGTGGGGATTTAGTGATTTTTTTCAAGTTGGTATTCATCATGAACTAACTGACATCATTTGGAGGAATACTGAAAATCTGGGAGCAGTGAACAGCTAGCTGTTTCGTCTCACTATTATGAGACTCCTTAGCAATGCGCACCCATGAAACTTGGTGGCCATGCACACCTTAACCAAGGAAAGTTCGCAACCTCTCAACTTCACCTGAGCATTACTCACATGTCGACCGACATTGAATGGTTTGTTGTCTGCAACCCCACCCCGTTTTACAAAGTTGTAGAATTTAGCATGTCATCAGACTGGTGTGTTTCCTTGGCTGACTACTCACTCACTATCACCTTATTATTAATTGTGGATTTCAAATCTCCATTTATTTGTATACATTTCAATTGAAGTAGTATAAGGGTTTTTAAATGATAAAAACCGTAACCGTTGCACAAGAAGTGGCTATCGTGACTCGATGGTGTAGTGGATAACGTGCTGGTCTTTGAAGCGGTCGCCCCCAAGTCCGAATCCCATTGGTGGGAACAACATCACCCCGCACTGGGACGCAGGTACATCCAGCTGACCAGTAAGTCCCAAATAGGATGAAATGCGCATCCCGGATTCCACTGCTAGCCACGATCCATCCTTAACAAATTCCATTGGAATTGTAGAGTGTTTTCAGCTGATGAAAAATTGTAAAGTGAGAAGTGTACCTGTTTCTTTCTGAATTTTTTATATTTATTATAGCTAGTTATATGGTAGTTATTTGTAAACAAAATTGATTTTGACGAGACAGCTGTCCAGTGCTCCCAGGTTTCCTTTGTTCCTCCAACTGATGTCAGTCTTCGATGAATAAACTTGAAAATTGATTTTTGACAATATCCTAATTATTCAATGAAACTGGCAATACTAGATAACATGCATTTCATCTTTTATTCAAAGTTAATTATCAGAGCGTAGGTTTAAACATCTATAGTGAAATGGAATTTGAACCAAGTAACCATTGTGCTACACACACACACACACACACTCTAGTATTATCTTTTACTCAGGCTATTGTCTAGCTATTTTCCATAGATTGCTTAAATTAGCTCTGTTCTATGTGAAAAACTCTTCTTTGTATATCTCTGTATGAAATATTCACTTCACTTCATCGGTAAAGACAATATACCTAACCATGTTGAAGCAATGATGATAGGCTTATCGGTCCCTTCTACTTATATTGTAACTATAGAGAATTAACTATAAAGAAGGACATGAATATAGGATAGAAGATTATAGCCGGTGACTACATCTGTACTATTTATTTATCCAGTTAATTGACTCATGGATGAATTCAGTATTCAATCATCGTACCTAGTGTGGTACTTTGGTACTTCTTACTGCTTGTGATTGTTATTCCATTTCATCTCCTTCTTTTTGTAAATATTTCTTATCTTTTTTAGGGTGCTTTCACTGGTCTTATGTATGGATTAATAACTGGTACTATACGAATGATACTTACAATTGTTTATAATGATCCAGTATGTGGGGAGATGGATACACGACCATGGATTGTAAAAGAGATTCATTATTTATATTTTGCTGTATTCTCCTTTACATCTACAGCTCTTCTAGTTGTAATCGTTTCTTTGTGTAGTAAAGCACCTACATTAAGTCAATTACATCATTTAACCTATTGGACAGCTTGGGATAAGAATAAAAATGATACAGATAATGATAAATATCAAAGAAATATTACTTCATCTCATCATCATGTTTCTCATAGTGATAATGAAGTTGACAAGAAAAATGAAACACAGACAGATAGTGAAGATGATAAATATGATGTGTTCACAGTGCAACCTAATGCATCTGGATCGGTATTTCTATCGGAACCGAGTAAGTGTTAACTATAACTTGTAATCTGGTGGATTTTATCACTAATCAACATTTAACATCCAGTAAGCTGAAGCATCATTTCATTATGGCTAGTTTGTACAGTTGACTGAAGCTGTGGTGAATTTATCTAAAGGAGCAGTTGACTTTTATAACCAGTGGTCGATAGGTTCGACAACCGTCGTATTTATCAATGTTTACCCAGCCATAGGTCTCACTTATAATAGGCGTATAGTTCCCTGCCTGGTGTACGAATCTACAAAAGGTTACTGAGTGTGGATTTTGATTCTATTCGACGTTTGATTTAGCGTGTAGCACTAAGGATTTCAGCAGAACATCAGCTTTTACCTACTGGTGAACAATTTGAGCATATAGTAGTAACTTGTCTTCTAGTCTGATTCTTAATCTAGTATAGTATTATATATTTATTAAGTTCTGAGAAGCGTAGAGTAACTTTTTAGTCATAGTCTAACATTGTTATCTCATCCTTGATTAGAGATGTGATCATCGAAGTGATCTAAACACCAGACAGCCGTTTCATTCGTTTGCTATTGGAGTTCAGTAAGAGCCAAATTGGTTCACATTACTTGAATTTATCTAGCTGAACTCAATCCCAAATGAGCCAAGTGACTATTCGGTATTTGGATCACTTTTATCTGCATGCCTGGTGAACTACTGTACATTCGCCTTAACGGTATCCAGTTATTCAGTTTGCTTACCAACGGTGTCTTTCGGTAGTTTATGATATCTTTTTGTGTCAGAAAAAAAAAACACCTTAGGATTCTCGACTGACATATATTTTCCAGCGGAAACCGTGCTGACACCAGCGGAGTTGGTTAAAAAAACTATCCAACTATGAGAAATATATCAACGTGTACCATGCAATTTGAAGTCGATATTAGGTGATAATTTAAGGTTAAGTGAAAATTTGGATCAAAGTCGGGCTCGAACCAGTAACCATTTCATGCTCGATACTCCATCAACTGACCTAGGAGGTTTGACTACTGACCATATATATTATTTGACTTCAATCATAAGTGGGGTTTTTTTTTCCCGACTACCATGTGAATTCATAACTTCTCACCACCCCTTGATCATACTTATACTGCTGGCCAAGTCAAGATTTCCCATCACAGTTTAAATGAATTAAAATAAGGGGAGGGGGAAAGCATCATATTGATTATCAGTTTTTGACTATCTCTTAGTTAGTAGAGCATTGGAACAAAGACGTAATGGTCACTGGTTTGATTTTGGTCGTGGTCGAAATTTTCATTTCACCTTGAATCATTACCCAGTATTAGTAGTACTAGTCTCCCAATCCATGTCTGCTATCTCAGATAGTCAAATAACTGATCATTTTATCACCAGATATTTTGTGAACTTTGAGGAGTTTTACTATTGTTGCTAGTAATTAGCCCGTCATTGAGTGGACCATATTGATCAGTCTCTATTGATAAGATGGGTTCCTTCATGGATGCCTCGATATTGCATGTGTTTGAATGATACATTTATAATGGATAGTGACTGGTAGTGGAATCCAGTGTAATGCGTGAACCGGGGGCTTCAAACTCCAAGCGTTATCCACTAGCCCACTGAGTCATAACAACTATTTCTTGTCTAATGTATATAGATTTAATGTTGTTGCTTGTGACTTGATGGTCTAGGGGCGGGGGGGGGGAGGAAATAACACTCTGTCGTTTGAAGTGACCGGTCCTAGTAAAAACAACTTCACTCACTGGAAGATACGTATATCCAGTTGACACGTCATATATAGAACGAAACATGAACCTTAGCCACTATCCATCATTGATATATAGTTGGATAGTTTTCACAAAACCCACAATGGAGAAACAATAACATAATATAGTTATTTGTGAATACTTTCATTTTGTATCCAGTTTACTTACTAAACCGAAGTAAGTAAGTGTTTTACTTAAACGTTATTTGTTTAGCTACAGCTAGGAGATAAAAAAACCCTAGATGTACGATTTCGTACTAATTGTGATCCATTAACTCGGTGGATAGCATTCTAACATTTAGAATGATAGATACCAAGTATTAGTTTTAATAGGGGGAATACCTATATCCATGAAAGATATCGTAAACAGTAAGAAGGCCGCATCGTTAACTGTGGTGTATTTAAGCGTTATCAACTAAATAACATAAGGACAAAACAGTTTTTTGTTTAATACATCTAAGAGCAAAACTTGGTCACTGTGGTAGATTATAATTCCATTCTAGTCACACACAATGAAGGGATAGTATCACTTACCTGATAGTAATCATCATCATCATAATAATAATCTCAGTAACATTTATGACAATACTAAGATTCATAAGCCAGGTTGTTCAAGCAGGCCTATAGTAGATTTTAGAAACACTCCAACTTACGAGTTGTCTAAATATTTACCAGTAGTACTAAGCGCAATTGGAAACCATTCAAAAACACGATTCACTAACTTGTATGACTTAAAGCATGAGATACAAGTCGATGAGTAAAAAAAAAAGTTAGTTTTAAAATTACTGGCCTTTACACGAATACACTGATCGACATGACTCTGGAGGAAGTTAGAAATAGGCCTAACAGCGACAATGAGCTTATGCATTGAGCTAAGGTGCTGATCAAGAAAATCATGCTACCAGTGCGATTCTGCCTGATATCTACAGTTATTAAGTTTCAAAATAATATATATATATATATATATATATATATATATATATATATATATATATATATATTATATATATATATTGACAAACTGAAGGGGTTGCCATGGGATTAGCAATATCCCCCATCATCGCGGACATAAATATGGATAGTTGGGAGGGGATGGCCCTTGAAACACTTAGTCCTACTCTAAAGATATGGTTCAGATATGTAGATGATACGTTTACAGTACTGAAATCGAAACATATATATAAATTCAGTAGTGAATAAAATTCAATTTACCTGTGACTTACAAAGTGCTGAAGGTGAGCTAGTAATGTTAGATTGCAAGATTAAACGAACATAAGACGAAAGTCTAGAGACTAGTGTCATCAATGGGAGTCCTTCTCATTCTAATCGTTACTTAGGCTTCCCATCGTATCACCTCATCTCAGTTAAAGTAGGCTTAGTTAAATACTTAACTGATAGACCAAAAAAGCTTACTAGTAGATCTGCGACAAGAAATACATCAAGAATACCCTACATATCTCAATAATTACCCACCAAACTTCATAAATAAATTCATAAGAAATCGAAAGGGAAATATGAGCAGTGGTAGAAGTAGTAGTGTGAGTAGTGGTAGTAGTAGTGTGGGTAGCAGTAGTACTAGTGTGAGTAGTAGTAGTGTATTAGTGTGAGTAGTAGTAGTAGTAGTAGTAGTAGAGTAGTAGTAGTAGTAGTAGTAGTAGTAGTAGTAGTAGTAGTAGTAGTAGTAACACGGGCGTCATTAATAATAATTCTACAACTAATAGTAATAAGGGTGACATGGTTGAGAAAGAATTCAAGGCCTCTGCTGTGTTACAATACAGGGTTAGCTGAGAATAGAAGGGCATTTAAACGCACAAACTTTCTCAGAAACAGTGGTTGGAGTGATTGTGAGGCACACAACTACAGTATTATGAACTAAGTTAAATGGGTAAGGTGGGAGAGGTTGCTCAGTAAGAATGATTCTGCACCTGTCCCAGATATATGGAAGATCCTACTACCTATATAACAAAGGAGGCTAGAGAATTATGACTATAAACTCTGTCTCAAGCTTGTAGAGTTACCTGATATGATTATAGACAATAAATTATGTCTGAAACACCATACAGTAAATGAGACTGTCCTTTCACTCTGTGTAACATTTTTGATAAACAGACTAAAGTGGAAACAGTTTTCTGTTTGCACAATGTATGGCTGTAATCATGAAATTTCCTGATTCTGTTAGAACTTCACTTGTACACATGAATAAATTTGTATTGATTTCTGTAACTTGTTGTGTATAAAATTCCTTCATAGATTATAGTCAATCAGTCAATCATTCAACTAGTCCAGTCTCAGCCTGAAATTTGACATTACTGGATAATAGTATCAATAATTACCATAATTCATATTATCATATGAAAATAGAAGATATTGAAGTGAAACAGAGAAAGAGAATGTAGTCAAAAGTTGTATCAACTGATAAGAAGAAAGAAGAAGGGTACTGGATTTGAGTCTTCTCAGTGAAAACAATATCATTCACTGGAGTGTAGATAAATTCAGCTGACGAGTCTTAAATAAGATGAAACGTGCATCAAAATTGATCTCTCTGTTAGTCACCAAGATCAATATAACATCATGAATATTTAGAAGTATCAAGGTGTCTACATAAGAGCCAATCTGTCAATAGAGGGTGGATTAATCGACCTTGTATAGCAACAGGTAATTAAAAGCATCATTGTAACAACAAACAGAAGAACAATTAAGTAGGATAAGATGAAGACAAAGTGTATATCACTAAAATTGACTGTGAGCAATATCACTCAACAGGATGAACTAGTAATTCCAGTATTCATATGGCCCCCAAATCTGTGAATATCTACATTTTCTTACAAATACTTCTTGAAGTGTAATAAACTCAGCCTTTTTCCATGTGACTAATTTTTCATCAGACGGTAGATGATGATTAGGTGTGTATAAAAAATCTTTCAGTCAATTGAATCAATGAATACTGACAACTTCATGGGGATTATTATCGTGACTTAACTAATAACCATCTAACTCATATAGATATACGTGTCAACTACTAGTTTACAAATGTGGCATAAAGATACATTCATATACTGAGATGACCCTGAAATGATCTACACTTTTCTACACACCTATTTAACTAATCTAAGTCTCACAAGTAAGATCATGTAGTTTTTCTTGAATGTTCTACATGCTATGATTGTCTGTGAAGGATTTTCAAGGATTTCCATGTTTGTTTAGTGAATCTATAGGATATTATCGCAATCTATAACATATAATAATTGAAAAAAGTGAGATGCATACCTTTTATATCTGGAAACCGAGTTGTACACAATAAAAAATTTCTTCAACAGGTAGTTAGTTAGTATAAAGGTTTTTATATGATACTGTCGTTCATTGCACTGAATTCATCGGTCTCTATTGGCATATGAGCTCCTGTGCGGATGCCTGGATATTGCCAGCAATCTGATTATGTTAAGGATGGATCGTGGCTAGCAATCGAATCCAAGATGCGCATTTCGTCCTTTTTGGGACTTACTGGTCAGCTGGATGTACCTGCTTCCCAGTGCGGAGTGATGTTGTTCCCACCAATGGGATTCGGACTTGGGGGCAACCGCTTCAAAGGCCAGCACGTTATCCACTACACCATCGAGTCACGATAGCCACTTCTTGTGCGATGGGTATAGTTTTTAGTATAAGGTACATCCAGCTGACGAGTCCCAAGTAGGACGAAATGCGCATCCTGGATTCCACTGCTAGCCACGATCCTTCCTTAAGATAGTGTGTGTGTGCGTGTGAATTTTAGTCCTGTCATCTCATATTCTTTGTTCCTTATATATATGGGTATTGCGTCACTTCCTATTACACATGTGTTGCGTGTTGGTTGATTCGATGAACAATGATTCAGTAATTATTCACCGTGTATCTCTCGGTGTCTAATTATAATGAACTTAGTCGGTACAGTGGATTTACTCCACGCTATTGTGTAGCTCTGTGTGTCTGTTGATGCATGCATTGCGATAGCTGAGTTCTTTTCTAGATTATTCATCTGACTGAAGTCAGTCATTTCATGTGTTAACCTTGCCTGGTTAACTGGTTCACTAATTTCCTGACTGGTCTCAAGTCCGGATAAAGAGGGAAGGTTGAGCATGGGACTAGCAACCATACACCGTAAAACCAATCTAACCGCTAAAGAAACTTCAAAGCAGAAAGAAAATCTAAGATATAAAATTAAACTTATTCCTCACTGGAATCGGAGAGGTGAAGTGACGCCATTTGGTGAAAGCCTTCGGGAAGCCGATTGGCCGATGTGTGTTCTCTCGATAAAAGCGAAAGTAAACATGGGGACATGGAATGTCCGCACCATGTTTGAACATACCAAGGCTTCACAGATTGACAAAGAGATGAGAAGTTGTGGCAAAGAAGTGCTGGGAATCTGTGAAAGCAGATGGAATTGAAGTAGACTGTCCAAACTGTCAACCGGAGAGGAGTCAACAGCCTACTCAGATATTCTCACCCAGACGACAACCACGAGCATACTCAGTTTTGAAGTGACTGTCATAATATCTCCAAGAGCATCAAAGAGTCACTGTTATTCAGTGCGAACCAGTCTCCTTCTGCAGGATCTGGATCATCACAGCAAGATTCAAATCAAAAGGAAGGAAAGTCACAATCATACAATGCTACGCTATCCACCTACACATAATGCAGATGAAGAGAAGAAGGATGAATTCTACAGACAACTGCAATCACTAATGAACAAGACCCCCACCCGAGTTGGCCACATCAAATGCATTCTAATCGGTGGGGTGACATGAATGCCAAACTAGCAGCAGACAAAATAGGAAGAGAATCAATCATGTGTCGAGAGGCACTCGGTGAAATGAATGAGAACGGAGAACTGTTTGCAGACTTCTGTGCATTTAATGACCCGGTGATTGGAGGCAATGTGTACAAACACAATGATATTCAAAAAGCGACATGGACTGCACCAGATGGACACAGTACACTGAAAATCAGATCGACTTCATCTGAGTGTGAAGAAGATGGAGACGCAACCTACTGGACACAAGATCAGATGAAGAAGGGAGGAGATGTAGGTTCACCCCACTCACTATCTAGTGCAAGGGACCTTCCAAATCAAGTTGAAATCCTTTAAAGAATTTGGTGATAGACCATAGTTCAAGTTGAACATCCAGAACAAAATGTGAACTGAAGGACGAAACACAAAGGACATCTTCACATCAGTCAGTCATCAGGACAAAATGGGAGATATTAAGCAACATCCGTGAAGAAATCTAGGTGGAAGAACACTAGAACTGTGTGAAAGATGTGGAAAGAAATCTGCATAACCGTATTAGGAAGGAAGAAGAAGAAGAAGCAGGGCAAGGAGTGGATCTCGAGGGACATATGGAAGGTGATAGAACAGGGAGAGGAAGATGGTGAAGCAGAAGATGAACCAGTGCAGTGCATGGATGAATAACGAAAAGAGGAAGTGAGTCCAACGTTTAAAACACTGCACTGCACAAAGAAGTGAAGAAGAGTGCATGGAAAGACAAAAGACTCTTCTACGGCACTTGCAAGTGAAGCAGAACAGGCTGCAGGTAGGTAATTCTGCTTGTTCATTTTATACCTCCTTGTGTGTGTGTGTGTGTGTGTGTGTGTGTGTGAACTGGATTAAGTTCACTACTGAGTTGATGTTATGTTATTTTACTATAAAGACTTGTTTTACGTCCAGACTAAACGTTTTTCAACTCTCTTCTATGTGTACGTCATTAGGCCTTAGTTTCAACTCATAAGAATCGACTAGTAGAGAATTTGAACGACCCCTAATCAGAGGTGATATCGATCCTCATTAGTAGCAGATCTATTCATGGCGAGTTAGATTAACACGACTTTACGAACGTATAATCCTCCACCTAACATATGATGGTGATATATGAATGACACATTCACCACTGTCTTCAAATCCCAACATATCGACACTTACCTCATGCATAATATCAACTCAGTAGTGGACTCAATCAAATTCAAGCACACACACACATGAGGAGGTGTGCCCTGACTAGTCAGTGGAACAACTTAAACAAGGAAGTGAAGCATATAAACGAAGTGTAATAATTCATAATTATCCTCATATGAATGAGAATGCGAATGATTGTGACAACAGGAGTTGAAAGCAGTTGAAAGCTCCTGTTGTGTTACCCTATAAGGAAGGAAGGAAGGAAGGAAGATGAGAAACTGCATGCAAGATTGTTAACAAGTCTGTTTGGGATTCAGGTGGCATGCAAACCTACAAACTGATTTAGAGATAAGGTTTGTCAGCTGGTTTAAGGAATCGATAGAACCAATTAAGCAGAATAATCTAATCTATGAAATCCCATGTAATGACTGTGAGTGAGGTGAAGTACAGAGGTGAAATTAACTGGTAGGGTGAGTTAGGATAGGGGAACATAGGAATTTAGCTAAATGTAGACTGACAGACCCGAATAAGATGAAACACTCGGCTATTGCAATACAGCCATCAACAGCCACAATGACATAATTGGATGGGATAAAACCACTGTATCCCACTGGAGTTGAATATAATACATTGGAGAGACTTATTATTGAATCTTTGTTCATCAAATCAACCAATACCCAGTACATGTGTAACAGGAATGATGCAACACCTATGTAAGCAAGAGATATGTAAATCTTTCCTACGAACAGGAAGAAAGAATATGAGGCGACTAGACTATAGAAAACAGATATGGAAAGTAGTGTGATTACACATTGATATGATGATGAAGGGTGATAATTTCTGCTCGAAGCGTCATCAAGTAAGTTATTTTGTATTAGTGTGCGCTATATATTAAATGAACAAATCTAATATGCGATTTCATTCAAGCACAGTCCCTAAGTCTTACACTTATGTAGTTGATTAGTCTAATTAGTCTAAGAATTCGCTTAAGTTATCAAAGAACAATAGATGTTTAACGAAGAGTCACTGTTTCCATCGGTATCCTTGTCAATCTGCACAGTCGCATATACTAGTATTATTCGATTCACATGGTGACAGAAAGGAGAGAGATGTGTTTCGTGCAATTTGGGACTCGGTAGCTGAATGTTCCTGCTTCCCAGTGAGTGATGCTGTTCTCACCGGGATTTGAACTTGGGACCGATCACTTCAAACGCCAGAGCCTTATGTACTAGACCACCGAGCTATGCTAGTCACTTCTTGTGCGATAGGTATAGTTTTCATATCATACTGTAGTTGATTGAACCTAATTGATCGGTGTCTATTGATATGTGGGTTTGTATGCAGATGCCTCGATATTCCCTTTGTTTCAATTCAGTCCAATCAACAATGGTATGATATAGTAATGACACTTTGGACAAAGAAAAGGTTTGATGAAGTATTCTTTTTGAGTGTGATTCAATTTTGATTAGGATAAATCAGTAGATAGGAAAAAGGAATAATATGGAGAAAGAAAACTTACCAGAATCGATGTAATACCTAGTTACCAAGTTAAATGATGTAATCTAGTTCGAAGAATTGTTGAATGTTGAATATGGAATCAGAACTCGATGGAATGTGAAAGTATGTAAGCAAAGATGTGAAGGAGAAGATTTTCTCGACTGCAAATCAAGTGACTAGAAAAACGTGTTTTGAAGACAGAGTTTAGACTTGAAAATTATAAATTGCCATGACTTAGGGTTATTTCGAAGAAGTTGATTTCTGCATTTCAGTGAGTGATCATAATCAATGAAATGCTTTAAAATAAAGTTATGAGATTCTCTTTTTGCCTTCTCTGTGATGACAAGGATAGTAGAACAGGTGCAGTATGATTTCGATTCCCATATGTATTTGGTGTTGATTGGATAAACAAAGATTCAGTCGGTTATTAATCTCTCCCTCCACCCAACTAAGTTAGTTTTCAAAACTATCGCCCTATCTCACCCTGCTGTGTGACTGATTGTGTGTCATAGCATGCACAGCTATAGCCGAGTTTTTCTCCAGATTTATTATCTTGTTAGGATCTACTAATCTTGATTTACTTAACGTTTTTGTGCTGTGTTATTCTAATCAACCCTGCCTGGTTGACTGACTGTTTTGACCTATGTACTTGATCTCGCAATCATTGCAAGGGATCTGGTAAACCAGATTATTTTGCTTAATTGCATCGATAGGATCTTTTCACCTACAAAGCTTGGAATTTTAGCTGGTATATCCTGTGAAATGTGTTTGGTAGTTAGTTATGTGATAACCATTACTGATAGGTTGATACCGAACTCTTAAACTGTAGCATGTAGGAACACTATAAAGTAATTTTTTGATGGAAAGTATTTCAAACTAGATGAAATAGTCTAAGAAATGATATGCCTATTTTTGATGTTCTTACCTTACTCTCTTTTCATCAATGCAATACTACTCATTTGTGTTTGTTAGTAGTTTCATCAAGAAAATTATCGATCAACTACATTGAATCAGTTTTCCGGTGGACTAATGAATTTAGCTACAAGAACACAAACACACATTTCAGATGTTAACAGCAAAAAATAAATCAGAACTGATCTAAACATTTTTTCATAATGGCAAAATAAAAAGCCGAATGATTTTTCATTCAGTTTAGAATACTCTTTTTATACTGATCAGTTTATAATATGAACAACAGACAAGAAAGAAACTTGTAATGATGAAATGCCTTTCAAAAGTCATTGAACTTTTGATAACATCATAGGATGTAGAGAATCCAGTGAGTGTTGACATATTCGATTCCCATATCTACTGACTGATATGTAGGCGGACGAATGGTAGTATCATCAATAACCATCAAGAATATTAATTTGTTGAATGAATTTCATTGATTAGAAAGGTCATCATTTATTTCATCGAAAGGCTATAAAGTTAGTAAATAATATTGATGAGTGCCAGTTACTCGGTGTCATGTTCTCAGGACTGTTATGCTGTTAAAGATGTACGGGTATCGGCTGTCAGCCGCAAATATTCAGTAATTTCATAGTTGATTCTCGACTTGAATAATTAGTGAAAAAGACATGAGGGATGTTTAGTAATGTGTATTGGGGTCGAAAGACCGAAGACAAGAATAGACGAAAATGTAGCTAATATATGTAGATAGTTCACAGTCTATCTGTCTAACTGTAGATGTGGTAAAATAAAGTACACTTTGATTAGTCCCTCTCCAGAATAGGCTTTGGTTTTTATCCCCATATCACCTCCATCTTCAAAAGAATGTGATTTGGAGTCAAACTTGGTCTAACTGTCGCTTTCCTACATCTATCTGACCTACGCAGAGACAGTTGTTCCTTGTTCACTCGGGATCAGTAGTCTTCTCGATATTCTTTCGGTGGGCAGGTACATGAGCATGAAAATCATCTATCAAGCCAAGCGATTTACCCACAAATGGAGAATGGGATCTGAGGCGATATCTCGAGGATGACCTCCATACACGTAGTTCTGTGTGTTGGCGGCAAAATCCGTCACAATGGCCTACAGCATTACAGTTATGGCATCGATGTTGTTTATGTGGACAAGATTTGATGACATGCCAGTCAGGTAATAGGGATGTCTTCTTCCAGAGTCCCTTGGTATCACGTGAGTTAATGGGCCGATAAATAGGCTAGATAAGGTTAGAGTGTGTGTGGTCAGAAGGTGATGTGGAGGAGTGAGATATCTAGGGAACTGTACACACTTCAGAACCAACCTGGTCTGTGGATTGGGATAAACTCGTATCACGCTGTAAGTTATCCTGTCGCTGATATTCAGCAGACGTGTCATTCAGTGTCAGAGCTGTGATGTAGAAAGTGCAATCACATGGGTTCTGTGGGGAAATGATGTTGCAGTATTGATTGAGGTCAGATGGACGAAGCCTTCAAAGTAGGAGACGTAAGAGACATACATTCCAGGAATCATCTTGGCCAGTAAAATCCACCTTGAACCAACTGTCGAAAGTCTCATTGGCATGATCATCATAGTGAAATTCAGTGATGCTATTGGGGTTGCCGTCGATTGAAGGATGTATTAAAAGTGTGGCGTAGTAGGTGATGATTTAGTAGGGGAATTTTGGATTGTGTAAGTATGTCGATAATCCTCATTTATTATTTGAGGAATTCGTTCAACTTGAAAGAGTCGAATACCCAACGTCGCATCCTCATTGGCAACTGTTATGATTTTAAAAACTGCTATACGCTATAACCGCTAACCATCAATAGATATCGACTATCAGCCGCCAACATTCAACAATTTTCCAGTTGATTTCCGACCCGAATAATTCATGCAGAAGACACGATGGACGTGTAGAAATGTGTATTTAGGTCGAAAGACTCTTAAATGACTGATCTATCATCAATCTGTCTGTTTTACTATAGACATGATCACATGAAATTCATTTCTATTCGTCCCTCTCCCGTCTAACCTTTTCTGTATATCCCCATATCACTCGAATCACCTTAATGAGTTTAATTAACCACTTAGCATAACTGATCTACCTTTTGTATCCATGTGTTTGTTTGTTTATTTGTTCTTACCTAAGACTAGTGTCAAACTAACCAACAGATGAGTTGGAAGTAAGTCGTGCAGGTTCCCATTGGTTGTAAGGTTCAATTATCGTGTAAATCACAACCAGCTTCAACTCACAAATACACTACAATGACGTAGAAATTGTTTTTATAAAAGAAATATCTTTACTTTAAAAGCTTTATCATTACTTAGTCGGCTTAGTTTACTCTTCTATCGATAATATTGTGTATATATTTTGAGATGAATGGACATTTTTAATTTAGAAGTAGTATTCATCATGGACTGACATCAGTTGGGGAACCATTGAAAGTCTGGGAGCACCGGACAGCTGTTTCCTCCAACTAGTATGGGACTCCTTAGCAGTACGCACCCACGACCCGGCTACCGGTCGAACCCAGGACCTTCAGGTTTCACGGCGAAAACGTTAACCATTCATCCAGCCGGTCAGTCGGTTTCCAGTGGTTCACAATTTCCAACTTCTGTCGATTCAGGACATAGCGCGACTGTCACCCATGGTCTTCAGTTAGCATCCACTTGACTTCCGACTGGTGGACCCCACAGGTCACGGCTCGAAACCGACCCAGTGGCTGGGTGGTTAACGTGTTCGCCGTGAAACCTGAAGGTCCTGGTTCGACCGGTAGCCGGGTCGTGGGTGCGTACTGCTAAGGAGTCCCATACTAGTTGGAGGAAACAGCTGTCCTGTGCTCCCAGATTTTCAATAGTTCCCCAACTGATTTCAGTCCATGATGAATACTACTTCTAAATTATGTATATATCTTAGATACTATAGTCTATAAGAGACGAGAAGTGTTCAGAATTGTATTGATAAATATCTATTTACATTGTACATACAGAAATTAGAATACTAATGAAGCTAAGCTATCCACTTTCTTTGTCTTTTCTTTTTTAGTGTGTCTATGTGTGTGTGTGTGTGTGTCTATGTGCATCATTCCTGTTTTTATTAAGGTATGCGTGAATATCTAATTCTGTCTGACTGAACAAATTATTTTCTTCTCTATACTCTATTCATTGTATGATGACCTCTTCAGTGGTCACAAAAATACCATTAACATAGCAGCTGTGTATCTATAGGTGTATACAGTAAACAGAGGATGGCACTAGCAACAACAACAACAACGGCAACAATTCACAGTAAACTAATCATAACAAAAAACTGGACCTGATTTGCTTGATCACCCTTCAGTTATCAGCCTTTTAACTAAACAATAATCCATTTATTATTCTGTTCAATAATCACATGAATTCTGAGAAGTCACAGGACAGATTTTATATTATTGTATAAAGTGTATTATTACTTGTGTAATCCCGGTGTAGTATATTAGAACAAATTTTATTATTATTTCTCCCTTGGGTTCTTAATGGAACATACGGCTTCAGTAGCACGCCTCCATTCTATTCTCTTCTCTCCTGTCTTCTGCACCTGCTTCCTGGACTACCCACAAGTTCTCATTTCCAACTCGTCACTTCCTATCGGGGTTCCACTCTAGCGACTGGTCTGACGCGTGATATCCCCAGTCGGCCCAATCCATCTCCACTTCTTTATGCGTATTTGTTGAGTGATAGCTTCTTGGTTGGTTCGTCACCAGCCAGCCAGCCAACCAGCCAGCCAGAGTTCCTTGTTGCTTATTCTGATTATTCTGGCATCCATCTGAGCTGAGTTTCACTAACGAGCCAGTGTAGGTGGCAGTTGTTGATGAATGTCCCTAGTTTGTTGAAAATCCCTTTCGTAACACGCCAAGTCTCTGAACCATATATGGCAGCACTGATTTGACTGAGTTAGTGTTGAAAATGCGGATGTTGTTCCACATGCTGAGTGCTGAGTGCAGTACAGAAGATGTCCACACTGGTCTCAGGTTAATGAACGCCTGTCTTGCTGTCTTTCCGATGGTGGCTGGCTTTGACGTCTTTGTCTGTGCCTGTGCCGCCTGTGGTTGAGGCAGTGCTTCCTAGATAGGTGAAGGAGGCTACTTCGTTTAGATTTCTCCCGTTGGTGGTGATTGGAGTTTGTTGTTGTTGGTTGGGTATCTTCATCGCCTCTGTCTTCTCTATATTCACTCGAAGTCCTGTCTTCATTGCCCTGTCACTTCTGCCAACTTGTTAGTTTTCGCCTGTAGATCTTCAAGTTTGAGTGACATCAGACACAAGTCATCGTTGGCGAAATCCAAGTCATCTAGGTTCTTTTCCGCGGTCCAGCCACCGTATTCCCCTCTTCTCACTCCCCATTGTTTGCTGCATGATCCAGTCCACTACAACACAATCAGGAATATCATGGGTGATAGTAGGCAATCTTGTCTTTTCTTACTCCTGTCTTCACTTCACTTCAAAGACATCACTGAGCTTCCCATTGTGAATTACTTGGCACGTGGCATCTTCATATAGTTGTTGAATGAGATTGATAAAGATTTATGGCATTAAAACACTGGTATTGAAGCAACTGCCTGCCAAATTACTTGTCGGTCGGCGCTGTCGAAGGCCTTCTCAAAGTCAATAAAGTTGAGGTAGAGAGAGAGAGAGAGTTGACTGCCATTCTATACTGTGTTCTATGATGACGCGAAGCGTTGCAATTTGGTCCGCGCATGATTTGTACTTCCTGAATCCAGCCTGCCTGTTCCGGTTGTAGTTTTGAATCCAGTGCATCCTTCAGCCTCTCCAGGATGATGCGGCTTAATATTTCACTTACACTAGGTGGGCAGGAGAGTGATTCGGCACCAGTTGTTGGAAACACTGAGGTTTACCTTCTTGGGAGTTTGACAAAGTAACCCTTCTTCCAATCGTCAGGTACCTTCTCTTGCTTCCACACCTTCTGCAATAGTGGTGGCTAGCAGTGAATGCAGGATGCGCATTTCGTCCTATTTGGGACTTTGAAGCTGGATGTATGTGCGGAGTGTTGTTCCCACCACCGGGATTCGAACTCGGGAACGATCGCTTGAAACGCCAGGGTGTTATCCCGCGTTACAATGCAGGCAATATCGAGGCACCCGCACAGGAGCCTATATGCCAATAGAGATGATCAATTCAGTCCAATCAATGACGGTATCATATAAAAACAAGTATACTAATAACAAAGTAAACAAATATTTTGTGAATTATGCATCAACATTTCGATCTTACTAGGAAGATCCTTTTCTTCAAGAGTATGAATCTGACATTAAGTGTTCAGGTAAATATTGAAGTTTTGGTACAGCAAAAGGTGGGGGTGACCTTTACAATCATCCAATTACATAGTGATATGGAGCAAATATCAATGTAATACAGGTGAATGAATAAGCAACTCGGTCAGAGAGGTTTTTCAGTTGTGTTAGTAAGTTGGAACAAAAATAGGGTGGGGAAATTTTTTTAGTTCGTCCATAAAAATACCATGAGGTTATGAGACATCAAGGATGAGATTTTACATTACCATAAGCTAGATTGACTAAGAAAAAAAAGATAAATCAAATATACTATAAGGCAGTATTCATCATGAACTGACATTATTTGTAGAGTTAATGAGAATTCAGGAGTATTGGATACGAGATGATTTTCCCTAGGATATCACTCTTCATCAGTATGTACTCAGAACCTTCCGGTTTTACTGTGAACGCGTTAATCATTCAGCTACCAATTCAGAGTTCAATAGTCCACACACACACACACACACACATTTCCGTATTTCTATCAATTTGTAATATATTGCAACTGTACACCTAAGTCTTCAATTGGTATTCACTTTGTTTTCGATTAGTTGACCTCATCAGTCTCATTAGAACTTTCGAATATCCATCTGGAAGCATATTATTCACCAAAAAACCTTAAGCTCTTGAGTTCGAGCTCTGTCTAGGTGAATTTTTGATTGTGTTACTGTTAATGAGTTTCTAGATTATCAATCATACTCCTAATGATATCATTTTTTGATATGCATTTCTTCCTATTTATAACACTTAATAGGCGTCTTTTCAAGAGATTACTTGATAGTAGTATCAGTCAAATTAATATATAAATGTCATCCAATGAATTTCTTATCTTGTAGCTTAGTTTCACCACGATTCATCTTAACTGTTGATCTAAGTCTAATTTTTATAAGACTGTAAGAAGTTGAAATGATCCACTTCACTGACAAGTTCTAGGATGATTTATCTATCTGTTTATGTATTTCATGTATCCATTTCTCTAACTGTCTATCATATACTTTTCTACTTTCTTCTATGAACATTAGGTTATAGTTATATACATTATTGTATTCTAATGATCTAGTTTCATTTTCATTAACCCCTTTATTATTCAATTATAATGACTAATTTATTATTATTATTATTAGTATTTAATTAATTATTCATTTTAGAGAAATCAAGAAATCTGTTTCAATCTATTTGTCTATGGTTATGCGGTTTTGAGGATTCAATTTGTCTTAGTGAAAATTTTCACAAGTCTACTAAACAAGAAGAATTTACTCAAGCTAGACTGATCAAGATAACAAGTTTACATCAAGATCCTAGAGCAAAATTAGGATTACGGATTGGTTTAATTGGTATCATATGCTTAAGTGTATTTGGTTTTATATTCTATTCTATTTATTTTAATGAAATACATATCGGTCCCTTACCGGTAACAATCAATCAGACATTGATTATTGACAATAATCATTCAGCATTACTTACCTATCTACAAAATCATAGTTTGATTATAGTCAATCGAAGACAATTCACAGACTTTTAATCATTAATCAATAATTTATGATTTCTTTCAGTTTGATATGCAGAATAGTAATATATATTCATTTTGTACTGAAAGAAAATCCCTTCCTCTTTTTTTTAAAAACTTTTTATCTTATACTACTGACTATTTTATAAAGTAGTACTCCTCTGTAATGAGTAAATTATGCAAAGTTTTGTATAATTTCAGAAATATCCAGCCAGATTAATTAATAAAGTAATTAGGAGGGTTATTATATTATTTATTATCATTATTGTTATTATTAGTCCCTTGGGTTCCTAATGGAACATACGGCTTCAGTAGCACGTCTCAAGTGCACTCTGTTCTCTGAAATCTTTTGAACCTGGCTCCACGACAGCCCACAACCTCTCATTTCTTCCTCACACCGTCTCCTCCATGTCACCCTCACCTCAGACACCCAACTCGTCGTTTCCCATGGGGGTTCCACTCGAGCGACTGCCCTGACGCATGATGTCCACAGTCGGCCCAATCCATCTCCACTTCCTTCCACTGCATATTTGTTCGGTGATAGGTTCTTGCTTCTTTGGTTCCTCACCAGCCAGCCAGCCACAGTTCCTTGTTGCTTATTCTTATTATTCTGGCAATCCATCTGAGCTGAGTTTCACTAACGAGCCAGTGTAGGTGGCAGTTGTTGATGAATGTCCCTAGTTTGTTGAAAATCCCTTTCGTAACACGCCAAGTCTCTGAACCATATATGGCAGCACTGATTTGACTGAATTAGTGTTGAAAATGCGGATGTTGTTCCACATGCTGAGTGCTGAGTGCAGTGCAGAAGATGTCCACACTGGTCTCAGGTTAATGAACGCCTGTCTTGCAGTCTTTCCAATTCTGGCTTTGACGTTGTCGTCTGTGCCACCTGTGGTTGAGGCAGTGCTTCCTAGATAGGTGAAGGAGGCTACTTCCTTTAATTTTCTCCCATTGATGGTGATTGGAGTTTGTTGTTGTACTATAATTTATATTTTAAGATCAAGTGGAACGCTGATTAACTATATTTCATCATAACTGTTTGTTTTTTTCTTTACCTGAGAGGAGAGGAGGAGGCATGAATTGAACTTCATTATGAGAACATGCCACATATAATCAATATTTATGGTGTAGTTCAATATTGTACAGCAAATCTGATACAATCACCACTAATTTGAACAGATTGATTACATAATGAGTTTTATACAGTCTGTAAGAGTGTCAATTCAAGTTTTCAATATTATGATAGAGTACAGGGGAAAGGTGGAGCAAGAAGTTTCAATGAAAATCAGAAGTCTGTTTAAACGTTAAGCGTATTTACACCGTTCAATAAAAAAATTCAATCATCCTGATAAGTTGAAATAGTGAAATTCACTTTTATACATCATAGACTAGTAGAATTATATGACTGCATGTTTAATGCTGACTTGAAGATGATATGAACCAGGGGTCAAGTATGTATCAAGTTAGAGTAAAGCGGGTTTTTTTCTGTAGATTGTTTCAGACTTACCAAAACAGTATATAGTCGACATCAACCTCAATAAGTATTTCAGTCAAAAAGTTATCTCTTTACCTAGACAACCATTAGTTCACTCCGCTTTTTTCGTAGGGCTTTTGTTCACTGGTAGTTCTGCGGTTGCTGATGATATTTCTGGACAAGTTGCAGGTGGTGGTCGACTCAAGAGTTTTTTGAAGAGGTCAGCCCATCATTTCATTTGTTCCTCCTCTTTGATAACTGGGTGCACCTCAACATCTTTCATTGGTTTCGTTTGCGTTGATCTCTTGCCAGTCTTGAAAGCCATAAAGTTACTTAAATCCGGGAAAGCAGCAGGACCAGATGGAATTCCACCAGAAGCATCAAACACAGACTCAGAGACAGCAGCGGATATGCTCACACTACTACTGCAGAAGGTTTTCGAGGAAGGAAGGGTACCTGGCGATTAGAAGAAGGGTGGTACCTTGTGAAACTTACAAAGAAGAAAGACCTAAGTGATTCCAAGAACTGGGGTGGAATCATGCTGCTGTCCACCCCAAAATAAAACATTAAGCCGTATTATCCTGGAGAGACTAAAATATGCTCCGGATTCAAAATTACGACCGGGACAGGCTAACTGGATTCACGAAGTACAAATCACATGCGAATCAAATTGCAACGACATGCATCATCAACAAAGAACAGAGCATGGAATAGCAGTCAACTCTCTACTTCAACTTCATCGATTTTAGAAAGCTTTCAATAGCATCAACTGAGAAGTAATTGCATAGCTGCTTCAACACTACACTTTTAGTGCTACAAACCTTTATTAATTTCATTCAACAGCTATCTGCTATTTGATGCCGCATACCACGTGATTCACAATGGAAAGCTCAGTGATGCCTTTGAAGGGAAGACTGGAGTAAGACAAGGTTGCCGCCTACTATCACCAATCATCTTCCTGATTGTGATTGACTCTAATGCACTGCATCATGCAACAAACTGTGAGGAGCAAGAAGATGGGAATGCTTTGTTTAACCGATGTAGAGGCCCTAGAAGATTTGGATTTCACCAATGATGAATCATGTCTCATGTTGCACAAACTGGAAGATCTACAGGCAAAACCAACAAGTTGGCAGAAAAGGCAGGGCAGCGAAGACGGCACTTCCTTCAGGTGAACGCAGAGAAGACAGAGATGATGAAGATACACCACCAACCAACAACAAGCGGCAATCACCATGAACAGGAGAAATGTTAAGGATGTTGTTTCTTTCACCTAGTTACCTAGGAAACATCATCTCAACTACAGGCAGCGAAACACACACAGAGATGATGTGAAAACTAGAATCAAAAAGACAACAAGACAGGCCTTCATCAATCTACTGCACTGCAATGCACTGCATGGCACGGCACTCAGCACACAGTCTGAACAACATCCACATTCTCAACACTAACTCACTCCTTCCTCCCATATGGTGCTTCACACACTTAGCACCTCATGAAAAACATTTACAACAAACAACAACACACATACATCATCAACACCTGCCACCTACACCCACTTACTCAATACTCACACTGAAGTGAACATCACATCGTCACAATAATAAGAATAAGCAAGAAGGAAGTCACTCCGACTGGCAACCAACCAACAAGCTATCTCTGAACAAATATGCAGAAGAGTAAAGTGGGTATGGATTGGATGGGATGGGATGTGATGGGATAAACACAGAGAAGACGGTTTGGGTACATCATGCTTCACATGAGGTCTTCGAGTGGAAAGCAAATGGGAAATGATGAGTTTTGTGTGTGAGTGGAGGGTGAAATGGAGGAGATGGTGTGAGGAAGGAATGAGAGTTTGTGGGCAGTGGTGGAATCAGGTTGAGAGAGAATAGTGGAGAGAATCGAGTGAAATGGTGATGTGCTACTGGAGGTGTATGTTCCACTAGGAACCCAAGGGACACACAATAATAATATAATCGACATCAGTTAAAGAATCATCGAGAATGTGAAAGCAGTGGGCAGCAGTTGTTCCATCCTAGTATGGGACTTCTTAGCAGTTAGCGTCCACGACCCTGCCTCATCAAGGATCAAAGTGAATATCTTCAGGTGCTACAGCAAACATGCAATGGATCACAATTCACGATACAGCATAAGTGTCCACCATGGTCTGATTATGAATATCACAAATTCAATATAGATATCTCTAAGTGGTTGGTTAATGAGAAGTCATGACCGGTTGAGTCAACCAGTTTGAAGTGAACTGGATATCAACACCTTGGAAACGATAAAACATTGAAGTTTGACCCAGTTGCTGGATGAATGACTAACGTATTCGTTGCAAGATGTGTAAGTTCTTGGTTTGATCCCTTGTTGGGCGAAATAGTGAATGCATACTACTGAAGCGTTGCATAGTAGGACAAAACAGCTTTTGTTCAATGCCCTCAGGTCTCCAGATATGTTTGTAAATTCGATGATGATAGTAAATTTCGATTGACAATTCAATATTCTAAGTATGCTTTTTTCCTAGCTATCCCAATTCCTGACAAATAAATATTCCTGAGAAATAATCTTCAATGTCTTCGAATAAGCATAATACCTTGTATTTTTGAGATGAATGGGGATTTTAATTTAGAAGTAGTGTTCATCATGGACTGATATCAGTTGGGGAACCATTGAAAATCTGGGAGCATTGGACAGCTGTTTCGTCTAACTAGTATGGGACTCCTCAGCAGATTTTCAATGGTTCCCCGACTGATGTCAGTCCATGATGAATACTACTTCATAGTACCTTGTATTTTTAAGCTCATTGAAAAAAGCTGATTTTGGGGACTGTTTTGAAGAAAATATCCATCCGAATTATAAATTGTATCAAACATCGTAGAAAGATTTTCTAAGAAAGAAATAATTGCCAAGTAATTTAGTTGATCAAAATTCTCCTAATCCCTGAAAAATATTTGATTTGTTCACCTTCTGACTAGAACTAATATGTAAGCGATTGATAGTGCGTGATAATCAACGGTGAGCCAAAAATCTGCACGACAGCAAGATTTAAAACAGTGGTCTCTGCGTCTGCTAAACGAGTTTATTAAACTGTGGCTCTCAGATAGTCAAATTGATAATGTAAATACTTATTTATGGATTATAATGACTGACCGACCTACTTTTGTTGGTATACGTACTCCTTTAGGTGTATGCATAGTGGGAAAAGCTTTAGCATATGAACCAATGAGTGAAGCATTTCAGACTTATTGTGAACAATGAAGTGTAGGCACATCTTAGATGAAGAGTCAGTCCTAAATAGGATGGGAATGTGTGTCAAACGGATTCCACTGCTGGTTACCACCAAGTAAGTCATAGTAGGTAAATAAATTCAACGAAATATTCTACCATAAAGTGTACGCTAATTGAATTCCATAAATACTTCCCACAAATCAAACAAGCTATCATCTTAGTAACTGTAAAATGATTCTTCAAACCAAGAATTAATCGTGGTTGCTCTATTACAACACTCGATGCACAAAATGAAATCAGAGGTGAAGCAGAGGAATAGCCTACAAGAACAAATAATGTAAGACTAAAAACTCAAGTGTACAGGACTCACCACGAAACTTTATCAGAAGATGCTTATCCTTTGTATCCATCAACTATGAATAGATCATCGTACAGGATATATCAGAGATCATGACAAGATTACTGAGAGTACTTAGAATTGATGTGGTGCATCGCAAACCAACAAATCCACTTGAAATCATATTATAAAAACTAAAGGAGGTGCATCATACAAAGAAGACAGACCCAAATATGTTACACAAAATCAGCTGAAATAATTATGATCACCACTACATTGGAGAAAGTGGTCACCCTCTTCGCCATCGTTTACATGAACACTGATTGGCTATTAAACATCACATACGACATTTCATCACTCATTTCAATACATGTGGACAATTATGGATATGAATTCAATTTTGACAATGTAGAAATGTTAGACGGAGAGAGGAAACACAAAGAATATCAGAAAATTTCTAGAAGCTTGACATTCAGGTCAGTCAGTCAGCAATCGATAGATGTATAGACATAGACCCAATCTATCAAGCAGTAGGAAAAATGAAGAACAACAGGAAGGTCAAGTAGAGGAACAGTCAATAGGAAAATCTCTTCCGTCTGTCAGTGACACAACAATCAAAGGAAACAACCAATTATAAACCAGATGCTTAGAGAAGGCTACCGAATCACTCACGGAGAGATACTGTCTGGAAAGACAATGAAAGCTCCACGGTTAAACTACTCAGTTAGTGCAGCCAAGATCATCCACCTTAGCTTAAATACATTGTTCTAGATTGCCAGCTTATGCTATCTGTGATTCCACAGTGATATGTACTGCATTGCACTTTACTTCGTTCTCTTCCACTGTATGGCTGTGAAACATAACTATTAAATATGAAGGATATGAGAAGTCTTCGTAGCATTGACCATGTGTCATGGTTTCACCATATGAGTAACACAGAAGTCAGGTGTAGACTTTTAAGGGGGAGAAAAAAGTAACCTGGTGCGGTTATGAACCTTCATCGGCTGAGATGTGTGGCTGGAACATGTGTTATGTGTTCCTAGCCACCATGTGGGTCATTGCACAATGTTGGCTGAAGTAGGTTCAGGCTACAAAGAGGTTTGCGGCAGCCAGAGTAAGACATGTCCCACAGACCCCAACCGGCTAGTCTGCATCGCTCTACATGGCTCAAACCAACAGTCAGTGACTGGTTGGAGAGTCTAGGTGATATGTCAGTGGTGTAGATGTATACTCACATCATCCTCGTCCTAACCACTATACTTACTCGCATCATCTTATTCATCACTCCTCTCTTTTACTCTTTTCTACTTCCTTCGATAACTTTTCCTTTATCTTTCATGTTAGTGTATTTTCATATCGTATTGCTGATATGTGTGGTGTGGCTGACAACTTGAACCATTGTGTAGTAATGCTTGATCGTATTTTTATATTGTGATGATGATGATGAGGTGAAGATTTCCCATTAATGTAGTCTAATCAACTATTGTAATGCTGACACATATGATTATGTGGTTTCCCAGGGGAAATTTGGCGTGCGAGTGATTTGAACAAATTTTAGGGTCATTTTGAAAGATTCATGCAGTAGTACACTAACATACTCATTCACAATGATGTTGAAAAATATGGGTGGACTAATATTCCACTGAAATTGTCAGTACAATTTGTAAAGCAAGGTGAAGGTGATTTTCCAAGCTAAGTGGCCTTACACAACATCATTTGAACATCTAAGATAACCGTAGTCTGGCAGACTAGTATTATTGATACTGGGTGATGAATGAAGGTGAAGTGAAAACTTCGACCGTGGCTGGATTCGAACCAGTCACCACCGGGTTACCGGCTCTACCAACTGACCTACAAGGTCAGACTGCTAACGACATTTTTATTTCACTTCAATAACCAAGGATTATATTTCGACTGGGATGACAAGTTCTGACTGATGGCCAGCCAGTGTGAGTACAACCAAGCGATGGTAATGTGTCATGAATTTACATAGTATTATTATTAGTCCCTTGGGTTCCTAGTGGAACATAGGGCTTCAGTAGCACGTCTCCATTCCACTCTGTTCTCTGAGATCTCTTGAACCTGGCTCCACGACAGCCCACAAGCTCTCATTTCTTCCTCGCACGACCTCCTCCATGTCACCCTCGGACGTCCAACTCGTCGCTTCCCATGGGGATTCCACTCGAGCAACTGGCCTCACGCGTGATGTCCCCTGTCGGCCTTCTCAGTGCATGCCAATCCATCTCCACTTCCTTCTGCATATTTGCTGGGTGATAGGTTCTTGGTTGGTTCGTTCGCAGAGTACCTTATTGCTTATTCTTATTATTGTGGCCATCTGATCTTCAGTAGCGAGACAGCGTAAGCAGTTGTTGATGAATGTCTGTAGTTTATTGGAAATCCCTTTCGTAACGCGCCAAGTCTCTGAGCCATACAGAAGCACTGACTTGACGTTGGTGTTGAAAATCCGTATCTTGTTCCGCATGCTGAGTGCAGAAGATGTCCACACTGGTTTCAGGCTAATGAAGGCCTGTCTTGCTTTTCCGATTCTGACTTTGACATTCTGGTCTGTGCTGCCGCCTGTAGTTGAAACAGTGCTTCCTAGATAAGTGAAGGAGGCAACTTCCTTTAAGTTTCTCCCGTTAATGGTGATTGGAGTTTGTTGTTGGTGGTGGTATTGTTGGTGGGGTATCTTCATCACGTCTGTCTTCTCTATATTCACTTGAAGTCCCGTCTACGCTGCCTCTTCTGTCAACTTGTTAGTTTTCATCTGTAGATCTTCAAGTTTGAGTGACATCAGGCACAAGTCATCGTTGGCGAAATCCAAGTCTTCTAGGAATTTACATAGTAGTCGGGCAAAATGCTACTTGTGATTGAAGTCAAATGAAATATTTGGTCAGTAGTAAGACCTTCCAGGTCGGTTGGTAGGACATCGAACTGGAAACCCGATGGTCGCAAGTTGCAGTCCAACCGCTGTCGAAACTTTCATTTCACCTTCAAAGATCACCCATTTTATGTGAAACCATTTTACAGAATATAATTCACTTGTCGCCAATCAACAATTATTTATTATGCTAAGTCACTTGATTTTGGTTAATAGACCTACGTTTCGTTCTATTACGGACTCATCGACTGGATGCATCACCACATAGGTCGAACAGTTCGATCTAATAAAACAACGCAGAATTACAAGCATATCAATAAATAGTAGAAATTATTTATTACGAAAACAAAAAAATGTTCATATGTGTATAGATGTGCATGTGTTTATGTGTAGAAAACCAGAGAAAAAAAGAAGAGCAAAAAAATACATTGGAAAACATCTAAGTGAGTTACTTTTCTCTCTTTCTCTATATTGGTAGCTTATTTTACATAGTGAAATCCAAAATAACATTAACTGATAACTTTGAAGATGCACACACACACACACACACACACACACACACACATACACATATGAGCAACTTCTACGCATATATATGGCACACTTTGTTACCTCACCTGACATTCTTGTTGCTATGGGGGTGACAGGGAGGGGGGGAACAGTAAGAGTTCATAAAAAAAGAGAATTGAATTTCAACATACAATTAAATTTCCTTCTTTTTTTTTAATGTATAATAATTAATTTATTCTTTTCTAATAATTGTAATTGTTTAATTAATGTTTCATTGAAATTTGTCGAATTACCAATAATTGGTAATGGACCAATTGAAATTGGACCAAAATAAACTGAGAAAAATATAAAACCAAAAATTGACAAAATTATAATTAAAATTAAGCCAATATATAATCCAAGTTTTATTTGTGGATCTTGTTTTAAACTTGTTATCTTAGCTAAATATTTCTCTTGATCAATATGTATCCTTTTTTCAATATGATCATCATCATCATCATTAGTCTTTTCTTTAAATGTTGACGATGAATTCTTCTTTTTTATATCACTGAAACAACATTTACACCCAAATTTATTGCGTAATTCAACATCAGAACATGGATGATCAGTACAACCACAAAACCATAGACAAATATTTTTCATTAATCTATACGCATATGATGATGATGATGATAATGATGAGGTATGCAGTGTAAATGATTCCACTTCTTTACAATCATCACGTACTGAAATGGAATGAATGAATAATATTTTTTAAAAATATGATGAGTCAAAAAATGACAAGAATTATTATTATTTGTCTCTTTGGTTCCTAGTGGAATATAGCGCTTCAGTAGCACGTCTAAAGTGCACTCTGTTCTCTGCAAACTTTTAAACCTACCTCCACAACAGCCCACAAGCTCTCATTTCCTCCTCACACGTGATATCCCCAGTTGGCCTTATCAGTGTATGCCCAATCCATCTCCACTTCATTCCACTGCATATTTGTTCAGTGGTAGCTTCTTGGTCAGTTGATTCGTCACCAGCTACAGTTCCTTGTTGCTTATTCTGATTATTCTGGCAATCCATCTGAGCTGAGTTTCACTAACGAGCCAGTGTAGGTGGCATTTGTTGATGAATGTCCCTAGTTTGTTGAAAATCCCTTTCGTAACGTGCCAAGTCTCTGAACCATATATGGCAGCACTGACTTGACTGAGTTAGTGTTGAAAATGCGGATGTTGTTCCACATGCTGAGTGCTTAGTTGAGTGCAGAAGATGTCCACATTGGTTTCGGGTTAATGAACGCCTGTCTTGCAGTCTTTCCAATCATGGCTGGCTTTGACGTCTTTGTCTGTGCCCGTGCCACCTGTTGTTGAGGCAGTGCTCCCTAGATAGGTGAAGGAGGCTACTTCCTTTAATTTTCTCCTGTTGATGGTGATTGGGGTTTGTTGTTGTTATTGTTGGTGCGGTACCTTCATCACCTCTGTCTTCTCTATATTCACTTGAAGTCCAGTCTTCGCTGCCCTGCCTCTTCCGTCAACTTGTTAGTTTTCGCTTGTAGATCTTCGAATTTATAAGACATTAGACATAAGTCATCACTGGCGAAATCTAAATCTTCTAGGGTCTTTTCTGCGGTCCAGCGTATCCCTTTCCTCTCTCTCCTCACTGTTTGCTGCGTGATCCAGTCCACTACAATCAGGAATATCATGGATGATAGTAGACAGCCTTGTTTTACTCCTGGCGAGGTTAAAATGATAAGAAGAGAGCTCAATTATTAGAGTATCGGGCTGGTCGCTAGTATGAATCCGGCTATGGTCTAAAGTTTCATTCCACAATTCAATCATTAACCAGTATAAATTACTACCACCTATACACATGATCTAGTTGTCTGCGGGCGATACAAACCTAACACGTAAAAGAGTTGATTTTAATCTCAGATCAGAATGTCAACCACCAACACCACATTAACAACAACAACGACAACACCATCAATTTGCGAAGATAAGAGAAGACGGATATTTGACAGAGAGCTTCTACTGTCACAACAATACCTGACACCAATACTGAATATACACATTTCTGAAGGACCTTAACAACACTAAATCCACTGATGGGTAAATTAGTTGACAATCAATGAGAGTTTAACCTTGAGAAATTGTATGAAAACAACAATGATAAGTTATTTTAAAGTGATGAGCAAATATCAAACAAACATTAGACAAAATTAAAGGTAAATAGCACAATATGAACATGTTTCTGCATACGGAGATTATCTTTGTGTTGATGAAACACTAGGGCGTTTGAGATGTACAAGTTCTAAAATGGTACTCTTTTCAAACTGTTATTATTTTTACTCTGTATATAGACAGAAGAATATATTACTGTGGATTTAAATGCCTAGAATTTAATGGTGACTGTACACTTTCTATCGCCAATATAAGTAGCCCTCCCCCTTCCCCTTGCATCAAGTGAACTCATAAACGAAGGATAAGTTGGCTTACATGGGTAGCTTGGCATTAACATACTCAGAAATTGCCTTACTTTTGTATTCTAGGAGAAACTAGTGTTCCCAGTCAGCTGAAGCAAGTGACTATTCAGGATTTTATATTTTTTACCAGCTTCGAAATCAACATGTAAAAATCTAGTTATATCTTCACCACTTTATGAACCCTTAATATTGTTTTCTTTTCAAGTTTCTGTCAACTAATCTGGATAGAGAAGTCTAAGGAGACTTCTATAAGTTCCAGGGTTCGCACCGAATCGCCAAATAAGCATTAAATGTTCACAGTAATTCTCAAAACTAAAATATTCAGTAAAGTCTATAGTCAGCATACTGAATCGTGTTTGGTATTAAAAAGTTGGATTCCAGATGGAATTGTTTGACAAATCAAAATTTTTATCTTAGCCTTGCTAACCATTTCTCTTTGATGAATAAATTCCCCAGGAACTGGAAGTTCTCGGCTAAGAAAGATTTTCGATATATGTTATGTTCAAAAACTCACAACTAAAGGTTCATTATATCGACCATATTACACTAGAATAGAATTAATGGTAAGTAAGCCACTTGTGAGCAATAGCTTGACATAATCATAATAGCCGGTGACTTTAACTCTTAAGTAGGGAAGCCTAGCCAATCGGAAAGGCATTTGGTAGGTATTTACGGAATCCCGTGCTGACAAACCACCATCTACAGTGATGATGTATTGCAGTTTCGTATCAACAGCTGCATATGGGGAGACACTGTCTCATATGGCGTCTGCCGACTTCAATTCAACAATAGATACAAACAGATCGTTGAAAGGGATCAAGGGAGAATCCCAATCCTTGTGGATTTCTAGTTCGGACCTCAATCAAGTGTTTGTACGAGGGTGTGTAAGTCTGCATCCTACTGGCCACAGGAAACAAGAGGCATTGAAGCCTATCTGTTCTCAGTTGGTAGAAGAGGACGCCAAGTACTCAATTAAAGAGGAGTTAGCTAAGTATTCGTCTGAATCTGGCACCAATGTCCATTCTGAGAAAAAATCTGGCGTGATATTAAGTCTGCTGTATAGACAGTGGTGAAAACAATTGGAACCTACACCGGAAGGTTAGCAAACATCATTGGAATTTTGCGACGTCATCCGCAGTGATTGATCCGACAAGACTGATTCCAGTTGACCGGCTTTGACCACAATGAACAGCAAAAACAACCAAGAGTCTTCACGTCAATCGCTAGCAACAGTGGTTGGTGAGAGAGAGGAAAAGATGGAGAAGGGATCACCGTTGGGTAATACTCAGCAACCATTTAGGCTTATTAAAGATAACGGGGAGAAGAAGACGATGATGAGTGAAACCGTCACCAAAGAGGCTGGCACCCTGATAACCTCCCAGGACAGACAGCTAGATCGGTCCTCCAAATCTCTTTGAAGTTGAGGCGGCTGTATTGAACCTGAAACTATGCAAAGGATGGAGGTGGGAAATTTCTGATTAGAGCAACAATAGAGGTAGTCCCATCCGACTAGTGTATAAGAAGGGAGAGAAATCTTCCTGTTGCAACCATAGGGGAATTAGTTTGACTAATATTTTTTCCAAGATCCGTGGGTTCATAGTTATCTGACGCCTTACTGGATCTCGATAATAGCGAACTCGAGCAAACCAGGCAGGTTTCAGACGGAGACAAGACTATCGGTTTTGGACGACACTCACCATATTTCTCGACCTGAAAGGATCAGTTGTTTCTGTCAACCGTGAGGTGTTGTGGAAGTGTCCTACTGTGAAGGGAGTGCACATCAAGTATATAGCCCTAATCAAGCATCTCTACTCGGACTCATGCAACCATGTTAGGTCTTGTGGGCATTTCTAATCTAAATTACTAACAATCAATAATCAAACGATCTTGTAATGATGCTGATGATGCAGAGACTGGAAGCCATTATTCTACCTGTGATCAAACTAAAAATTTGAATTCGCTATGTAGACGACAATTTTGTCATCATTAAAAAGGATGATATGGAAAACACCCACAGTTTAATCAACAACGTTTTCAATGACATCAAATTCACAATGGAGAAAGAGTCAAACAACCAACTACCATTCCTGGATGTCTGAGTCAGTAGGACAAATATCGGAAAGCTGGAAACCCAAGTGTACAGGAAGCCAATATACACATTGACCAAATCCTCAACTACAATAGCAGTAACCCAACAACACACAAAATCAGTTGCGTGCAAACTCTATTCAAAAGAGCTAGAACATACTGCAGCACAACAACTTCAAGGAGAAAAGAAGAAAATTACTTGATGTCCACCCTAAAGAAGAACGGCTACCCACGAAACTTTATCAGAAGACGCCTATCCCGTGCATCACCAACTACAAAGCCATCGACAGAAATCAACAAACACATCGTCCTACCATACATGAAGAATGTGTCAGAAATCACGACCAGACTACTGAGACCACTTGGAATTGCTGTGGCTCATAAACTGACAAATTCCCTCCAAACACTATTATGCAGACCAAAGGGGGAGCAACAACCAAAGAAGACAAACCGAGCATCATTTACAAAATCAACTGCAATAACTGTAGTCAGCACTACATTGGACAAAATGGCAGCCCTCTTCGCCTTCGTCTACAAGAGAACACCAATTGGCTATTGCATGCCACGACATTTAATCGTTGCTCATTTCAATGCACGTGGATACTTATGGATATGAATTCATTTTCACAGTGTAGAAATGTTGGAGGGAGAGAGGAAACACAAACAATGTCAGAGAATTTCTAGAAGCTTGTCATTCAGGTCAGTCAGTCAGCAATCAATAGATGTATAGACATAGACCCGATCTATCAACCAATAGGAAAAATGATAAACAACAGAGAGGTCAGAGGTGAAGTAGAGGAACAGCCAATAGGAAAATCTATACAGTCAGTCAATGACGCAAGAATCAAAGGAAACAACCAATCACAGATCACATCATCAGAGCAAGCCACTCACTCACGGAGAGACACTGACAGCTCACTTCATACTGAAGTTAGTGCTGATGATGTGGCTGTCTCTTTAGACGATGAAAGCTTCAGGATTAAACAACCCAGCTCCTCAGAGAACACAATACAACCAAGACAAACCATCTGGTGAATAATGTTGAGTTTAGGTGAAAGGTATGAAGATAAAGCAGATACATCAGTTTATAAGGCTGTTATCACATTAAAACAATCCTTACTAACCTTCTGTTATTGTTTTATTTACAGGTTGTTTATTTTCAATATTACCATTATCAAGTTGAAAATCTAAAGGAGTATTTTTCTCCTCATCAATATCTGAATGACAAAGTTTATGATTAGAAACTTTTGCTCGTGTTATCATTTCATCTTTATAATATGGTTTATTACTGATATGATGAATACTATCGATGGAATCGCCTCCGCCTCCGCTGCCACCATCAACATTGTCATCATTTCGATGATCATATTTATTCATTATGTTATTATCATTGAAATGAATACCATTTTGTGATTTCACTGTATACAATGTTGTTGATGTCGTTATTATTTGTGTTATAGAATTTGAATTATCCCATGCTGTCCAATAAGTTAAACGGTATAATTGTTCATTTGTTGGAGGTTTTTCAGTGAATGATATTAAACAGACTATTATACCACATGTAATGAATGAAAACAATGCAAAATACATATAATGAATATGTTTAATAATCCATGGTCTGGTATCTAATTCACCGCATATTGGTTCATGATAAATAATTGTTAAAATTAATCGAATTAATCCAATTATTAAACCATAGATTAAACCAACAAATGCTCCCTGAAATAAATAATAATTAAAATATATTTTGAGAAAGTTGTGGAGATTTGGAAATATTTCAAGTTGTTATTCATCGTAGACTGACATCAGTTGGAGAGGGATAAAGGAAACCTGGGAGCACTCGACAGCTGTTTCGTCCAACTAGTATGGGACTCCTCAGCAGGGATCGAACCAGCGACCTTCGGGTTCCGCGTCCCATACTAGTTGGACGAAACGGCTGTCCAGTGCTCCTAGGTTTCCTTTGTTCCTCCAACTGATTGATGTCAGTCTTCGATGAATAACAACTTGAAATATTAAAATATAATTTTATTTTCAAAAATAATCAACAACAAAAAGTAGTAATTAATGTATACTTAAATTAGTCATCTTATTAAAGTAAAACAAAAAAAAAATGCAGTTAGCAGTTGAACCTTGTAGGCCAGTTGATAGAATCTGGTGGTGACTGGTTCGAGTCCGGCCTCGGTCTAAATTTTCCTTTCACTTCAATCATCATCTAGTATCAGTTATACTAGTCTGTTAAGCCAATATACATATCTCATTCAGATAGTCAAAGTGATAATCAATACGATGCTCTACCTCTCTTATTCATTTACATTTGGACTGGGATGAGAAGTCTTCACTGAGGATAACCAGTGTGTATACGATCAATCGATAGCAATATATCATGAATTGATATGTTATTTCGGATAAAAACCTAACAAGTGGTTAACAGTTGGATCTCACAGGTCAATTGGAAGAGAATTGCAAGACCAGAAAATCGATTAAGTCCCACCATAGTTTAAATTTTCATTTCACGTTCAATCATCAACCGAGTATTTTAATAAGGCATTTGAAAAAAAAAAACAATCGGAAACAAAAGTATAATTTTACTTCAATATATACTAAATAACTTGGAAAACATTCTAATTTGTTATTTACCATGGATTAGTATTAGTCAGATAATCCTTGAAAGTCTAGAAGAGTGGAACACTACTTGAATCATCTTAATGTTACACCTCTTCAGCAGTATGGTTGTTTATTCCACTACTTCATCCTATTATGAGTCGAATATTCAACTAAAGGTTCGGAATCAAATGGTCTATATTTTCTAACTACATTCAATGCTGTCATACGCTAACTGTCTTCAAATTCGACTTCTTTCAACTTTTGGATGCCTCACTCATCTCTACACAAGTCGTCAGTGAGCACTGTAGAGTAACTTAATTCGCAGGTTTATAAGGATTTACTAATTTCAAGTTGATACTCATCTTTGTACTAAATTATTATTATTATCATTTGTTGCTACTAGTAATTCGCTGTTGTTATACTGACTAGAATTGATCAACTTGTGTTGGCATATAGACGCTAATACGGAAGATTCGATATTGCCTAACTACTTATCGTTATTATTGATTAACTTGCTGCGAGTAACATTACTCATTGGGATGCTCGTAAACATCCGGCTGATGAGTCTCGAATGGGACGAAATATGCTTCCTACATCCCATTACAAGTCATGATCAAGTCAGTGTGCAGTGGATTGTGTAAATGCTGATATTTAAGAGAAAATAGTTAATGATTGAAATGAGATAACGATTTATGCAAGTAATAGTTAGTTGACAACCTGGATATTTCTTCTCTCTGTTTACAATTTCCTTTGTATTAGTGTTACTACACTCACTATTATATATTGGACTTGATTTTCTGTTTCTATGGCTAACCATTAAGTTATCTGTGATATGTCTTTCTTTGATAGTGATAGAAAATATTTACAGCTCAGAATGAGGATAATAATGTTAAGGTTGGATCGTGGCTAGCAGTGGAATCCAGATGCGCATTTCGTCCTATTTGGGACTTACTGGTCAGCTGGATGTACCTGTTTCCCAGTGAGTGTTGTTCCCACCAGTGGGATTCGGACTCTGGGGCGACCGCTTCAAACGCCAGCACGTTATCCACTACACCACCGAGCTACGACAGCTACTTCTTGTGCGACGTGTATAGTTTTTAGTATAAGGGTTTTTATATGATACCGTCGTTGATCGGTCTCTATTAGCATATGGTCTCCTATGCGGATGCCTCGATATTGCCAGCAATCTGATTATGTTAAGGTTGGATCAGATTGCTGGTAATATCGAGGCATCCGCACAGGAGCCCATATGCTAACAGAGACTGATCAATTCGGTCCAATCTACGACGGTATCATATGAAAAATCCTTATACTAGAGGATAATAATGGTTTGACTTTCTCTGAGGTTTGTGTGCCATTACCTGTTCAATATTCTCATTCATTTTATTATGATATATAACCCATACCTATGTGATATAACTATGCTATAACGGATTGATGATAAATCTGTGACAAAACACTAGAATAACATATAAGGTTATATTTCATCTCATCAGCATCTCTGTGCACTTGTTGATTATGTAATAACAGTTTACATCTGTGTCTGGTTGGTTGTTTGCACAATTTGTTCACCTGCTTCCGTTTGAACAACTATTATAACATACCAAATAAAAATTTATTCAGAAGACTTTTTAATTCGAAGAATTTCAAAGTGGGATCAACTCTAGTCGAACATGAGGACAGGTATTCAGCGATAAATAAATAAATCCCCGCAAACCTTCAAAAATCAGTTCTAAAGTATTCAGAAAACATCTGCAGTATACTAATTCGGTTTTTTTGCTTGTATCTTGTTCTCTGAGGAGCTGGATTGTTTAATCATGAAGCTTTCATCGTCTTACGAGACAGCGACATCATCAACACTAACTTCAGTATGAAGTGAGTTGTCAGTAACTCTCCGTGAGTGATTTAGTAGCTTGTTCTGACGATGTGGTCTCTGATTGGTTGTTTCCTTCGATTGTTGTGTCATTGACAGACGGAAGAGATTTTCCTATTGGCTGTTCCTCTACTTCACCTCTGACCTTCCTGTTGTTCTTCATTTTTCCTACCGGTTGATAGATTGGGTATATGTCTATACATCTATTGATTGCTGACTGACTGACCTGAATGACAAGCTTCTAGAAATTCTCTGATATTCTTTGTGTTTCCTCTCTCCCTCCAACATTTCTACACTGTCAAAAGCGAATTCATATTCATAGTTGTTATTCACATGCATTGAAATGAGCAGCGATGAAATATCGTGGCGTTTAATAGCTATTTGGTATTCTCATGTAGACGAAGGCGAAGAGGGCGGCCACTTTGTGCAATGTAGTGCTGACTACAGTTATTGCAGTTGATTTTGTAAATGATGCTCGGTTTGTCTTCTTTGGTTGTTGCTCCCCCTTTGGTTGCATAATAGTGTTTGGAGGGAATTTATCAGTTTATGAGCCACATCATCTAGAAACATGATGACAGCTTCACGATTAAACAAACCAACTCCTTAGAGAACACAGAATAACCACCTGAGGTATAAATATTCTCCGCTATTTCAGATTCGATTTTTGAGTATACAGAGAAAATATTTATTCGGGTAAATAGACCCGCATCTCTTCGACTACATTTTTGCTTACACATAAACGTGTATAAGCATGAAGACTTGAAAAGTAACCCTAGGACCCCCCTTCATGGTCACACAACTCCTCAGTAAATTGAAAATGTGATACGATAACAGACGTTGCATTGCAATGTGAAAATATGTACAAACTACAATGGTGTATATACATCAAAATGGCATCCATCACGAACTGATGAAGTTCAGTTGAAGAGTAAGTGTAAATCTGGGAGCACTTGACAACGGTTTCGTCTTAGTAAGACACTCCTCAGCAGTGCTCACCTAACAGGTGGCAGTCCCATTTGAAGTGAAGAAAATTCCCATAAACCTGCAAGTTTGGTTTCCATATACTTGTTGACAATGGCCTCGACTATTTTCTATGCCTTCCTATTGTTTTTTTACCTCTTAAACTAATATGATATTTACAAGCAGGTTTACATGTTCTCTATCGAAGCTTCGATTGATTATGAAAGGCTTCTATGATTTACAGCTTCCTGTAGGGATATAGGCAATCTTATCGCACACTATAACAGATATAAATGTGTATGGCTTTTGGGAAAAACAACGCCGGATATTTCATTGAAGCAGTTAAACAATCCCCAAGGACATGTATGGATAATTAAAATTGAAGTATTAAATAAATCTGTATGTTGAGGGAGTTGTGGAGATTTGGAAATATTTCACGTTGTTATTCATCGAAGACTGACATCAGTTGACTGACCCATTGGCTCAATGGTAATGCGCTAGCCATGGAACCTGAAGGTCGAGGATTCGTAGGTGCGCACTGCTGAGGAGTCCCATACTAGTCGGACGAAACAGCTGTCCAGTGCTCCCAGGTTTCCTTTGTCCCTCTCCAACTGATGTCAGTCTACGATGAATAACAACTTTAAATCTGTATGTAGCTATAAATATACTTGAGGGGGTAAATGTGAATACCATTCAGTGATAAAAAATAATATCACGTAATCGCTAACATTAGGTATAGAAGTAAATTAACACTCTAGGTGACAAGAAATTCTTGTTTATGCAGTTAACCAATGAAATAGATAAATGTATGAAAAAGGAACAACAATAAAATGTGTCTAGACATGATAAGTAGTATTGTCAACCTGTTAAACTTCAAATGTTTTACGACCTCATTCAGTGGTATGTACTAAACGTAAGATACAACTTGTGTTCTAAACTTGGTGACTAACTGACTGACTGACTGATTGACACACTAGAAAAATCATTATAGAGCTTCATATACAAGTGGATCGGTTCAAATTGCCACACTTCACAGTAGTATACAACAAATACAAGTGGATAGAAAAAGAATGATGCCAAAGTAGACAAGAATATGTGAGGGAATAAAAAATCTGAAGATGCAAATGTAAAAGCTTTAGACGACATCAAAAAGTGAATACATTTGCTTCATTATGACCGGATTTTCAGCCATTTTATCAATAATCATAAATGTAAGAAAGTACATTCAATGAAGAAGTCATTCGAAAGCAAATAGTTGAAGTGACATATTCTACTTTCTGACTCGCATCAATTCAGCTGATGTGAACAAAGATTGAAATCAAGTGATTTTTATTGGTAGAGTTAACAAGATAACAAGATATATACAAGTTGCTAGCAAAACACAATACGCGCTGAGACATGATGAACTCTTCAGTCTCATGGCTCATTTGCTCAGAGATCACTGAATCAAAGTAAAAGAGACAGACTATCATACCATAGTGGCTTAGTAGATATCGCTTTCACGTTCGAAGTTACGGGAACTCGCTTTGAGTCTGCTTACTGGGAACAATATCACTCACTTGGGTGCGTATACATCCAACTGACGAGTCTCAAGTAGATGAAACGCGTGACCTGAATTCCACTGCTAGTCATTAAGATCAATGTAACATCATGAATATCAGGGAGTGTTGAAGCATCCGCATAAAGAAGCCCATCTACCAACAATCGTCAGGCAGTTCGGTCCTGTATACCGATGGGAATTACAACAACAGCTGATACCTGTTGCACAAAACATTGCTATCGTGCCTAGGTGGCGTTTAAACCAACGGGTACGAGGTTCAAGTCTGCTCAGTGTGAACAACAACTCAGATACATCCAGCTGACGAGTCCCAAACAGGTTGAAATTCACGTCCTTGAATTCTTTTACTAGCCCCCCCCCCCCCCCCCGAGATCAATATAACAAGTAAACCACTGTTTTCTCTCCCCCTCACCCCAACCATACCTTAAAGGATTGTGATTTTATATAAACATGATAAGAAACAGACGTAGGACAAAAGCAATGATCAAATAAAACTTACCCTTTCTGTACTCCGTTTAATGAGCACAGCACATAAGTAGACAGATGCTACTGGGGGAGCAAGATAAGCTGAAATCGCTTGAATATATAGAAATAACTGACTCCCTTGCAATTCTTGAATCACTGGAATCCAGGCAATACTCAATAAGATTAACACGATTACAAAGATTCTAGGCCAAAAAAAAACACCAGCAAAGCACAAAGTTTTTGTATTTGTAAGTAAATGGGAAAAAAGAAAGCAAATAAGCACAGGTATAGATTCTGTTTAATATAAATTACATGTAACTAATCCAACTGATTCATAACGCAAAGCTGCTCAGCGATGCCTTTGAAGTGAAGTGAACACTGGAGTAAGACAAGATTGCCGCCTACTATCATCGATTGTGGTCGACTCAACTGGACTGCATCCGGCAACAAAATATGAGGGGCGAGAAGACGAGCATATCTTGGCTGACCGATGAAAAAGACTCTAGAAAATTAGAATTTCGCCAATGATTTGTGTCTAATGTCATATGTCGCATAAACTCAAAAATCTACAGGCAAAAACCAACAAGTCAACAGAAGAGGCAGGGCGGCGAATACGCAACTTCCATCAAGTGAAAATAAGGAAGACAGAGGTGATGAAGATACCCATCGAAGCAACAACAATAACCATCAAGGGGAGAAGCCTTAGGAAATTAGTCTCTTTCACCTACCTGCATAGACAAGATCGTTTCAACTACAGGCGGTGACACACATACAGATGACGATGTCACAGCCAGGGTGGAGAAAGACAGTAAGATGGGCTTCATCAATGTGAAAGTAATGCGCAGATCTACTGCACTGTACTGCACTCCACGTCACTCAGCACACAACCTGAACAACATTCACATTCTCAACACTAACTCAATCAAATAACTCACTCCTTCCTTCCATACACTGCTTCACACACTTGACACCTAATGAAAACATTTACAACAAACAACAACACACATACATCATCAACACCTGCCACCTACACCCACTTACTCAATACTCACACTGAAGTGAACATCACATCGTCACAATAATAAGAATAAGCAAGAAGGAAGTCACTCCGACTGGCAACCAACCAACAAGCTATCTGTCAACAAATATGCAGAAGAGTAAAGTGGATATGGATTGGATGGGATGGGATGGGATAAACACAGAGAAGACGGTTTGGGTACATCATGCTTCACATGAGGTCTTCGAGTGGAAAGTAAATGGGAAATGATGAGTTTTGTATGTGAGTGGAGGGTGAAATGGAGGAGATGGTGTGAGGAAGGAATGAGAGTTTGTGGCAGTGGTGGAATCAGGTTGAGAGAGAATAGTGGAGAGAATCGAGTGAAATGGTGATGTGCTACTGGAGGTGTATGTTCCACTAGGAACCCGGGGGATAAATAATAATGATAGTAATAATATCTAAAAAATAAACTAAATTATGTAAGAATGTTGAAGAATAGATTTTTGCGTATATTTTCCTATTAGTAGTTTTACTCACTTTGTGAAAAGTTTTTTAAACTAAATAATTATGATGCACAGTGGTTTAGTGTTCTCTGAACTCTTTTTTTAATTTTGTTTTGTCGTCATCAGTATAGATGACATCATCGTTATTAACTTGTATCCTTTCAAAATGTTTTGAGAGTATAACATTTCTTTACGCTTAGATATGAGAGAATTTTACAGCTTGTTAAAGTTAGGGTTAACTAAGCATATCATCAAGTTTGGTGATAAAATATTCACGAGAAAATAAATCAAAGCTCTCAATGAAGACTAGATCACCCACTATAAAACTATAAGCTATTCACCTTTTAGACTGTACATTTCTTTTTTTGTTAAGTTTTAACTAGAGAAGTGAAACAGCTGATGTAGACAACTTGAGTAGCTTGCATTACATCACCTAAAATACCCTTTTTTCCATCTTTTAATCTGATTATTATACAATACTATAAAGTATTTCTACTGTCTAGTGAATAGTAACATATTTTTCTACTGTAAATTTCAGCGTTATTCAATCACTTTGTAGGGGATTAGATTACCTTCAAAAAGTGATGTGTACCACATGCGCTGATGAATGATTAAGCATTTTTGAACACAAGATAACACTTTGTTCTTTCATCACTATGAAGGGCATGGCTTAGAAATGTTAAGTTTGGTAACGTACAGTTTATTATGTAACCAACTAATTCACAACTACTAATCCACTTTTATTTTGAATTCTCTTCAAATAGTCTGATTACACATTTTTTTTCAACAAAACAATAAGAAGACGTAAATTGTCTGAACCGTGTAATGTATTTGCGCAACACATTTCGAACTATCTGATCACACACGTACTTGTCATAGGTATTTATATAAAAACTCATGAAGATAAGGGGTGAGAAAATAAAAAGGGGTCAGGTAGGAAGGCTGACTTAAAGGCCGAATAACAATGAAAATCAATAGAGCGAAAAAATAATAGTACATCGAACTTGGTTTTTCAATAGTTGAATTTACCAAGGAAGGTTTAATGTGACAACAAATTGTTTATGAATACATAAAGGTGGTTTCAACTTCCTAATAGCTAAGGCTTCAACAAATTTCAGGATCCCTCCCCAACATGTTTTGTAAATAGGTGTAAAGGAAGTAGCCACATCAATCTTGTGACCTGTCTCAACGATATGTTTAGCGATCGAAGAACTTGGACGTCTGCTACCAACATTTATAGGTTCAGGTGATTTAATTTGCTTCTGAAGCCACTTTGGAATATGTTCCGAGGCCCTTACTTGCATGGATCTATTAGTCCTCCCTATGTATGTGTCACCACACGTACATTTGAATTGGTAGATACAATGGGATGTGACATTATCGTTCACATGCTGTGGGGGTTTGGGGGAATATAAGGGCTTCGTGGTTTCGATTACTCGAACCCTGGCTGCATAGTAAGTCCTTCTAACAGCAGCGTTAAGTCTCTGCTTAAGGATTGCACTCTGAGAGTCACCTTTGTACGGAAGGCTGATGAAGACATCCTTCTTTGGGACTGACTGCAGTTCTAGTTTTGACGCTCTGCTGATTTTGTTCTGCCTGATAAATGTTGATGGATAGTTATTTTCCAACAAAATATCGGTCAGTGTTCCTCTTTCATCTTCTAAAGTATCCTCGGTGCATATTCGTTGAATTCTGCTGAATAAGCACCTTACTAACGTTCGCTTGTACTGAACTGGGCAAAAGCTATGGTAATTCAGATATTGCCCTGTCCATGTAGGTTTTCTGTAGATAGATCGTTTTATGGATCCATCCTGCCTTCGACTAATTAATATATCTAGGAACGGCAAGCAGTCATCTTCCTCTCTTACACATGTCAAAGATATGCTGTTCTGTACTTCGTTCAGTCGGTTTAGAATTGAAGTAGCCTGATTTGAGTTTTCACAAATAATCAGGATATCGTCAACATATCTTCGATACAGATGGGCTTGGTCTATTAAGTTCTCGGCTAAGTTCTCAACGTGTGACATAAATATGTCGGCTAGGAGGGGACCTAAAGGACTTCCCATAGCGACACCATCAACCTGGCGGAAATGTTCGCCCTCAAAGGTGAATTTAATATTGTTTGTACATAAAAGTAACAGCTGTTTTAGGTGATCCAAAGTAATGGGTATCGGAAACTTATGCACAGAAATATAACCACATAAAATGTCAATTGTCTTGACCAAAGGGACATTGGTAAATAATGAGTTAACATCAAATGAACACATAAATTTACTCTTTATGTTGACATGCTCAAGGCATTTGATTACTTCAAATGTATCTTTTAAGGAATACTTACAAAATTGCTTCTTAATGGGATCCAATAACTCCACTAGCCACTGGGCAAGCTTATGCGTTGGCGACTTACACATTGACATTATGGGACGTAAGGGGTTGTTGGGTTTATGTACTTTGGGCAAACCGTAAAGATGTGGGAATCGGGATTCAGTTGGTTTCAGTAGGGCGAATTTTTGACTGGTAATGACGTTCATTTCGAGCAGTTTCACTAGATTAGCGGTCACAGTTCCCTGTAACAATTGTACGTCTTCTGAAGAACAATCCTTAGTGAATTTATTTTCATCTTCAAGAATCGATGACATTTTACACTTATATTCGATTTTATCCATGATCACGACACCTGAGCCTTTGTCAGGTCTGAGGATAATAATATCAGGGTTCTCTCGTAGTTCCTTCATAGCTCTGAAATGTTCAGAAGTTAGAATGCTTTTCTGGTTCTGATGGCTATCACAAAACTGGTGGGCGATATCCACCATCTTGGCTTTCAGCCATCCCTGGTCCTCAATTGAAGTTGGGACGAGAGGTTTCAACTGGTTGTATAGGTTTTCAAACTGTGCATGGGTAGCCAAATCTGATGACTGCTTTCGAGGAACACAAAATTTAAGTCCAAGGGATAGGGCTTCCTTCTGATAGGTGGACAGTGTCACTGTAGAAAGGTTAGTAACGTACTTATCCGGGTTAACAGGGAAATGGTTAATATGATTTTTACTGTCAAGTGAACTGGTTAGCTTCTCATGCGTCTTCTTATTGTTTTGTCGAAGTTTATAAAGGGAACTAATTGTTTTAAATTACATTTTTTTTTCTTAAAAATAACTAACAAAAGACAATTCAGGGATGAAAGTTGTCTTTTCAAGGAAACATTTTCAAAAGACATACAATCGTAGTTATAGTATCGATAAAATGAATCTCTATGAACAGCTAGTCGACCAATATACAATATCATCGAATATTATCAATATTATGTTATACACTAGGCAAAAGAAATAATCTAACTCCTTCATAATATACAAGGAATAGTAGAATGTTTTACAGATGATAGAGTAGATGACCAATTCAAAGTTCTTCAAAAAATGTTCATCAAGAATGGTTATTCTTGAAGATTTATTCAAAGGAATATTAAGCTTCAACACTACTAAGAATGAGGTCTTACGTTTTCAAAGTAGAATATTTTATTCAACAGAGATTTAACCACAAAGATACTCAAGAGTTGATCGTATTAATCATTGAAGAAAACAATTTTTTCTGTCTAACTTTTGATTGTTTTTCCCCGTAGTAATTAAAGGATAAACTACTGCTTTGGACTATCTCCTTATGTGTTTATCAATTCCTCATCTACTCTTACACAGCTAGTTATATAGGCCACACAAACTGTGCTCCATTCAAACGCGCACCTATGTCACACTATCTTACAACTATTGTCTAATGAGGTTGTAAAGCGATTAACAAATCGATTGTTGAAGATCTAGTTATAGCTCTGATCATTATGCACTACCACAATCTTCCTTCAGAGTAATTGATAAAGTCAAGTCAAACATATCGAAGGGAGTGAAGATTCATCACCTGAGCACATCAAAAGCATTTGGCCGTTCCAGAGATCCAGGTCTGTTCTCTGTGTTGGAAAGATATCCGCTAAGTCTCTAGTTTGATCTGGATCATAATCATTTGAAGACATTTTATTGTAAATTTGTTAACAATTTCTGACAACTTTGCATTAACCTAGCAGTTATACTGGATATATACTTTATCTTAACTATAATTAGTACTGTACAGCTTCAGCCAATACGACATATCTACCTGGTGGTTCATTTGCTTCCTTTAGAAAAGTCAATGTAACAGGATTGGATGTACAAACCTTTAGGGATTTGTGACTTTTGATGAAGACACACACACACACTATAACAAGTGTACATCCTCATATCTATAATTGGTTGAATCATATCAGTACTGAATTGTTCTTCTCATAGTGATTAGACCACAGGTGAACTATAATCAAGATTTAATCAAATGTTATCGGAAATATTGGGCACTGAGTGAAATAATCAGTGTAGAAGTTCAAACCAGCCTTCCGTACAAAACATGGTTGAAATTATTTTATTTAAAACAAGCTATGACTTACATAAATACAAACTATATCTAACATAACTGAATAAATGAATGATAAAGTGATCTTTGAGTGAAACATGACGGCTTTGGGAGTCAATACCTTCCTTCGTAATCTAGGAAGAAATAACTGTCTAATACTTTTAGTGTTCTCAGCTAAGATATGGCTGATAGGAAGTTGTGAAATATGATAATCTCAGCAGTGCGCACCCACTACCCCGCCAGGGATGGAACCCTCGACCTTCAGGTCCCGCGGCCAGCGCGTTGCCACTGAGCCACTGGGTCAGGATCTAATGGTCCATATTTCCAACTTCTGTTAGCTCAAGATACAGCGCAACCGCGTACTGCTGAGGAGTCCCATACTAGTCGGACGAAACAGCTGTCCTGTGCTCCCAGGTTTCCTTTGTTCCTCCAGCTGATATCAGTCTACGATAATTAACAACTTGAAATATTTCCAAATCTCCACAACTCCCTCGAAATTAAATATGATAATCAATAGTCTTGGTCATCAGCCGTTGGTGTTTCTGCTTCAGATTTTGACTTGTGTCTGTATATAGATGAAATAACCCGATTGGTCAATTTATTAGCCAATAAGATTGTGATATCTTATCTTGGCCCTACGATATTTTTTATGTGTGGGAATTGCATATATGTGCTACAGCTTATCAAATAACGCCATCGTCCTTCCAGTCACAGGTCACCCTTTGTCATTTCATATTTACGCGACTCAGTGAAGAAAAAGGTGGTGACGATAGAGAAAAGTCTATTGGCATTCCATCCTAGTGTACTGCTGCGTTCAATATCTTTATAACCAACGTTTTATTCCACTCGATCACTTCCATGGTTGATCTTAATTAGCACATAGTCTTTTGGTTATTGTAAAAGTTATACAATTTAATTGCTTTTTCAAGGTTTGGTTCAATAACTCAGACAATCGAAATATACTACTGATTGAATAAACTGAGTAGTTGGAAACTAATCTGGCTGATAATCGAAGTGATGTCAACACGAGAGGATCAGTTGGCTCGTTTAAGGAAGAAACAACTGATCAGGGGTATCACTTTATACAAGCGAATCAGTTCAGATCAGGTGGATCCAGTATAACTTAAATAGGATAATCAACGTGCAAATGATTTACAAATTTCATGGCTCACGTTAACATTCCTCACAGATGAGTAGTTTTTTTTAACTGCAACTATGGTGTCTACAGGATTTTTGTTGGAAACCATCCACTGGGCAAGTATGGTCTCTGACTCAAAAGTGTTATTGAACGTTTGAAAGATACTACTACTGAACAACCTGAGTAGTCAGCAAGCATTCCTGCTAACTTTTTTTTCCAGCAGAAACTCTGTTGACTAGCACCACATTTGGGGGGGGCAGTTGAAAGGAACTACTTCACTAGGTATGATAATGTAAAAAGTGGACTGTGAAATTTGTAAATCATTGACAAATTGGTCATCCTAACTTGGACAAAAAAAAACTAGTAGGAATTCATTCTGTTGCTCAAATAAATCTACTCTCATATGAGAAAAGTAGTTCTAGTAAGCATAAGTTTGATAACGAAATAACTACCATTAGGTGAATGCATCTGGAGTATTCAATATGAAAAAAAATCAGGTTGGTATTGATTATGGACTGAAATAAGTTATAGAGACATTGGAAACCTGAGAGTACTGAACAGCTGTTTCGTCCACTCTGTGAGGAAGGTTCGATCTACTACCAAGCAGAGTCATGAATGCACACTACTGAAAGGGGGGAGGGATCCGATAACTGAACGAATCAACTGGTATTCAGTACTGTTAGGTTTTCAATGTTTCATCCAAATGATATCGATCAGTCCATGATAAATACCAACGTGAAATGAATAATTACGCCACCCCCCCCCCACACACACACAAACACACACCCTTCTCAACCTCACCCACCCACATACACAAATCGTCAAATTGAATTATTACTTGAAGAGATAGGACTATTGTGTAACTCAGTAATATATCTAATCAATTTAATGATATGTTTTATTATTACTATTATTATAAAATAAAATAAAATTGAATGTGTGTAGATTGAAATCAACTCACCGGCTAACAATCATTAATTCCATATTTTTAACATTTTTTCTTATCTTCTGGTAAATATCAACAGTAAATAGTGTACTAGCTGAATTGAATATTGATGTTAAATCAGAAATCAGTGCAGCCAACATTACAGCTAACATAAGACCTCTTAGACCTTATAATTGAAAAAGAAAGGGGTTAACATAATCGTTTTATTAAGAAGTTTGAATAAATTATCATTATTATCATCAGATTACACTTCAAGATAACCTTGCCTGGTTAACTAGTTCACTAGTTACTAGCCGGTCCTAAGCCCCGAGTAAAGAGGGAAGGTTGAGCATAGGGCTAGCAACCCTACCCCGTAAAACAAATCTAACGCTAAAGAAACTTCAAAGCATAAACGATATATAAAAAATAATAACAAAATTATTCCTCCCTGGAATCGGAGAGGCGAAATGACGCCAGTTGGTGAAAGCCTTCTGGAAGCCAATTGGCCGATGTGTCTTCTCTCCCTCAATGAAAGCGAAAGTAAACGTGGGGACATGGAATGTCCGTACGATGTTTGAACCCAGCAAGCAGCCCAGATTGCAAATGCGATGAAGAGGTATCACATTGAAGTGTTAGGAATTTGTGAAACTAGATGGAATGGGAGTGGACTCGAGTGGAATCCCCATGGGAAGCGACGAGTTGGACGTCAGAGGGTTACATAGAGGAGATCGTGCGAGGAGGAAATGAGAGCTTGTGGGCTGTCGTAGAACCAGGTTCAAAAGATCTCAGAGAACAGAGTTCACTGGAGACGTGCTACTGAAGCCCTATGTCCCATTAGGAACCCAAGGGACTAATAAGTAAATAATAATAATAATGATAATGCACTTCAAGATATATAATTTTTATATTAATAATGGATAGTGGTAAGTATTAGAATCCAGATGATATATTTTGTCTCTAAAAAAACTCATCAGTTGAATATACTTGAATCCTAGGGCCACTAAGACTCTAACTGAGAAGTTATTATTCTGGTAAACACATCAAAGCATAACAATTGAAAAAAAACCCACATGAATATTGTGATTCTTTAGCTTACTGAATATCTGACTTGGTTATAAAATAAAATTTTAAACAAGATACATATAACTTATTTGATATTGAAAGTATAGTACTTGTTTAATGAATAAAACTAATTATATCTGTTAGGAAGATATGGCTTTATGAAAGTGAAATCCTACACCTAAGATATATTGGTGATACTACGATAACACATTCACCATTGTCTTCAAATACCAACATAACAACAATGTCCTGAAACAAAATATAAATCCAGTAATGGACTCAATTCAATTCACACACATACATGAAGAGGTAAAGAATGAACAAGGAGAATTATCTATATTCGATTGTAAGGAAGAAAAGAAGAGAGATGCTGGTTTGCATACTACCGTCTACAGGGAAATGATACATTCCCAACAGGTAGGTATCTCCACCTCAGGTCATCTCATCCAATTTCAATCAATGAAGACACGTCTAATTAAATGTTGAATGATGAACCTATAAAAATTGACCAGTCAGTGCAAGGAATGAAAATAAAGTGAAGCATCAATATCAAAGCCAGAATCAGAAAAGCAAGACAGACCTTCATCAATGAGAAATCAGCGTTCAGATCCACTGCATTCCAATGCACTGCATGACACTCAGCATACAGCCTGAACAACATTCACATTCTCAACACTAACTCAATCAAATAACTCACTCCTTCCTTCCATACACTGCTTCACACACTTGACACCTAATGAAAAACATTTACAACAAACAACAACACACATACATCATCAACACCTGCCACCTACACCCACTTACTCAATACTCACACTGAAGTGAACATCACATCGTCACAATAATAAGAATAAGCAAGAAGGAAGTCACTCCGACTGGCGACCAACCAACAAGCTACCTGTCAACAAATATGCAGAAGAGTAAAGTGGATATGGATTGGATGGGATGGGATGTGATGTGATGGGATGGGATAAACACAGAGAAGACGGTTTGGGTACATCATGCTTCACATGAGGTCTTCGAGTGGAAAGCAAATGGGAAATGATGAGTTTTGTATGTGAGTGGAGGGTGAAATGGAGGAGATGGTGTGAGGAAGGAATGAGAGTTTGTGGGCAGTGGTGGAATCAGGTTGAGAGAGAATAGTGGAGAGAATCGAGTGAAATGGTGATGTGCTACTGGAGGTGTATGTTCCACTAGGAACCCAAGGGACAAATAAAAATTGTAATAAATCCCCGAGTATTTATGAAGAAATGCGTGTGAATACACACATTCACCCTGAATACATGGACATAACACTGTGGCGCGTCTGTACCTGTAGTCGATGCTACTGATAACAATGCATATAAGTAGTATATGTTGAGAGGTGGAAGAAGTCGTAGGCAGTTACGAGCGATGACTAAATATTCTGCACAGAGGAACGCAAAATATGAACAGCGAAACGAGATGAACGAGGAAGAGGAGGAAATGAAAGATATTATGAGAGAAACGAATATTTCAATAGAAAGGCTATAATGTTTCATGAGTAATGTACAAAGTGTCGTTATAATAAACTGCCTTCTACCTTTCATACTTTACAGATTCCTACATGCCTGCCTGTCGCTATACCACTATAATGACTATCTCACCCACTCACTTTTGTCTTTCACTCAGTCATTACTCCTCCCTAACTCTGCCTGCCTCCTACGCCCTATCAACACAGCTAACTTATGCTTCACTTCTTCATACTCGAAATATGACCAGGTCAGTCAGGTCAGGTCTCACGTCATACTACTGCAGTCTTATCCTTCACATACCTACAATACATCCCAACTGATATCACTTGTTTTTTTTCTCTGCACAATACATACACAAGTGTGTACTTCCTGGTCGACAAGCATCGTTTACGTATTCTTCTTGATAAGCAGCCGTGTATACAAGTGAATTCGCATCTATCTGTGTGTCTAACTGAAATGAATTATTAATTGTTTTGTTGACTGTTTACTAGTTATGATGAAGTGACATTCAATAGAGAAGTATTCAATATATAGGGGAGCACTTTACAACTGCTATATTCCAATATAGGAATCCTTAGTAATATGTAACCACAGCACTAATTCACTAGGCTTTCACATTTTTGCAATAAATAGGTTAAATCATTCAACCAGTGGACTAAAGTGAAAATACTTTGCAATTTTGTAACTTTTATCAACTCATAACATGTTATCAGCTGTATAAAAGTGTAAAATTTCAATTAAACTATACTAAAATAGATCATAATTCAATTCTATTCTCACCTGATGGCATAATATTGATGACAAGTTTAGGATAGGCTAAATTTGAACAACCACTTTTCTGTCCACATATACGATAACAGTTTGGTCCAGGAGTACAACCAATCTCATCTAGAAATATTGATAAACAGAAAGATTATATAGAAGAAAAAGTATACAAAATGAATAACAATTAAGTGTCTTTTGAGAAAGATAAATAAATTTCAAACTGATCGATTCGAATAAATAAATAAACATTGAAATTATGATCCGGTTATATGCGATTTCATTGTTTACTTTTAATGAAAATTCGTAAAGCTATTGAAAAAAGCTTAAATAATGGCAAGAAAATGTATTACTCATTTTACCGTTGAAAATCATCCATCAAGGTATACATTTGTAAAATGTAAGCTAATTTACCTAGGCAGCATCATTTCAACTACACGCAGCACAATCACAGGCACAGGCACAGATTACGATGTCAAACTCACAATCAGAAAGACTGGCAAAAAAGGCTTTCATCAATGGGAAAGTAATGTGCAAATCTACTGCAATGCACTGCACTCCACGTCACTCAGCCCACAACCTGAACAACATTCACATTCTCAACACTAACTCAATCAAATAACTCACTCCTTCCTTCCATACACTGCTTCACACACTTGCCACCTAATGAAAAACATTTACAACAAACAACAACACACATACATCATCAACACCTGCCACCTACACCCACTTACTCAATACTCACACTGAAGTGAACATCACATCGTCACAATAATAAGAATAAGCAAGAAGGAAGTCACTCCGACTGGCAACCAACCAACAAGCTACCTGTCAACAAATATGCAGAAGAGTAAAGTGGATATGGATTGGATGGATGGGATGGGATGTGATGTGATGGGATGGGATAAACACAGAGAAGACGGTTTGGGTACATCATGCTTCACATGAGGTCTTCGAGTGGAAAGCAAATGGGAAATGATGAGTTTTGTATGTGAGTGGAGGGTGAAATGGAGGAGATGGTGTGAGGAAGGAATGAGAGTTTGTGGGCAGTGGTGGAATCAGGTTGAGAGAGAATAGTGGAGAGAATCGAGTGAAATGGTGATGTGCTACTGGAGGTGTATGTTCCACTAGGAACCTGAGGGACAAATAATAATGGTAGTAATAATATCTAACAAATAGTAGATCTCCACACTGATTTCACATTGATGAAGGTTTATTTTGCTGTCTTTCCTGTAGTTGAAACGATCTTGTCTACGCAGGTAGGTGGAAGAGACTACTTCCCTAAGGCCTTTGCCCTTGATGGTTATTGTTGCTTGTTGTTATTGTTGTTGGTTGGCTGGGTATCTTTATCACCTCTTTCTCCCCTTCTTTCGTCTGAAGGAAGTCGCGAGTTCACTATGTTGTCTCTTCAGCCAACTTTTTTGTTTTTCGCCTGTAGATCTTCGAGTTTGTGCGACATAGGTGATTAGACATAAATCATCATGGAAGAAATCCAAATCTTCTAGGGTCTTTTCATCTGTTAAACAGCGAGGGTATGCCTATCTTCTTGCTTCTCACATCTGTTTGTTGCATGATCCAGTCGAGTCGAGTTGATCACAATCAGGAAGATGATCGGTGATAGTAGGCAGTTACTTTGTCTTACTCCAGTCTTCACTTTAAAGTCATCACTGAGTTTTCCATTTTGAATGACTTTGCATGTAGCATCTTCTGATAAGACTATCTTAATTTACAACATGAGATGAACTGTTTCAAAGACTTGAAGTTTCTTTGCTTTACATTCACAGAAACTATTCTGCTTCACTAAGAAGTTATAAGTGGACTTTTATCAAGTTAACTGACATTCTAGATTAGTAGTTATCGTTTTGAAGTATAACATTTTCAGGCTAATTTGCCTTCTTGTTAGCTGATCAAATGTTTCCCCTTGCTGATGTCAGTTTTTCTGTCCTTATCAGACATAATTAGATTTCAAGGTGAATGAAGATTATGAGTTTGGTAACAGCTGGCATATTATTTTGTTCGCACATATAGTTCTGAAACATGATTAGTGAAGACAAAGTGTATGATGTGAGAGGTATCGTATTACTGCCATTCATACAGTTTCCACTAAATAACTGACTTATTCAATAAAGAAATATGACTAGTTGGTTAGTATCTATTCTGCTAAGGTGTAGATTAGTCTACCAACTACTTACTCACTTGTCTCTGACTTTATCACTCAATAATATGACTATGGACAATAAATTATGTCCGAAACGTAAACCAGTAAACAATACTGTTACAATGTATATAAATCGAATAAATCAATTAAAATGGAATTACATTCTACCACAGTACACAAGTTTTACTCTTATCTCAATGACACAGGTTTGAACAATTATTGGGACAGTAGTTACCTTAAAAGATGCCTTCATAACAACTGCCAACAAACACACTAAGCGTAGAGGTCAGGAAATCCTTCTCTACCAATTGATTCACAGTACCCGTCATTCACATTCTTAGGAGTGATGACTTAAGTTGAACTTCATATTTCACTGATTCGTGAAAATCAGAAGACAAAGATTGGCCGCACAACTTCATTTATATACAGTTTTCCCTGAGAAAATAATTCCACTAGGTCACAGGTTCCGTACTTATTCTGATTAGTCAGCTGAGGCACAAAGTTATCCAATAAGGTTTTCTCCATCCACACACTAACATGAAACCATGGTTGAAATCAAAACTTTAATGGCTGATAACTTAGAATGCTGATGTCGATTTAAACCACTGCATATCACATTACCATATTCTCTTGCTACTTTATTTTAAAAATGATGGTGTAAGATAAGAACTTTGAGTTGGAAGTTAACCATTCAAATTGGGCAACCGCTAAAATAACCAATCAGGTTACGATATTCCAACTAGAAAAGGAGTTATTTTTTATTAAAAAGCAGAGGAGTAATTGGTTATCTTGCCAGTTGCTAGGATGGCCTTTAAAATAGCCTCAATTTGAACAACATGGACAAAGTTTTCACGAAACGAAGCAACAATTGAGCAAAATGTAATACCATCAATGCTATGTCAAGCTCAAAGCCAGTACTCGAATTGTAAGTATTCTCTTTACTATTTCAATCTACACTGGAATATACGTAGAGTGACTTTAAAGGCTATCCTACAAACAACTGAAATGACCAATGAAACTTTTTTACTTATGAAAATCTTCCTTTGCAGCTTAAATGGAAAAACCTAACTGGTTATTTTGATTGTTGCTGGAGTGGCCTTTTTAAAGTCACTCTATATGTTGTAGACAAGTAGTGTTTTTTTTCAAGTTGTTATTCATCGAAGACTGACATCAGTTGGAGGAACAAAGGAAACCTGGGAGCACTGGACAGCTGTTTCGTCCTAGTATGGGACTCCTCAGCAGTGCGCACCCACGACCCCACCAGCAGGGATCGAACCCGCGACCTTGTGAGTAACTTTGAAGGCCATCTCAGCAAGTGAGGAAATAACCAATTGGGTTTAAGCAATCCGGCTAGAAATAGGTTTTTTTTATATAACAGAAGAATGTAATTGGTTATCTTGAGTAACTTTAAAGGCCATTCTAGCAGCTGCTAAAATATCCAATCAGCTCTCTAGATTTTGCCTGGGAAGGTAGATTTTAATATAATACAGAAATGTAATTGGTTATCTTGCTGGTTATTACGATAGCCTTTAAAGTTGCTCGTTTTGTCAGCAGTTGATTGAATAGCCTTTGGTCACCAGCTTATAATTTGTTTAGTATCATCCAGATACCTTATAAAATTACTAAATTCACACAACAAATAAAAGTAGATAAGTTTTGTAAATTTGTAAGGATTGATTAGTTCCAGAAAAGTACTCAATATTAACTGACATCACTTGCAGAAGCATTGAAAATCTGGAAAGACTGAACAGCAGTTTCGTGGTTTCATTGTGAAACTTAGTAGTTGTACGTACTCATGAACTTGTCCCACCAAAGATCGAAGAGACAGGAACTTAAGCCTTTGAGGCCAACATATGGTTATTGAGCCACTAAGCTGTAAATTAACATTCCGAACTACGGAAATGTCAACCATTGGATTCCAACCCATTGGATGCTTGGTTACATGCTCACCATGAAGACTGAGATCATGATGAGATACGGTCATGAGTGTGCACTGATGACGTGTTGCATACTTGAACAAAATAGTTGTCTAGTGCTCATTACTCCAAGGCATGCTTTCGTGGTGAAGCTCCATGGTATCATTCAAGACAAGAATGACAGAACGAATTTTAGAAAAGAAGATGAATCCTAGTAATATCTGTTCTTATGGTAATGAAGTAATTCAAAAAGTACACGATGTGACTGTTTATTTCCAATGGTTCCAATATTCCAATGTTGATAGCGTGAGCGTAGAAAACTGATAATTTTTGATCTCTTGCTTCTAATTCTTAGGGCTTCGTTCGAGTTGTTCGGTTCACTCTACAGTGGACGAAGAAATTCCCTCTGCTTCTTGCTTTTAGCTTCGGTGAGGTGGATGTTTTATCGGTTAGTAAGTTGCAATTTGTAGAGTGATTGGGGAACTACAGGTTGCTGGGAAGGTTGGAGAATTGTTGTGATTTCTATCTAGGCAGGTACCTGAATGAGAATAGTAAAGTAGTGGTAAAGAAAGAAGGGAAAAGAGAAAAACGAAAAGGAAAAAAAAGCGTGGGAACTGCCCGAAAGGTAAAAGTAGATAACGTAGGTCTGGTTTCTTGAGAAGAATCAGTAGGCAATGTGGGTGTATTACGGAGCGAGATAGTGAGTGATAGGTAGGAGGGAGGTGGGGGTGGGCTAGTGAGGTTGCTGACCCCCTGAGTACATTCGTGGTAGACTATGCGAGGTGACATAACTGTCTAACCGTCTCTTGAATGAGTCGACTGAGAGAGCTATAACGATATGTCGCTGTAGGGCATTCCATAAAGCGCATACTCTTAGGGAGAAAAAATTGGACCTGAGTATGGTGTTAGCTCTTTGATGTGCTATCTTAATGGGGTTTCCTCATGAAGACCGCTGTGTTGCTAGGTTGATTTGTTTGCATGGTTTGCCTGATGGGTGATCTTGTAGGCTATAATAAGGTTGAAGTGTAAGAATAAGATGTAAGTAATGAGTG